GTCTTTCAGAAGTTGCTCGACTTTAACCCTGAGAGGATGCGCCTCCAGCTTCGCATCTAAGGTATATTCGTGTAGAGACGATTTGATTTTAGCACCGAACCCGACACGGAGGGGTTTCACATCAGCCGCTGCAAAACCCTCCACGAGATTATCGACCGCAACATTGGTGTAAGTACAGACGAGAACAGGATGATGCACTTCGAAATGGACCTTAATAACATATCAGAAGACAAAAATCAAATCGAAGCCGAGAATATCGAACCTTGAGTAATTTCACGGCTTCAATGATGGTTTTCGTTTTGCCTGTACCAGGCGGCTGAAATGGATGTCACTTGGCTTTCAATGTTACTTTGACAAGATGAAACGTACTCCTTGCACAAGACTGATCCGTTCGCCGATCATCATGGCGATAGCTCTGATCTGCGTGGCATTCAGGCCCTCGAGGACCGGATCACCATCAATTACAATTGGATTGATCCGTGAATATCGCCTTGCCCAGCTTTGAATATGCATGTCTTCTTTGAACGCGCCTCCGTGCTCTCGCACCTCGCGACTGTCATGCTCAAGTCTCCCTCGAGGCACGTACCTGACCTCATCTGGACGTTGCAACGGTGCATGTAGTGATGGTCTATCCGGTGAAAATGAACGTAACAGGACGTCTCGCAAATGTGTCCCATGAAGAACAAACTGATTGTTTGGAGGGGAAATTAAATGGGTTGGGTCTTCTAGTGCTTCCGGGTCTTGACTGAATCGAGAAATGGCTTCTCGCATACGAATAAACACGATGTTGGACCGCCCAACGTCCAAGCGCCAGCAACCATCCTCAACCTCGAACTTCTCCTCAAATGCTATGCGCAGCTGCGATGCAGTCTTGCTAATGATACTTCCTCGGAGTGGTGGCTCTTGAAGAGGATCGAACCTCGAAACAAGGACTTGGGTACCGTTCCTGAACACAGTAAGCGCGTCATAAGATTCGAATCGGGACGAAAACTCACTCAAACCTATGTTCTGGCAAGTCTATTCCAGGACCAAGAGAGAATGAAGCTACAGGGCGTCCAAACTTTGGTGCGCCCATCCAAAAAGCAGAAAGACCCGTTATAGTATATCCTTCTTCTTGTAAACGAAATAACGACCAAGTAGACAGCCGCTCCCTCAGTACTGCCTCATCCTCGGTTTGTTCAAGCTCTAGTAGAGACAAAAAACTGCAAACGACTAATTTAATACAAATGCAAAATTCGAAAGAGTGACGAACTGTTTATTATATGCTTGAATCTCCTCGAAAAACGGCTCTCCCTGCTGCACCTGGATGTGGGGAGGACTTACACGTCTGATGTATCTCCTGTGCCGCTGACCGTCGGGTAGTTGTGTACGGTTGGTGCGTGAAGTGGCTCTTAGCCGCCAGTCAGAGCGCTGAGAAGGTGGAAGAGGGGCGTGATTTTCGGAGTAGTAATCTTCTATCGGGATTTTCAATTCCTTCGGTTTCTGAAGCAACGTCTGCGCTGAACCCCGGGAGGAACACGAAACCGAAAACTGCGCGACGCCTAGGAGTTCGTGATCATGCCTCTGAAGATGTTTTTCAAGATTATTGAAATAGTTCCGAATACCAAGGAAAGTCAGATTCCTCGCGGAGCGAGAAACCCTGTGGTCGTTCAAGGATGTCTTGGTGGATGTCGCGATACGTGTATTATTCGGAATGATGCTTCCACACAAAGCCTCCGATAGCGACTTTTTCGAGCACAAGAGGGTAGCCAGCGCGTATGGTCAAAGTTTGAACACCGACGCTCGGAATTCGAAGAACGTCCTCGATTTGAATGTCGTTCAAGTTGCAAAATGGATGAAAATTAAGTGGGTTTCTACCCCGAAGCGAGGTACCAGTACTATGTGGGTAGAAGAGTCAGGTGAAATTGACGCGATCCTGCCGCGGTCGCGCCTGTGACCCGGCATATGTGACGCTGTGACAAACCTGTGTTGACCGCGTCAAGCCTCGACCTCACCTTGTCAAGTTCGATCTATGGCCTCTATACTCTGTACTACCATGTCAAGTCTCGCTTAGGCTGATTGGACGCTAGTCAACATCATGTGTATCTTGACATTCTTAATAATGGATTCTTGGAAGAGATTGTAGCGAGAGTGAACTTGAAGTGAGGAAAACATTGCTTGCTCTGTCCAATAGGTCTCCGAGTCTAACTCATGTGATTGACAGCGCGGCCCCTTATTCAGCGATATTTGATGCATCATTGAACTCGGTCGAAAATCGAACCGATTTTCAGAAAGCAGATATATTTTCAAGCAAGTACTAGTACAAGTATCGAAGAATTCTCGCATCACTGAAGAAAGTGTTAATACTCTGTAAGTTCGCGTACTCTTGCAGAAGTACCAAGTAAACTGAACGTATACACTTAAGTAACATGACAGTATAAAATTGAAAACTTCAAGCGGGTTGTTGAGATGATCCTGAGATTTGGAGGTGATGTTGCTACATACGCGGGTCAGGTTGTGAGTCTAAGCAACCGTCAGAAGACTCGGAACACACGCACCCTTGCAATTTTCTCGCCTTCTGATAAGATAGTGAGGCAAGACCGTAGACCCTTCAAACACCATTGCCTCGTGAGCCAGGAGAGAAGATTACGACCCCAGAAAGACTGGAATATATGGGAGAGGCTCTCGTCCCATGGATTCGGAGCTCGTGAGAGATGAACAACCCAGTTTTGACATGCGTAATTGAGAAAGTCAGGAGCAGATTGACTTTCTTCGCGCGCTTTATATGCGAAACTCGAAAAGACCTTCATGGCATCAATGATCTCTATGCCTGATGGAGGTGACCATGCAATGATACTTGAGGGAAATGATCCTGATGCCTCAATGCTAGGAATGCTGGAAACATCAAGAAATCCGGTAAGCTCTTGAACTGCTGGACAACTTGAAAGGCCAGGTGCAAACGCATGTCTGGGGCAATTATGTACTCTCTGAGTGCCTCCAAAGTTCTCGAGAATTCTTCCACGGTCACCCAGATTGTGTTCAGCTGCCATGCTTGACCATGTGGCGTTTGCAGCCAATCTCGCCCTCCCCGGCTCTGCAGCCAATCTCGCCCAGCCTCTGTCTGCAGCCACTTTCGCCCGCCATCTGCCTGTAACCATTTTCGCCCGCCATCTATCTGCATCCAGTCTCGTCCACCCTCTGTCTGCAGCCAGTCTTCGCCACCCAGGATCTGCAGCCAATCTTGTCCGCACTGGGTCTGCAGCCAGTCTTGCCCACTGTGGGTCTGCAGCCAGTCTTCACCGCTCGGAGTCTGCAGCCAGCGTCGCCCGTGCAGAGTCAGAAACCAGGATCCCCCACCCCTAGTCTGCGGCCACTCTTGCCTGCTCAAGGTCTGCAGGCATTTTCGCGCAGAATGAGTTTGCAGCCAACCTCGCCCGGCCTGAGTCTGTAGCCAGTGGCATCCAGCCTGAGTCTGTAGCCAGTGGCGCCCGGTCTGGGTCTGCAGCCAGTCTTGTTCGTCTGGTGTCCGCAAATCTTTTACGCCATGGATCTGTAGCCACGATTCATCCCATTTCTGCACAAGGTCTGTGCTACTGAGAGATGGGAGCAAGGATAGCTGTGGGGGTGGGGGCGAGTATCGCGACGGCCACTGCCAGTCTTGCAGATTAATCCAAAACAGGTTCTGCCTGGTCTCAGTCTGCGACCATCTTTGACCCTCCTCAGCCTTTAGCCACACCTGCCCATCCCAAGTCTGTAACCAGCTTTGACCTCCTTTGGTCTGGAGCCACGCTCGCCCACCCTCAGTCCACAACCAGCCTTCACCCCCCTTAGTGCGTAGCCACACTCGCCCACCCTCTGTCCACAACCAGCTTTGACTTCCCTCTTCCCATAGCCACACTCGCCCGTGCCCAGTCTGCAACCAGCTTTGACCTCCTTCGGTCTGTAGCCACGCTCGTCCATCAGTTTGCAACCAGCCTTGACCTCCTTTGGTCTGTAACCACGCTCGCCCACCCTCAGTCTGCAACCAGCTTTGACCTCCCTCTTTGCATAGCCACACTCGCCCGTCCTCAGTCTGCAACCAGTTTTGACTTCCTTTGATCTGTAGCCACTGCTCGTCCCTCGGCGTGTAGCCACACTTGCTGACCCTCCATCCGCAACCAGGCTTCACCTCCCTCAGTGTGTAGCCATACTCGCCCACCCTCTGTCCGCAACCAGCTTTGACCTCCTTCTTTGCATAGCCACACTCGCCCGTGTTCAGTCTGCAACCAGCTTTGACCTCCTTCGATCTGTAGCCACGTTCGCCCACCCTCCGTCCGCAACCAGCTTTGACCTCCCTCTTTGCGTAGCCACTCTCGCCCGTACTTTGTTTGCAACCAGCTTTGACCTCCTTCGATCTGTAGCCACGCTCGCCCACCCTCCGTCCACAACCTGTCTTCAACTTCCTCTGTGCGTAGCCACACTCGCCCGTCCTCAGTCTGCAACCAGCTTTGACCTCCTTCGATCTGTAGCCACGCTCGCCCACCCTCAGTCTGCAACCAGCTTTGACCTCCCTCTTTGCATAGCCACACTCGCCCGTCCTCAGTCTGCAACCAGCCTTGACCTCCTTCGGTCTGTAGCCACAGTTGCCCACCGTCCGTCCACAACCAGTCTTGCCCGATGAGGGTCTGCAGCCAATCTTTCCCTAAGTGGGTCTGTAGCCAGTCCTTGCCCCCCTGAGTGAGCAACCAGTCCGTTTCCCCTCTCTCAGTGAACATCCAGGACTTCCCTTCTCGAGTTTGCAACCAGGCATTCCCATCCAGGGTCGCTAGCCAGTTTTGTAACTTTGACCTGTGATCTCCCCGAAGCCATAGTAGAGTCGTAAGAACTTGCAGTGGCTCCGGTGGCTGGATCATGAAGGATAACGAGTCATTTAAATTCCGAGGGTCGTGGGATTCCATAGCTTTATTCTGCTTCTGCAATTTTGAGAACTCGTCGAGGAGGGTTGTGCTCTCTGGAATCTCGCGCACCAGCAAGTTGAGAGAGGAAAGTGCGAGTAGGGAGTGCGGTGACGTGACATTTTTCACTTGAGGGAGGCTGCAGTTAGAGCGCTGGGAAACATAGTCACGAACGGATGAGTGATAGATATTCACAGGAAGAGTGTTGTCGGTGGGAACATCTATAACAGACCGTAGTTGCACCAGTACTCTTTCAACGTCCCTGCCATGACCAGGACCAAGAAGTTTCGAGATTTGTGATATAGGCAGGGGATCTGCAAGGGCAGCAATAACAGACAGGTGGAGGTATGCCTGCGCTGGGTCAGCGCATGTGGAGAGGATACAGTCGTATAACTTGTACACCTCCGTTCCTGGAAGTAGGTCACTCGCTAGTTTGAGCATGAGCTCGAGACGGTTGTAGGGATCGTTGTGTCGATCGTCGATAAACATCATCATTGTAGACGCCACGATGAAACGTCTCCCCGCTCGGTTCGCTAGCCGCTCGAGTTGAACCTTGGTTGGCTGTGGGAAAGTGGGGATGCGACTTTGCAGTTTTTTGAAGGAATGCTGCAAGAAAAGATAGATGTCTTCATCGACATCTGCGCCGTCTAGCGAGATGATGGCGGCAACACCCTGTCCGGAAATCTTCACTGGTATCTCACACACCAGCGGGCTCACATCTTTTTGCTGCATGGCTTCATGGATATACGCTTCCGAGCGGCTTGTGACTAGAATGTGGATCACAGGCAGATCAGGATCTCGAAGAGCCTGGGCGAGCAAGGAGATGAGTTCAGCAAGCTCAACTTCGGATTTTTTTTTATCGAAGGGTTCAATTGTGGATTGGTCGAGGGGTTCCGGTGTGGATTGGTCGAGGGATTCCGCACATTCATCAAGGGCATCAATAACGAACGCCAAAGGCGGACAATTGCGCAGGCTGTGTTTGAGCTGCCGCAAAGGTCGGGAAAACAACGCCTCCATCTGGTCGCGAAGAGACCCATCAGGGTGTAGAAGAGCAGGGTTCTCGAGGATGGCTTTATTCACGTGCGTCCTGACGCTGGGGAAATTACTGGCTAGCTGATAGGCAAGCGTCGCAAAGAAACGAGCAGTTGTGCGTCGATTCGTGTGCTTGCGGGAGAAAAAGAATGTTCCTGCGAGCCGCTTCTCGATAATCGTCTCATCTGTCACTTTCAGAGCTCTCATCCTTTCGGCTACAGTAAATGCAACAGCAGATTTTCCGACGCCCGCTGTGCCATGGAGCCAAATGAGTCGATTCTTTGATTTGTCATCCAATGTTCCGTAGATGTGGTCGAGGAGGACCACTCGGGTCCCTTCCAAACATTGGGGATGAGGCAAGCGTTCACGAGAGTCATGTTCAGCGCCCTTGACAGTGACCTGAGCCAACTTCTCCCAAGCTCCTTGAGACATCCGAAAACTGGTAATGAGGTCAGAGGAGCAGAGAAGGAGAGAGAGGGATGGATATTCTCACATTGACTCCTCAACAAGGGGACGATAATTATCGTAACACAGAGTGTGAGATAAAGTCTTACTAGTCGGGTAAAGACAACTATAGGTTAGAAACCATGGGAGTGGAAGTTAACCTTGAGACTTACCAGGACGCTGATTCAAGGATAGAAGGCGAAGTTGTAACTTGGACCCTTTAAGGCGGGTACTGATGCAGATGTCGTGAAACGATGTTCTGCGTAGTAAGTCTGTCCAAACGGTCATGATCATGAAGTCGCAACGAAAAGATAAAACTCTGACATTCACCGTAGAGTGATATATCGTAGGAATGCAGCTGAAGCGCTGAGGCTGAGTGACAGCAGGCACTTATCGTGTACAAGGGCAGTCACACAAATCTGGTGGCCTAATTTTAGTGACGCTAAGAAAAGCAGGGTGCCGTGGAAACCTCAACACCATGCGGCGGCTCATTCAGCTGAATCAAACTTCAGATTCCCGACACAGGTGGCTTCTACATATACAAGTGTTCGTGCAGTGGGTGCTGCACGCTACGGTGCCATTGTCAGTGGGCAACTTGTCACCGACTCACCGAATACCCTGTCACTATCCTTGAAGAAAAAAATGTGCGTCATAGAGTGCATCATCCAGTACCCGCATGTCAAAGCACAAGGATATACAAAGGTTGACCTTCATGATAGTTTGAACGACGTTGACAGCTGGTACAGTCTTACCAATTTGCAATTACTCGAGAGTCAGAATGACGTAATGGACAGAAGTCACACAGTGTCTTACTAGGCATGTCGCGTACAGAACACACACGGGCTTAACAGAGGCTAGTTTTGATGCACCAGCTTGTACAAAACAAGAAAATAAAGGGAAGAGAGACAACGAGCAGAAGAGTAGGAGATGAATGTGCTTTCCCCAGACTTTAATACTGACATCAATCGTTCGCATCCAGCGCCGAGGTGATAGGGAGGACCTATTGTGAAATATAATATCTCCCTTGCCTCGTAGGCATATCAATCAGTCTCACTTTTTCATTCCTGCGACAGCGCGCAGTGACTGCGTCCTCGGACAAGGAAAAGATATCGTCGAACGCAAGCTCCCATAGACATGCACGACTCAACGTTCACAACCATACGTTGATAACATCTCGGTGGTCTGCCTTCGTATCTGTAAGTTGCATCGACTTCAGGAATAACGGCTTAAATAAAAGGGAGGTGGCTTACTCTTCGCTTGATAATGGATGCTGTGTAGAATGCACATTTAGCGGATCTATACGCATCTTTCTGAACTAACACAGCCAAAGGCGCTAGGCGCTTACCTCCACGTGCAGATAATGTGTTCATTGTTCCAGTTCCAGAAGACGAATGTTCCACACTGTCAACTTTAGTTCCGAACGACTATCGGCATGTTCTGATATCTCGTATGCAGTGCAGGGAGCCGTACTTTTTTTCGGGTTTCACGAAGGCAATACATTGCTGTATCAATGGCGTAGGAGAAGAAGGGTAACGTACGTGATGATGTACTGAATATAAATCCACAGGACCTCGTGTCTGTTCGTTTAAAGCAGGCTTCGCAAACCTTTGAAGACGAGAATTTCTTGTATCCCTTCCGACCGTTTAACGAATCTCCCAGTCATTAATCGTGAGTTTCGCACTATCCATATGGTAGTCGCCGCCTTCTAACTTTCCTAGACGACTTTTAACTCGCTAGGCGACGTTCGTACCATGAGCGCCTCTGTTGCTGCGACAGATAGCCATGACCGTCTCAAAGATCTCGTGGAAGATGTATTCAATGAATATATCACCAATGAGATGCCCATTGGTCTACTTCACATCACCAAGAACGATCAGAAGATAATGCTTCAACTTGTGGACAGGGATTTCGTCAGGGAGCATTTTAAAGAGAAGAAGGTCCCCGACAACATTCATGCTGATTTTGCTGAAAATATGGTCGTGGACGGGGAAGAGAGGGAGGATCGGATCCGAGAGCGCGTAAAGAAGGAACTGAAATATGCTATCCTCTCGCATAGATGGCTGCCGGGCAAGCAAGAGCCTCTGTATCACCAGATGTCGAAGGAACCGAAGGAAGTCCCTGATGACCAAGAGCCAGGATGGAAGAAGCTTCAAAGTTTTTGCCGTACGGCGAAGGATGTCCACGACTGCGAATTCGCCTGGTCCGACACGTGCTGCATAGACAAAGCAAGCAGCTCAGAGTTGGATGAATCCATACGCTCCATGTTTCGCTGGTACAGAAATTCCCACGTATGCATCGCCCTCCTTTCGGAAACAGCAGACCTCGCGGCTCTTCAATTGCAGGAGAAGGGTCAAAGTGGTGAAAAGGCAGTCGATGCTTGGTTCGAAAGAGGATGGACGCTTCAAGAGCTCCTTGCTCCGTCGCAAATCAAATTCTACGGAGCAAACTGGAAGCCCCTCATCCAAGGCTCTACGAACGACAGAGGCAGCAAAGTCATCATGAAAAAGATAGAATTGCTCACGGACATCAATATGGATGATCTTGAATCATTCACACCTGGCATAGACCGGGTGCCAGAAAAGATGTTGTGGGCATCCAGGAGGCGAACGACTCGCATGGAAGACATCGCGTACTGCCTTATCGGAATATTCGATATCAGCCTCATGATCGCATACGGCGAAGGCAACAGAGCCTTCTTCCGTCTCATGGAGGAGATAATAAAGAGATACGACAAATGGGACTTGTTTCTATGGAGCGGTCGTCGTTCCCGCTATAACGCAGCCCTTCCGGATGCTCCGCACTCCTATGCTGCAGGATGTATTCAAACACATCGCAAAGGAGTTGACCAGACCGCAAGCTACGAGTTTGGAGATAGGCGCTTTGCCTTGACCAATCACGGACTCGAAATCCGGGTGCTCCTACTGGGCGTTGAGGTAGAGGATGTCAGTGAAGATTTGCCTGACTCGAGATGTCTTACGTTCAAGCATGAATATTTTAGGGTGAAGGCGACGCACATTGGCCCAAAGCCTCACGATGTGGCCTGGGCAGTAGGTGTGCTGGACTATTCCATAGACGGTGAGGAAGGGATCATCGACTCGGACAGGTTGCGGGAAGCCCCAATTAGCGCGTTCCTGCTATCCTCGAATAAACATGCGTCTATACATCTACCAGCAACTGCTAAGTGGAAGAAGGAGATGACCAAGGAAGTTGTCAGAATTGATCCTCCCGGCGACCACATACAAGAACCTCTGACTCTACTGTACCTTTAACATAGCTTTCGTTATAAACCTTTTTATGCCTGTTGTCACGGTGTCTGCTTTGTGGGTATATGTTCTCGGCGATATGTTGATCATTAGTTACTATAAGTACCACGATACTGTCAATGGACTCAACGCTAGAATTATAGGCCCAATGCGTGCCTGTAAATGCTTTCACCAAGCTTTCATCCGTGTCCGGTCCTCGCTTCTCCTTGCTCGTCATCATCACAGGCATTGTTCCTTACGCAAGTCACTTTGTTGACGCGGGTGACTTTGACAATTATCGGAGGGAAAGGTTCACGGAAGGAAGGTTCAAGCCCGGGACAGATGGCCGAGCGGTCCAAGGCGCCAGACTAAGGAGAGAACCAGCTCATCTAATTGTCCTCGCTTGTCTCGATAGAACGCAGACGGCGAGAATTTAGCCAGCAAATAAGGGACCCCGACGCGAGGACGCGGGGACCCCATGGATTCCGGAGACAAACGACTCCAAAACACTAAGTACGTATCGTACAATAATGGCGTTCAAAGTAAATTTCACAGAGCTCGCTAAGCTCGGTAAAGCTCGGTAAAGCTCGGTAAAGCGTCAGTTAAATCGGTCTGAAAAACGTTAACACAAGTACGGCTCCGTTCGGCATCGCAGTCGAACTTTGAAGAGAGACTTAGTGTTTGGGAAGGTGAAGAGGCGCAGATGGATTACTGTACTAAGTACAAAATAAGCTACATACAAACTATCAGAGTGACCGTTTCAGAGAGGATCGTAAGCCTGCGAACGTTCGTCTCTCATGATGAAATGTGAATTGTAAGGCTGTTTTGGGTCCTAGCTCGCTGTCAACGGCCAAGAGCGCCTTGCCTTTCCCTGCACCCGGTTGACCCTGTCCGATCGCCACAAAGAACGGAGGCACGCGCTTCTTCATCAACTGTCTAGGTCTGATCAGAGCTGAAAGTGAAAGTGCCGGCATGTAAGAATAAATAAAGAGATCTTCGAGGCATAGCTCCTTCCTCAAACGATCTGCCTTTGTTTGAAATGGGTGAGCTGCATGGAGAGGAATAGACGTGAAAGCTGCAGTCGGACACAACTGGATTCGAGAGTGGCATGTTAGTTTGAGGACGTGCTCGAGGACGTTGACGATGGGCAGCATGATCTGGTCCCATATTATCCACAAGAGCACTATGAGATCCGTCCTCGACTCCCCTGGTGGACGGCAAAGGAACATGATGAGGGTCTCCTGATGTCGGTACGACGATGGCGCATTGGCACTGCACGAGTGTTGACTCGCAATGAGACTGGGCCCTAGTACACGGCCGCTTGGAGGTCTTTACATGATGGTGGGAGGAATCGTGAAAATGCTGGAACCGGGAAGATCGCGTATCTCAGCTACTGCGCAAGTCATGAAGGAGGGAGGACATACCCAAAATGCAGCGCTCTCATTCTTCCTCAGCACCCTGGCGAGCTCCGGTGGAGGAGCAGTAGGTTGTACTAGCTTTTGAATATGAGTAGCCTCTGAGGGAGTTTGTGTGGATGGTGTGAGAGATGCTGAACGGGCACTAGAGTGTCGTCGTCGTTGATGGTGCCGGTGCTGCACCAGAGTGCTTGTTACCACAAAAGGAAATTTTAAATTCCGACCCCATATTTGGATTCCATCACACAGAGTGGTAAGCTGATCGATAAGGATCAATAAGCATATTCATATTGGTGTCTCTTGAACCTCATCATGCCCCGTCTTTCCCTACGCAACCAGCTGCTTGATAAACTGGATGAGGCAGAATTAGCCTTAATCATTTCCAAGTACAAGCATGCGCTTTGTACTATGGCCCTATCTGACTTTTCCGACTCTGATTCTGATTCTGATTCTGATTCTGATTCTGACTTGGATACGGTCCTCACTCCTCCATCTCCTCTTACCCCACAATTATCTGACTATCTGGACTTGGACTTGGACTTGGATGATGAAAGCACCCATGTTGCTGCACATTACGACCGCCTTCATGACACTATCACTTCCCTTCGCGATGAGGTCTTAAGGGCACGTGTCCTTCAAAAGCCAGATGCACCTCCTATGCGGGCCCCTCAAATTCACCTCCTTCATGATTTTGGGACATCTCGCACTCATCTCTTCTGGAAGAAACTACATGTCAATCCAGAGATCTTTGACGATATCCTTGATCACATCTCAGGTCACCCCATCTTCACTAATCAGTCCAATAACCCCCAGCTTCCAGTTGCTATTCAGCTAGCCATTTTTCTCAACCGCACTGGACACTATGGCAATGCCATTTCTCCAGAAGATGTGGGTCAATGGGCAGGTGTTAGTGTGGGGTCAGTAATCAATTGCAGCAACCGTGTCATGATTGCCCTCCTTGATCTGCATGATACATTCATCCAATTTCCTACTCCTGACTCCGAAGATGCTGAGCGTGCTCGGCAATTTGTTGAGGCTAGGTCCTGCCCTGAGTGGAGAAATGGTATTTTTGCAATTGATGGTTCTGCCATTAATTTGTATGAAAAACCTGGTCTTTATGGTGAGGCATTTTATGACAGGAAGTCTAACTATTCCCTCAACTGTCAGGTTTTTTTTTCTCTTATTCTAATGGTTAGAAATTAATGAAAAATTCAGGCAATCATTATGCCCCATAACCTCCTCATAGTTGATTATTCACTGGGTAACCCTGGCAGTACACATGATGCTTATGCCTTCAAATCCACTCGTGTTTATCAGGAGCATGACACTCTTCTTCCAGAGGACCATTGGATTTGGGCAGATAGTGCCTACCCACTTGAGAAGTGGTGCATTGCCCCTTTCAAGAAGCCATGTAATGGGAGGTTGACCAGGGACCAGAAATCCTTCAATATTAACCTCTCTCAGGTATTTCTAATTTTTTTTGCTGATTTTTGCAATTTTCACTGATTTTTTATTCATATAGGTCCGTGTTCGTGTTGAACATGCGTTCACAGCTTTGAAAGGACGATTCCAGTCTCTCAAGGAACTTAGGCACCCACTTCAGAACCAGAAGGATCTTCAGGTCACTCTGCATTGGGTTAGGTGTTGCCTAATCCTTCATAATATGATCATCCGCTTCGAGGAGATTTGCAAGAAATCCACACTTGTATGGGCTGTTCGAGAGGAGAACAATACTATACGCCATGAGGATGAAGGACCAGATGGTGATGAAGTAATGGGTGATAGGTCTTATGAAGGCACTCCAGGTCAAGCTCACAGGGCAAGGCTGATGGATTTGTTGTTTGATAGCCCTCAATCAGAAGCACACCATCAGGAAGATTGAGCAAACAAGCAGAGTAACATTGTGTATAGCTAAACAAATGTACTATTAAATTTTACAACTAGTGATCAACTTGTGGCCATATGTGAGAATACTACATGCAAACATAACAAGACATATAACATCCAAGACATGTAAGAGTATAACAACGCGAGAACATAACAACAACGACATGAGAACATGACAACAACAACGCGAGAATGTGATGATGACGACAATGACGATGCGAGAACATGATGATGATGACGACAACGCAAGAACATGATGATGACAATGGCGCAAGAACGTGATGATGACGACAACACGAGAAGTCAGGTACCAGCAGGTTTGCCACCCTGGGCATTGAGCTGGGCCCACTGAATCCGGAGGCGTAGAACATCTGCTTCCATGGCAAAAGCGGTGGCATCCGCTTCACGTAGGCGAATATCTACCTCTTTAGCCTCCTTCATGCGCTGATGGACTATGGCAGCATCTGTGCGCTCATCCATATGCTCCTCACGCATCATACGATGCTCCTTGTCCTGGCGACTAGTGTTGAGCTTCACCATAAGGCGCTTGTTCTTCAGCTGATATAAGGTTAGCTTGTCAGAATGAATACTTTCCAGGTTGTCATTGAGCACATCCATCTGCTCGCAAATCTCCGTCCGGAGGTGTTTGGAGACTGAACTTGCTGGCGTTGTCGAGACAGATGTTTGCGCTGTCGGGGAGGACTGTTGAGATGACGGCTCGTGAGATGATGATGGCTTTCGAGAGTGTGATGACGAGCGCGACCCTGATGATGCCATAGAGCCCGATTTACTCTTTTCACGCATCATCACCTGGCTAACATGAGACTTGAATGTAGCGCGATCATGCTGGATGGAAGTGCGGGGGGCATCTGTTGCGTATGAGAGGTAGTAGTAGGGGAGGGGGGGGAAGGGGGCTCCTGGTGCTTCTTCCCAGCCCTGCATCTTGGCGGGCTGTTCAGGCTGATAGTGTTGCTGTCGTCGTGTGTAATTTCATCCGGGGAATCCATATTAAGATCCCCCATCTCACCCGCAAGAGGGTTGTCATCGTAAATACCATTGAAATTATAATTATCAGTGGGGGAATGAGTGACGGGAGAGTAAGAACCATCGTGAGATGTAGCACCAGAGGGAAGCGGTGGGAAACGAAAAACAGGGGACCTGGCAGAACTATTGGTGTGAGCGCTTGGGGGTGGTGGCACATAGTTCCATTGCGAAGGGCTACCACCACTGCCTCCAGGAGCAGGGGGAGTGTGACAAAATTGGGGGGAGGTAGGTGGTGCCACGGCTGTGGCACCACCTGCATGGGCATTTGGAGGAAGGCAGCCATAAGTGGGTCCAGTTGAGGACCCAGCAATGCCGCCAGCTGGAGCATTGGGGAGAGGCGTGTTGCCAAGTTCCATGGGAGAGCCGGGATCAGTGCTGGGGGAAGCGGAGGGACGAAGAGAGCCACCCGAAGGACGGGTGAGAGAAAAGAGATCACTCGCGTTGAAGGTTCAACGATACAGCGAGGCACGAACAATGCTCCTGACTGTATCTATAATTGTTGTAAGGTCGTGCGTTGCCTAGTCTGCTATACTTGAGACGACAAGTGTGTTCGACCCTAAAGGGGAAGCGAGTGCAGCAAGGATCTAGAGGTATGCACTGAAAGCGCTACTGGTTGGCCAATGCGAAGCGCGGGAAAGCGCAGGTGCGCGCGAGGCGTGAGAATGCGCGAAGCGCGGGAATGCGCGCGCGTGTATGCGGAAACAAGAGAGAGTAAGAGTGAGTTTGCTTAGGTGATGATATGATGTAAGACAAGAGAAGGGAGATGCGAGGTGTAAACAAATAGATTTCTACTATGTTCTGCTAGGTAAATAGTGGGTAGTAACCAGTAAGTCCTCTGTCGTTCTGGTGGGAGAGTAAGTTAGTAAGTCATAGTATGTACTGCTGGCGCTTAAGTATGGCGCCTAAGCGCTGTCATGCGGAGCCGAAGCGCTACCGAGTAAGGTATGTAAAGATATATGTAAGTAAGGGTCCATGATAAAAATAAAGATGGAATGATAAGCAAATGTGAGAAATGGAAATATACGCACTAGGGAACTTGGTGGACAGTAGATGGATGCTTCCGGATGGCTGGCGCTATAGGGCGCTCAAGCGCGGGAAAGCGCGCGCGCATATACATCGTGAAGCGCGGGAAAGGTACGCGCGCATGGCGCGCGTTGCGCGGGAAAGCTGCGCCTCATATAGAGATAGCTGCGGGTAGCACACAGAGTGATGCTACAAGTTCGTGCCATGTACTCCCCAGTGAAAACTGCCATATTGCACAATGAGAGGCATGAGTCTCTACAGCGTGATCAACGCCCGGCTTTGACGATGACGTTTTGGTGGAGAATGATGGATGGGAGCCCCAGATAGAGTAGAGCTGATCGTACCAGGGAAAGTCCTTCTCGTATTTACCTACAAATTTAATTAGAAGAATTCATGTAGGGAGGAGAAGACTCACGATGCAAATTCACGCTTGTCTCTGAATTGATGGGCACGATGCCTGCAACCGTTGACTCAAATTCAGCACGAATGTCACGAAATTTAGTGCGGAGGCTTTGATCAGATCAGCATTGATGATTATAAAAATAGGGGGGATCACTTACGCCACGATGCGATTATATACAGAGTCCTGAAACCTGTTGGGATTCGACGTGTAGAGCACCGTGTATTGAGGATCGTCGGAGAAAATAACCCTTGCAATGACAGCATGGATTTTGTTTTTGTCTTTGCCTGAGGGGCGGCCCTCAGCTTCACGGTTGGCTGGATTCTTCTTTTCACTGGTGAACAGAATGCGGCAATCTGGTGGGTGTCCAACGAGGTAGTCAACCAGCCTATTGGTCCACTGGGGAACCGCTTGCCAGCTGATAGAAATAGTAGGAGAAGTAGTAGCTCTATCTTTACCTCCTCTGCCGCGTTTTCCCTTTCCCCGTGCAGGAGGAGCTGGTGGTGGCTCCATAAATTTCAGCCCGGTCTTGCAACGTCGCGGGGAGATGATTTGAGACTGTATCTGTAGTCGCGCAGAACGACGAAGTCGTGGTCGTAGGGCAGGCATGTCTTTTGGGACTCCAATCGATGCCGGCCCAAGCCGTAGTGTAACAAATCTTATTTTTGACCGAGTTTACCGAGCTTTACCGAGCTTAGCGAGCTCTGTGAAATTTACTTTGAATGCCATTAATGCCAGAATACCAGCAAATAGAAGGAGGGAGGGTAGTATGTGGGAGGGAGATGAATTGGATGAAAATAATGATGTCGGAGTAAGATCAAGGATGAACTAAGAAACTTCGTGCTAAAAATACATGATAACATACTAAATCAAATAGTAGCAAAAGGACTAGACCTCGTTCCAGACCCATTGTGAATTGCACGGCCATTAAAAACTAAAGTGTGAAGCAATGCAGGATTCTTTCGAATATAAATACAAAAACCATCAGAAGACCATCGACCCATCGCTTGTATATGTTCTGCTGATACTCCCGACACTGCCAGGGATGTCGCACCACCTGCACGCAATGAATGGCCCAATATTGAACCAGGAAACAATGCGCGAAGTTTGCGGATAAACCAGCTTCGCGTAGGCACGGAGCCATTTGCACGAAGCCAGAGAAAGCTGTTAAAAGGAAATAGGGAGTCACGAGAGGCAAGATAAGACACAAAGGCAGACTGTGGGTCCGCTTCATTTGAACACTGTATAACAATGGTGTTTCCTTCGAAACCCACGTCTGTCTTGTTGGTCGGCAAATTGAAAGAGTGATGGTTTGCGGAGAGGATAAGTGAAGTGTGTAGGATGAGCTTGGAGTGATCCTGGAGTGCAGGATGAGCTTGGAGTGATCCTGGAGTGCAGGATTATCCGGCCAAACTAGTTCACCTAAACGCATAAGCCCATAAAAACCGTCAAGCAACTGAGCAGAAAAGAGTAGGTCATCATGGGACGGCATTGTTGGTAATGCTTCAAGAGCAGAAGAGAGGTCTGCACGAGATAGAGGAAGTTTTCATTTCACGGCTACCCCAAAATGATGCTTAGCTCCTCGAAGGGTCCATGCAACAAGACGTGAACGGCGATTAGCCCTGATGTGAGGATAGTATTCTTCCATCAGACTACACACACCCAACAAATAGTTGTCCACAGAGCGAGGGTTAATGTGCGCCGACATGAAAGTGATGAACAACGATAGAGTGTCGACAGTCGGATCAAGGGATAAATGATGAATATCGCAAAAATTGACATAGGAATTGAGAGCCGACGAGTAGGTTTGATTAGTGGAACGGTCTAATGCTAGACCAAGGTTGATGGAACGTTCATGGATGAGATGTTCCATTGACCAAGCAGCCTGGATGGGCTGCTTAGTCATCGAAGACCGAATATTCATTTTTGCACTCCCCCCAACGCATTTCGAGGGGGTTCAAATGATAGGACTCAAAGGCCCAGACTAACACGACAAGCATCTTGCCGCGCGCCATCGAGATAAATGATCAGCAACCACGTTTTGTTCACCTGAGACATGGAAAACTCGGAAGTCGATCTGAAAAGATAGAACAACCTCAACAATATCCATCAGGAGCCGGTTATAGCCTGAAGGACCTGCTAAAGAATTAAACATGAAGACTGTGTTCAAGCTATCAGTGAAAACAGCGAGTCTACCATTGGGTGGTACCCGAGTGACAGCATCATGAATAGCTGAAGAGACGCAAAGAGATTCATAGAAGAATATATCTTCCACAGGTGATTGAGACAGAAGGGGTGATTGAAAGCCAAGATTAAGCGCCGGGTACCAGAAACCAAGTCCAGTGCCCGAAGTGTCGCAGAAAACTTGAACCACATTATTTGGTAGCGAGTCAAGGTTCCAGGACACTGATTTGAAGAAGAAGGTCCCATTAGAACGTTCCAAGTGAAAAGCGGCCCAGAGAAGTTCTTCGACAATACTTCAGTTGATCCACAACAACCCTTCGAGTTAGTTTTGCCTCGAGTCTTCTCATAGACGGCTGCAAGCCCTGGTCGCAGCAGGGGACATACATTCAATGCCCAATTTAAAGACCCGGCAATATGCTCGAAATCCTTCAAAGACCTCTTCCGTTTATGCTTGGCAAAATCCTTTAGTTCTTGCACCAAAGCAGCCTTCGACTCAACCTTGAGAGAAACACACATAGAGTTTGGATTAATGTCAAAGCCGATAACAGGGAGAGGTGATCCAAAGATTTGTTTTCATTCTTCATGAGGGATTCCTAGCTCATCCCAAAGAAGCAGGAGCGACACCATATCTCGAGGTAACATCTTGCGATATTTCCCATAAAATGCCATGTCTTTGATCCTGGCAAAGGAAAAGGAGTCGTCGACATATAAGAAAGCTCGGATGAGCCTGACAAAGACTGCGAGCCATATAACTAAGGACATGAAGGCGTGAAAGATGCGCTGAGATGCCCGGCCTCCAAAGACATTAGCATGATCTATTCGCCTTTGACCTTCGAAAGTAACAACTTGTTTGATTTGCCACAGCAGATGCATAGGCATGTGTTGATAGGCTTTAGACACATCAGCTTTCCAAATGTGAAGAGTATCATGAGGGTTAGATTGGCGATGAAGACAAAGAGCATCTCCAAGATCTTGAACATTGTCAAGAGTTACTCTGGCGATGTCTTCTTTCGAAATCATAGAGTTAAGTGAGAAGTCACCAGCACTGTGGTTCGTGACAAGACGAAACTTGCCACCATCTTTTGGTACAGCGTGAATAGGCATGCTATACATTGCCGGCAATAGGTCAGGACCAAAATTGCGAGAATATCTTCCCACTGATTCCTCCTTGATGATTTGCTCCCGCAGGAAGTTCCGTTCCTGATCCAAAGACAGAGAAGGTGAAGGAACGTCGAGAGTAGTCGGATAGAATCCATAGTGCGTATTAGCCCAAGGCCAAAACCCTTCACGAAGTCCTTGGCAAACAGATTTGAACGAAAGCAGGATTAGGGTGATTAGCGAAGGTAAGGAGCATTTCAAACCTGTCAACATTGACAGGTGTTCGGACAGCAAAAAGGTCAGGTCGAGAGGCGATAGTATTCATTGCTGACAGATTAAGAAATTCAGAAGCAGGAGGACGTGGCAAAGGGTCAGCAGTCTCTGTCCATCTCGCTGTCCCACTAAGAGCAGTACCGTCATCTCCCCAAATCATCCGTTTCCGAAAACGTGGACCTTTAGCTATCTTTTCATTTAGCTCCCTTTGCCAGGGAACATTCAGTGCACTTGTGGGAGCCACAGCATTTACTGCAGACGTGGAAGCGGATACATTCGGTAGGTGGCTTCTCACATGCCCCGCGGTTCCAGTTAAGACAAACCTCTCCCCTTGAGGACGAATCCTGACGTGACAATTTTCGTCCTCCACCTTGTGGCTTCCCAGAAACTTTGTCGGATGGGTTGGAGGAGAGGTGCTGGAGCTCTGAATAGGCGACCATTCCGAGGGAAGAAAGGTGGGAAGTTTCGAGACTCCAGAATTCTTGGAAGTCATCGAAGTGGAGGTACTTTCGTGCTTCAACCTCAAGCCGACATGCTCAATCAAAGTCAATGATTTGGGAGTGAACGCTGTAGTGGACATCCCGAAAAATTCAGGAAATGTAGCATCTATATCCTCGGAGTTCTGCCTCCTTCCAAGGCATAATGAAGGCAAGGGCATCTTGCCACAAGTCAGTGGCGATACTCCAGTCTCCATAGGAACAGACATGATGGGTAGTGGTCAGTTGACTAAGGGAAATTTCGAAACCTTTCCCAAGAACTTGGGATTGTTTTGGGTCAATCGTCGTGGAATAGTGTCCCGACAAAACTTTGTCAAGATCTGGTGCTCGTCCCTCGAAGAGGAGGGTCCACTGTGACGATGGAAAGGACAGACATCCTGGAGTGGTAGTAACTTGTCTGCGATAATACTTTGAGTCTTCCGACCATTCTTCAAGACATTTGAGAGTAAGTCGTTGCACTTTCTTTCTGGGGAGATATCGATAATTTCCTGGTTGCAACCAGGGATAAAATTGGAGATGTTCAGAGGTAAGCCTGCGATGCTTTCCCCTGAGAACGTATTCATCTCCTTTGTCAGATTTGTCACTCTCAACCTCTTCACTGGTTTCTTGTTGGCGTGATTTCTCTCTGAATCTCTCACGTCTTCCCAATCTCTCTTCCTCTTGAGCTCAGGATGAAAATGTTTCTTCGTGAACTTCTCTTTCATGTGATCCAAGTCGTAACTCGGAAGGTTCTTTGACTCTATCAAGGAGGTCCAAGAAGTGACTGAACCCGCTCTTGAATTGGACTTGGGATAGAGATGACGAGGCCGAAACGGATTCTTGTAAGATCCTCTGAACTTCAAGTGCGGCATCACCTTTTTCAATAACGTCCCATTTATAATGGTCGACAATGTCGAGACAGTCTCTAACAGCTTGTTGGTCGAATTGAATTTCCCTGACAGACAGATGGAGAGAATCTGAGATTGTTTGGGAGGAGGATTCAACATTAGGAGAGGAAGATTCGGCATGCTCAGACATGAGAAAATGTAGTTTCGATGATAATAAATATTGTGCAAATTCTGCTATACTATTGAGACGAGAAACTCGAGTGAGAAAAAGCCAACAGAATGGACAACAACAGCGTACCTAGCGAGACGAGAAACTCGAGTGAGAAAAGGCAGAGAGCCATTTCGGATTCGTCTTGCTAGACATAGACTGCTATCTCCACTAAAGGAGGTGGCGATGAGGATCGTGAATGGCAAGTTCATCATGCTGAAATGCACAGGGCAAAAGCCGCAGGGGCAAAAGGCAAGGCCCAAGATGAAGAGACACGGGAAGACCTGAAGGGAGAAATGGGTCTGCTGTAGAACAGACTCGTCCAATTACCCTTGTGTAACCCAGATTAAACTCGATTAATGAGCGTATCATCTGGTCTCTTCGGGGGCGTGAGTTCGAATCTCACTCTGTTCAGATGTTTGTTTTTGTTCGATTGTGTTCACTGAGCATGGGGGGTAGAACTGAAATTGTTTTCCCAGGGTGACGGTAAACATTCCCACCATAACATCAATGTTGCCTCTCGCAATTGCAAAACCTCAACGTCATCTAGAGTAATAGTATTATTGCTTGTTCGGTCTAATCAAATTCGTTGAAATCCAAAGTCCTTTCTTCGAGCACTTCAACTTCATCGATGCTCTGAACTCCTTCAGTCCTCTTCAACTCTTTGAGAGCCGCAACTTCAGCAGCAATGTCATCAGGCAAGATACTCTCTGGACCAGCAATAAGGTCATCTGCATCACAAGGCTCAATCGAGAGCGGAGGTGTCTAGGATATTCCAAAATTTACAGTCCCAACAGCAATGTCAACGTCTTGTGAGTGTGCATGTGAGCATGTTGACAACAGTGGACTTCTCAGCCTTCGCGGCTTTTATGGTGCTGTGTTGTCGAAGGTTCGTACAAATTTTATTGAGTCTTTTAAATGTGTCAACTAAGAGATTACACCGTTGTGCAGATTGCGTTGTGCCAAATCAGGGAACGTACACTCTACTTCACCTACATGCCCTACTGCAATTGAGAAGATCATCACAACAAAGATCTTGAAGGGGGTGAATTTTGGAATTGATTGGAACAGTGATGCGAGGCGGCGTCCTCCAGCATACACCATCTTACTTCAGGGACGTCGATTTTCATGTTCTATTGAATTCAAACTGTGTTATAAGATCTAAATTATGTCTCCGACGAGTTCGGCCAACAACACTACTTGTGTCAGTCTTCCTTGAGTAAACCCGGGCCTTCATTCATTGGCAGGTCCTTCTCTCACCAACCGATTTCGTTCTACGAGAATAACAAATTTTGAAGCTCAATGATTCAAACTGTTCGGGGCCGAATGAATAACTCCACATCTGTTACCTCGACGGAAGGGCCAAGGCCTGCGTGCTCCAAGAGTGCACATCTTGAGCTAAGGGAATGTGTCTTGATCATTCCTGTACAAAATATCAATCTTTTGAAGCTCATTTAATGCATTGATACTTCGGCTTCCCAACATGCGCGGTTTCTCTACAATCAAGCATTTGCCCTATGCCTAAATGGTCAGCCAGTCCTGGTTACTAGCCACTCGCAGTGTACGCTGCACGATTTCTGCTCTTTGTCACTAACGATTCTGCTGAAGTCGAACATGCGTGTCATAGAGCGCATCAACCAATGCCTTTCAAAACACCAAGGTGTAGCAGAAAACACGAAAAGGAACTTCAAGAGAGGGCCAAATCAAAAGGTTCGGTCTTCTTTTCCTAACAGAACATAACAGTTCCGATGATTTAGCTAGGGACCTACGGCACCTTAAAAACTTGAATGGCTCAAAAGTTAGGACGAGCGTAGCGGATGGAATCAATGCTCGCCATATTTCAATTCCTGTCCAGAATACATCTCATGTCGAGGGCGATATTGATGGGCGTGTGTGAGATGAAAGAATGAGAGAGAGCAATTGAGGAGAGATTAAAGGGGGAAGCGCTGGAACACAGTTTGGCGAGTGGGCAGCTAGATTGCACTGTGAGCAAGAAGCACCCGCCTAGATTCATCTACTTATTTTTTCTTTCAATACCAGCATCTACGGTGCATTTCAGAGCCGATGGATGGATGACCAGGATTGACGGGTCTGTCATAAGCATGTACTTACTTACATTTTTCCTAGGCCGATTTTTCACTTCCCTGCTACTGAACGCTCACAGCCGAGTCCAGACCATCGAGAGAAATATTTCATCGGCTAGTCACGATGTAGCACATGCATATGTCCACAACATCCCAGCAGTCTGCCCTTTAGCCCGCAGTACAGAAGAGGGAGATATCAAAAGTTGTTGATTCAAGCTCTCCGAGGAACTACAGCTTAAAAGTACCAGAACACGATGGTCAAGGGTATATCTCAATTCTCAATACAGAACGAAATGTACTTCTTACCGGCATTGGCAGGTGTTAATGTCAGGTCTTCAGTATATAATTCAAGCCTGTGGCTATGTCTAGATTATAATTCATGAAACTGCATCATATGTTCATTACCGGCCGTTGCAGTGAGTTTTATATTCTCAGCTCGATGAGGAGGGCCAGACTCGGTAATCAACAAGGCAAAAATTTAAACTCGATTTTGACATAGAGGGGTGTGGTACCCAGGTCACTCCTAATTATGGATCTAAACCATATTCTGCTACTAAAACAACGCCTTTATTTTGGCCGATCAAAGGGAAGCATATAGGCTTTGGTGAACGAGAGAAAATGTTGAATCGGATGGGCGGTACTATATACGAACATGCGTGAAACCAAACAAATCAAGCATCGACACATAGCGAGGAATGTCGCGTAACATCTAGTGCTTCAGACTCGTGATAGAGGTAACCTTGGAGCTTGAAGATAGTCCTGCACACAGTTCAGGTCAGTAAGGTTAGAAAAACATCATTGGGATGGTGATATACCTGTGCAAGTTTTTCCCCTTCATGTAGAATAGTGAGGCAAGAGCGCAGATCCTTCAAACACCACTGCCTTTCAAGCCAGGAGAGGAGATTATGAGTCCAGAAAGACTCAAGTATACAGGTAAGCCTCTCATCCTGCGGGTTCAGAGCTCGAGAGAGATGGAGGGCCCAGTTTTGACATGCATACTTCAGAGCGTCAGAAGTTGAATGACTTCGTTCCCATGCTTGGCTTGTGAAATTGATAAAGGCCACCATTGCATAGATGGCCTCCACGTCCGGTAAAGGACGATTGTACGTTGATATAAAGGCCGAATGATCTTGGTGCCTTAACGCCAAAAAGGCCGGAAACAACAAGAAATCCTGGCAAGTTCCTGAACTGCTGGATTACTTGAAAAGTGGGCTGTAGAAGCGAATCTGGGACAATGATGAAATCTCCGGTTGCTTCTAATGTGCTCGAGTATTCTTCCATTGTCACCCAGAGAGTCGTTAACCGCCATGTTTGACCCTGGGGTGTCTGCAACCAGTCTAGTGATGTGCATGGCCCAGCTTCAGGCCGTGGGCCGGCCAAAGCCGAGCCTGATTAGGCCGAGCTGAGCCGGGCCCAAGTCAGGGCCTGACCACGACCCAGGGCCCGGCTTGAGGTGTTGAAAAGCCTGAGCTGGCGGCTCAGGCCGCGGCTTTTTGTCCCTTATTGGCCTCGATATTTCTTTGTTCATTCGCTAACAATCCGGCAGACCACCGAAGACAAGCTCACCTATACTCATCATGAACCAATTGGTGTCGTCGTAAGTACACGTATATCAGCTCCCAGATCATCCTCTGATGTTCATCTGATAGGGTCAAATCATCCCATGGAATTTCCCATGTGCGTACACATCAGCCGCTTCGAGTGTCATGCCCTCATTCGCTTCGCAGTGCTCATGATGGCATGGAAACTTCACCTTATTAACGAGGCTGGCTTCCCACCCAGGGTGGTTAATGTCATCTCTGGTTACGGAAACACTGTCGGTAATGCCATCTCCTCGCATATGAGGATAGAGAAGGTCGTCTTCACTGGCTCAACCCTTGTTGGTCGCAAGATAATGGAGGCCGCTGCAAAGAGCAACCTCAAAAATGTCACCCTTGAGCTCAGTGGAAAGAGCCCAAACATCATCTTTGACGATGCAGACCTTGAACAAGCCGTCAACTGGGCTGCATTTGGTATCTTGTGAGTATACCGTGTTGTCATGCAAACTACACTCATATTTCACCAGCTGGAACCACGGTCAGACGTGTTGTGCAGGTTTGCGTATCTTCGTGCAAGAAGGCATCTATGACGAATTCCTCAAGCACTTCATGGAGAAAACTCGGTACGTGTGCACGTTTATGATACGATATATCCGCTAATGATGACGTGTTCAGGTGCAAATAACAGCCTCGCGCGTCAAGGAAAGTGCTTTTAGCAAGGAATGCGAGGTAATTCCATTTCATGCCTAGCCCACTCGCTCACTGACAACATCGCCTCTCAACAGCTCTACCAATCGATAGACATCATGCACCCGGTCACAGGTGAACACAACAGCATGCTCATCCTCGCGCACATCAAGTACTTCCATGTGCGCAAAGACATGCTCACGGGCAGATGCACGATACCAGCATCCATGCCTACACGGTTCATGAAGTTCTTTTAGTATCTCACCGTTACACATATGCTTAGATTGAATTTCAGATCATTTTGTTCTTGAAAGTGTTACAGTAACATGGCACGAGTCCCCCGCCAGCAGACAGCCCTCTGCCACCGCACGGCTATAGACGACACCGGAGTCTCACCAGCTCTATAGACGACAGACGACGATAGATGATGATAGATGAGAGACGATAAGCGGCAACTGCCGGCTTAGATAAGCGGTCTGGACCGCACGTGACATGGACATGACGACATAGGTCTAGAAGACCTATTTATGTTATCAAGATAGAAGGCAAGCCTCGCGTTGCCTCATGTACTGATAGAAGGATACCACGTGGATCCTATCTCTGATGGAAGCGTACCGCATGGACGCTATCTACAATAGAAGCCCGCCTCATGGACGCTATCTCTGACTCATGTAGATAAGCATATTAGAACCCAGCTTTAGGCTGAGCTTAGACACGATAGAGTAGCCTTATATAAGGTCGAAGATTAAAGTAGATGTTCCTTACTTTAATCTTACTAGGTACTACCCAGAAACTAGTCCAATCAACTAGGTTTTCCCTTGAACTCCTTGTCCCGCTAAAGCTACCTGCTCGACATCGACTCGTACCTTCAGTGACGCCTCTCACTGTCTGTAACCTCTGCTATCATCTCAGCGTAACCCCTCGTTAACCACCACGAGCTACGTTCAAGTACGCAACCTTTGCTTGTCTGTAAAGGCCGACGACTCTCAGCACTCGGTACCACTGTCGTGGTTGTCGCTGTTAGATTATCCTAGTCGCACACGACCGCTTGTCGTAACAAAAGATTAAAGTATAACTTGCACGTCACCCATCTGTGATGCCAGATCCCTGATCGTACCTATCTTCAACGCTACCGAAGATCTGTAGAAGAAACCCCGAAACGTACCGGCCTGACCAGTCGCAAGAATATAAGAACCGCTGTCACAGCAGAAGACTTCCTGCTCGGAACACTACAAAGAACGAAGATAACCATCTCCAATATGGCAACTTCCCGCAACACCCTGGCCGCTTCCCACCTTACGGGAAAGGAAACTCGTATCTACCTAAACGAGAAAAGATGCTTTGTATGCCACGTCACTGGCCACAAAGCCGCGGGCTGCCCACAATGGCCCAGAACCCCGCGGAGAAAGATGATCGAAGAAGACCTCCGGGTAAACTCTATCAAAGAGACCGGAGTTAAGAAGATTGAACTACGGGTGAATGCCACCCTACTAACCAGAACGAGAAACACCCCCATCGCGACTTCTATGGTCATCGACTCAGGGGCGTGCCAGTCCTTTGTCAACAAGGACTTCTGCACGACGCACAGAATCTCGTCGCACCAGCTAGAGAAGCCTTTTACGCTCTCTAACGCTGACGGATCCAGCTTCGGAAAGAAGCCAATAGAGAGGTATTGCACCCTCTCCTTCCAGATAGATGAACGGGTATGCACCGAACGGTTCTACCTCGCCGAGCTTACTCCGAAAGAGAAGCTCATGCTTGGACAACCCTGGCTTATCAGCCACAACCCCGCCATCGACTGGACGAACGGCACGGTGACTCTTAAAAGCACCGTAGATTCCCGAAAGAAGGAAAAAGAGATAGACTCCGACCGGAAGAAAAACGGCAAGACGCCCCTCTTCCAGAAAGAAGAAAAGAAGGGCGCACAGAAAAGGAAAAGGTCCGTCTCCCCGACCACTCCCCGCGCCTTCTCCAGTAGCCTCGCTTCTATGAGCTTGGCACCCACAACGAAGATTGTACCGGTTCAAGAGGAACCGCACGGAAACCCGCCATCCGTGAAACTCCCTACCGCACGATCTACGAAAATCGTGAAAAAGGATTCTCTGCCCCGTATTGACCTCGCGGCAAAACGATTTGAGCAGAAGAGACCGGCCACTGATCCGGAGACAACTCAGAAGAAGGTCGTAAGACCTGCGGTGATTACGGACTATATCATCCCTGATACACCAGCAAAAAAGATCGTACCGGCTGTTCAGCCGATGAAAGAAGAGACTCCTGAACCTTATCGATTCTCGGCGGAGCCTGCATTAGTCCTCGGAAAAGGACGTGCAGTTATGACAGAAGAACCGCCTCGCTCGAAGGCACCCAGACTGGCCCCTGAACCAGAGACAACTCAGACCCCTAAATTCGAATTTTCCGGAGAACCGATCTCCGTTCTCGGAAAAGGAAGAGCCGTGTCGACGGCGGAACCACCTGCAGCCAAGAAACTCAGGTTTTACGAAAGCCCGGCTGATGACACCGACACAGCCGATGAAAACCCCATCCCGAATTCCCTGAACCTCTCCATGCCTTCCGCGGAGATCCCCGCTGATAACATCGATGCAATGATGCAACACCGGGAACCCGCACCTGAACCATCTTCCGACTCAGACTTCGACATGTTTATAGAACGTGTTCGTATTATCAACGAGGCCCATCGCTTGAAGGATCTGAGCGAAAATGACCCTGACGAGTTTGCTCGTCTTGTAAAGAAGGAAGAAGAAGAAGTCGGACCGCAATTTATCCGCTTCACAGATATGGAATCTGACGATGGCCGAAGCGAAGAACCAACACACCTCGCTTCCGAACCTCGGGCGCTCTACGCGCCACACCCTGCTTCCAATCCCATTGAAAACATATGGTTGGATTTAGAAGAACCATCGACGCACAACTGGCGCATGGTTGATGAAGAAGGAAACGACATCGAGTACGAAGGCCCGGACGACGGCCTTGATTTTTAGACTGAAGATTAGTCATGGTAGACTAACGGCTTATTGAGGGGGTAAAATCCCTGATTTATTCTCGTTTCACGCACGACACCCCCACCACGAATACCATTTCCCGACTACTTCTCTGATGATCTTTGATGACGACTTCGACGACGGCCCGGCATGGCCTTAAACTGCACGATCTCCGCAAAGAGAATAAACTACGGCAAGTCCGGCACGACTTTAAACTGCGCGATGCTCCGCAACGAGGATAAACTATGCCCGTCCGAAAAGACGTAAAACTAGGAGAAAGGACGAACTCCCCGAACGGTCCCCACAGCCCTGGAACCCCTTATCCACAGAACCCTCTTCGATATCCAGATAGATCCGAAAGATCTCAACAAAAGATAAGAAGACGATCCTCCGGAACGAGGCTAAACTATCACGAGGCGAACTCCTTATCCCACGGAATCCTCCAGAACGACTTCGACTCTGATCAACAAAAGATAAGAAGACGACCCTCCGGAATGAGGTAAAACTATCATGAGACGAACTCCTCGGAAACTCCTGCAAGCCCTCGGAACCCTCTAGATCCGCCGACCATATCAACAAGAGATAACGGAACGCACCCTTCCATTATGGCAATGATTACCACCCTCTGATGAAGACGAACCTTGATCCCAAGAATAAAACAAAGGATTAACGAAGATCGTACCTATCACGGCACCTCCCCTCTGATAGTGAAGAACCACCCCTCGTGTCCCGATAACGAGAAGATCTTAGCCTCATGGCTAGATAGATAACGATAGAAGAACTCTAACAAAAAGATAAGTCTAGAAATCAAGCGGAGCTTGGAAACAACCTGGAAGCCATATAAGGCCTCTCCCAAGAACATCCTTCCCCAGAACCTCCCAACATCATGACGACCTCTATTGAAGAAGAAACTATCCGTACAGCACTGAAGGACTCCGACTACGGACGCATCCTCAGAACGATTGAGAACAATGCGTTCAGCGAAACCACTATTCTCACCCCCATGTACTCCCAAGTGATCGACGACATCCTTGGCGAGCAAGATGCCAGAATCGGTGCAGGAACCTCCCTCGCCGTCTGCATTATCCGTACCACGAAGCTGCTGGAAGACGTAGCCAATCATGATGACCTCGATGAAGGCACGAAGAAACTTGCCGTGCTTCATTTACAGAAAAGGATTCGCGTACTCGCGCTTCACCTCCTTCCGCTCGACTTCCCAGACATCGCGAACCAAGCTGTCAGAACAGTCGAGGCAAGGCCTCATGTTGAAGAAAGATCCCGACCGGTGCGCCCGCTAAGAAGAAAGGCGGCCACCATAGATCGTACCCGTACCACGCTCTGCAAGCGTTGCGGAGGATACGGACACTCATTCAGAAAGTGTCCAGATTATGTTTGTTGCGTTTGCGACGAACTAGGACCTGACCACCTGTCGGTCCACTGCCCTCAACTCAATGGACGCATCGTACTCCAAGAGTTTAGAGATGAAGAGAAGTTCTTTGAAGCTCTCTTAGATTGGGAGCATAACCATAAAGCGCTCGCGGACCTCATGCTCAGACACCCAGCACCGCCTTCGCCCGAACCAGAAACTCCCTCCGTACCAGCCGTCTCCACGCCTACGACACCCCCGACGATGGAAGCTGACGATGAACACAGGATACTCAAAGTCGGTGACTTTGACGCTAGTAGAGGGGTAATGTTACAGTAACATGGCACGAGTCCCCCGCCAGCAGACAGCCCTCTGCCACCGCACGGCTATAGACGACACCGGAGTCTCACCAGCTCTATAGACGACAGACGACGATAGATGATGATAGATGAGAGACGATAAGCGGCAACTGCCGGCTTAGATAAGCGGTCTGGACCGCACGTGACATGGACATGACGACATAGGTCTAGAAGACCTATTTATGTTATCAAGATAGAAGGCAAGCCTCGCGTTGCCTCATGTACTGATAGAAGGATACCACGTGGATCCTATCTCTGATGGAAGCGTACCGCATGGACGCTATCTACAATAGAAGCCCGCCTCATGGACGCTATCTCTGACTCATGTAGATAAGCATATTAGAACCCAGCTTTAGGCTGAGCTTAGACACGATAGAGTAGCCTTATATAAGGTCGAAGATTAAAGTAGATGTTCCTTACTTTAATCTTACTAGGTACTACCCAGAAACTAGTCCAATCAACTAGGTTTTCCCTTGAACTCCTTGTCCCGCTAAAGCTACCTGCTCGACATCGACTCGTACCTTCAGTGACGCCTCTCACTGTCTGTAACCTCTGCTATCATCTCAGCGTAACCCCTCGTTAACCACCACGAGCTACGTTCAAGTACGCAACCTTTGCTTGTCTGTAAAGGCCGACGACTCTCAGCACTCGGTACCACTGTCGTGGTTGTCGCTGTTAGATTATCCTAGTCGCACACGACCGCTTGTCGTAACAGAAAGCCGTCATTGAGCCCAAGCCGAGCCGCGGCTTTGGCCTGGCTTGGGCTCATGGCTCTGTTACACTGACCGTCGGTCAGCGTGTGTGAACTAGGATAGGTCTTCTCAGCGACGGCTCGAGTGAGCCTACTGAAGCTGAGGGTGGTTCTCGGCTTGACGGAACGTCAAGGGTTCCTCCGGTGATCTCAGTAAGATGGCGCTCGTCGAGATACAGGGCTAGCGGATACGGCTAAGAAGCGGGGAGCGACTTAGAAGTGCGGTCTTAGGCAGCTGAGCTGGGAGGCTTAGCTGAACAAGTTCTGGGATGAACCTAGTAGATTAAAGTAAAGTCTAAGTACAATAATCTGTCTACTTATATGTGCTACATGTAAGTGTTCAAGCTCAGTCTGTAATCTATAGTATATCTAGGATCTATGATAACAAGACATGAGGGTCAGATAAGGTACATGAGGCTTAACCTCTGATCAAGCATGCAGCGCCAAGTGCGACTGCGCATAAGTACATGAGGCGCTAGGAAGCGCTCCGGATCTTCATGAAGCGACATGCTGTATACATGCGCTGATCTAGGGTGACCATGAGGCATACAGCCTCCATGGATCAGGTACAAGGCTGTCTAGGCCAGGGGCGGGTCATAGCGCCAGGGGCAGCGTCACAGCGGTCCAGACCACTGTCTTTCTAAGTGCAGGCGGTGTTCCGCCACATCGGGAGTCTAGCAGAGTGGGGGCTGGTGTAGGCAGAGCTGGGGCTCCAGTAGGTGTTACGGATGCCTGTAACAGGCTTGGCCTGAGCTTTTGCAAAGCCCAAGCCCCCCAAAGCCGAGCCTAAGCCGGGGCTTTCAGGCCGAGCCGGGCCCGCACATCACTAAACCAGTCACACCCACCCAAGGTCTGCAACCAATCTCTCCCTACCTGGGTCTGCAACCAGTCTTTCCCTCCTGGTGTCTGCAGCCATTCTCGCCCATCTGTAGTCCTCAGCCACTCTTGCCCGCCTTGGGTCCGCAGCCACTCTCACCCCTCCAGAGTCTGTCTCCAGTCTTTGCCTCCCTGTGTCTGCAACCACTCTCGGATGCCCAAGGTCTGCAGCCAGTCTTTTCCTCCCTGGGTCTGCAGCCAGTCTTTCCCTCCCTGTGTCTGCAACCACTCTCGGACACCCAAGGTCTGCAGCCAGTCTTTTCCTCCCTGGGTCTGCAGCCACCCTTGTGCGCTTAGGGTCTGCAGCCAGTTCTTCCCTCCTTGAGTCTGCAACCACTCTCTCCCGTGCTGTGTTTGTAGTGTCTCTCGCCCGACCTCAGCCTGAAACCAGCGTTGTCGCTCACTATGAGCCTGAAGCCAGTGTTGTCCATCCTGAGTCTGCAGCCAGTCTCGCCCACCCTGGCTCAGCAGCCAGTGTCCCCCGACTTGGGTCTCCAACCACTGTAGCCAATGTCGCCCGCCCAGGGCTTGCAGCCAGGCTTGTGTACCCAAGGTCTGCAGTGGCCCTCCCCCACCTGTGGTCTGCAGGCCAGCCTCAGTAGAAGAGGTCAGTGAGGGTGGGGTGTCGTCTGAGGTCTGTACAGGTCCAGATGTATTCAAGGAGTGGAGGTACAAATTATGCTTAGGCTTTTCCGGGATCAGTAGCTGGTGTCCCGTGTTAGGAGTTTGGAGCTGCCAGTGCTTCCCTCTCTTGGTCCAGCTGAGCCATTGCTTCCCCCTCTCAGTCTGCAGCCAGTACTTCCCTCCCACCGTACGCAGCCAGTACTTCCCTGCCATCGTCCACAGCCAGCCCATCCCTCCCTCAGTCTGCAACCAGCACCTTCCTCCCTCGGTCTCCAGCCAGCCTTTCCCTCCGTCCGTCTGCCCGAGCCAGTACCTCCCTTCCTGGGTCTGCAGCCAGCCCTCTCCTCCCTCGGTGTGCAGCCAGTGCTTCCCTCCCTTGGTGTGCAGCCAGCGCTTCCCTCCCTCAGTGTGCAGCCAGTCCTCTCCTCTCTCTGTCTGCAGCCAGTCCTTCCCTCCTTTGGTCTACAGCCAGTGTATCTGCGCATTAGTTTGTAGCCAGGCCTGCCCATCCCGGGTATCCAGCCAGAATTGCAATTCTGAATTACGATGCCCCCAAAGCCATAGTAGACCTATAAGCATTTGCAGTGGCTCAGGTGGCTGGACAATAAAGTCCAATGTATGTTTTAAATTCTGAGGTCCGTGGGATCCTATAGCTTGGCTATGCTTTGTTAATTCTGAGAATGCGTCTAAAAGGGCCGTGCTTTCTAGAAGGTCGTGCACCATCAAGCGGAGACAGGACAGAGCCAGGAGAGAGTGCGGTGGTGCGATGTTGTGTACTTGACAGAGGGAGGAGTTTGAGTGATGAGAAACATAGTCGCGGACGGAGGAGTGGTAGATATTCACGGGGAGATTGCTGTCAATAAGAACATCTATCACAGATCGTAGCTGTACAAGTACACTTTCGACGTCCCTGCCCTCACCAGGGCCAAGAAGTTTTGAGATTTGTGCCATCGGCAGAGGGTCTGCAAGGGCAGCGATAACAGACAAGTGCAGGTATGCGAGTGTTGGGTCAGTGCATGTGGAAAGGATTCGGTCGTACAACTTGTACACCTCTGTTCCTGGTAGCAGTTCGCTCGTTAACTCGAGCATGAGTTGAAGTCGATCGCGGGGATCGTTGTGTCGATCATCGATAAACTTCATCATCGTGGACGCCACAATAAAACGTCTGCCTGCTCGGCTCGCCAGCCGCGCAAGTTCATCAGTTGATGGCTGTGGAAAATCGGGATGGCGAGTGCCCAGCTCTCTGAATAACGAGATAGTGGCAGCAACCCCATCCCCAGAAGTTCTCACTGGTATCTCGCACACCAGTGGACGTATCTCTTCTGTCTGCATAGCTTTATGAATATACTCCTCTGAACGACTCGTGAGCAGAATGTGGGTGATGGGCAGATTGGGCTCGCGAAGAGCTTCGCCAAGTAAGGAGATTAGATCAGTGAGCTCGCTCTCAGATGTGTCGTCCTCGGGAGACTCAGAAGCGCATTCATCAAGGGCATCGATAACAAACGTCAAAGGTGGGCATTCACGTAGCCTGAGTTGAAGCCTTTGGAGGGGTTGGAGAAATAACGCCTCCATCTGGTCGCGAAGAGATGTGTCGTGATCTAGCAATGCAGGATTGTCGAGGATGATTCTATTCACGTCTTCCCGGATGCTGGGAAAATTTCTTGCAAGCTGGTAGACAAGAGTCGCGAAGAAATAACCAGTTGTGCGGCGCTTCGTGTGCTTGCGCGAAAAAAAGAATGTTCCTGCAAGCCGCTTTTCCTTGCTTCCTTCTTTTACTTTCAGACCTCTCATTCTTTCGGCTACGGTGAATGCAACAGCAGATTTTCCTACACCCGCCGTGCCATGCAGCCAGATGAGTTGGCTCTTTCCTGGACGGTCCAGTGACTCGTAGATGTAGTTGAGAAGGGCCACTCTGGTCCCTTCCAAACATTTCGGATGGGGCTGATGCTCGCGAGAGTCATGTTGGGCACCCTTGACAGCGACCTGGGCAAGCTTTTCCCAAGTTCCTTCAGACATACTATTATCTAAGAGTTGTTAATAAGGTCAAACGGCGAGACATAAGCTATGATAATACTGACATGTCTGACTCTGACACTTTTAGAAAGGATTATCGTTATCGTGGTATGTAGCTGAATGCCGTTTGATGATTGATAGTTATCGATGATCGATAAGTGACTACACCAGTGCTGGGTCCAAGACTCTAGGTCCGTGTGATTCAGTTACCTGAAAAGTTTCTGCTTCGATAATGGCATCACGAAAGCCACACATGCTGTAAAGTAGGAACAGTCACGGGCAACATATGTCCGACCAGATACTCATCACTTGAAGTGCTCGTCGCAATACCGCACTGACTAACAACTCGGACGATCTTATCGCATGCATATTGCATGCGAAACGAGAGAAGTACAAGCACGAGAACCCACAGAGTGAATGTCGTAGTAAAGCAGATTGACTGTAAAATGGTGTCCACAGTCAAAGTGGAAGCATCATGGCCAAACGGTTGACTCAAGCTCTTCGAGCCTTTGAGGAATGAATACCACTTATGAGAATCATAACAGGATTTCACACATACATGCATATAAATACCCTCAAGTTCCAAGCATCAGGTGCTATCGAAGTCCTCAGCGTGAAGTTGAACATAGTTCAAAAACCCAGTTTTCCTGTACCAGCCAAGGTCAGTCTAACTTCGATAATCCAAGGTAACTTACTCACCGCCCAACCTTCGTCGTGAAATGTCGTGCCAGAGGTTGACGCGACATTTTTGGCAGACACACTGGGGAAGGCGACCAATGTGGTTCGTGATTAGCATCCAACGAGGTTAATAGATAAACTATCGCAGGAAGGGCGGGTTGGTTGAACGGAACGCCATGGTTCTGAAACCCAAAGCCTGGTGGCTGGTGAAAGCCGTGCCTACCTTGGTGATGGAACTGATTCGCAGCAAACCGGGGATTTGCTACATGTGTTTGCGGCATAATAGTTTTTGATCGAAAATCCCTGACATAAAAATCTTGATGGGTTCCAACATGGGTCACTGTCGTAATGGGTGAGCAACGACATCGCAAGATCATGCAGGACCGAGAAAATGCTCACCAAGGATCAAATCCTCCGGCTCAATACCACCATCGGCCGCGTGGCCCTTGCCGTTCCTCAATAGATACTGCCATGCGTCCTTGACACAAGAAAGATAGGCTTCATGCACCACCACGACATCAATCTGACTGTATGGAGGCACTGCGACGGGCCACCTTGTATACAATGTCATTATCACAATTTCTGCCAGGTAAAATATCTCACCCTGCGACAGCTTCAGGCAGCTCGTAGGCTTGGAGAGGTTGTCTGTGTATCGGGATATGCTCCCAGCACCAGTGCTCGCCGTGCGATCGCTGAGACAGGCTGAATGCAGCTTTTCCGTCTTTGATGACGTTGCTGAGAAGAACGAAGGATTCAAAGTCTCCTCCAACCGGAATGTAGCCGATGTCACCGACAGAGAACTTATCAGCCGGCACGTTCTTTTCATACCATGTATGACCATGAGCGCCTTCAGCATTCCAAGTGAGGTCTCGTATCTGTCGCAGAGTCAGTGAAGAAGTCTTAGACTCCGTTTCTTCGATTAATGCTTCTAACTGTATTGGGAGTACGGGAGACTGCCTTCCGCTGGGAAGCAGGGCTCGTGCCAAAGTGACGAGGTGGTTTATTTTCTTTTGTATCTCTTCCGTCACTGCAATGATGTGAGCAAGGGTTTTATCATGAGCTTGAATTTATACCAAATTCCTCCCCTCTGTCATATGAGTACGTGACGTGCCCGTTGTTTGGTAACATCTTGCACCTTCCTTAGTATAAAGCTCAAAGCATATGAAGACGATGCTTACTCGCAAACATGCATCTAGCAATGTATGCGCTAACCCGTAGTTTCGTGCAGTATACCACTCGCCGTCCCGAGGAGGTGGCAGACCAACCACAAGAGTTTTGAGAGAATCGACTCGCAATGAGGAAGCCTACATGATCATAAATATGAGTCGCACGATAAATCAGGCGACGGACCTCGATAAAATCCTGAACCTTATTCTCATCCAGGCTGAGCTGTCTCTGGACGTACATCGCTGTGTCCTAGATGTCTATCAACAAAAGAACGACGGCATATTTGTGGTGAATCATTCACAGCAAGGTCGCGATACTGTATCTCACTGTATCAAACGCTGATCACCTAACCAAAAGAAAGACCTTACAAAACGCAACATGAGCTCTATCGAGGTCCCTAGACTTGATGAACGTAGCATTTCGCGAACCAGAGCTTGAGGGCTCTGCGTCTGAACTGTTCTTGTATTAGATGGCACGTCACGAACACTCAACAGGATAAACACCATTCGCTAGCAAGATAAAAGGAGTTGGGGCTCGTTCATCCGAAAACCCAAGCATCTGAGGTAAATTGGGGTGACTAGAAAATGAGACCAGGTGGAATCAAAGTGCTTCATGTGACATACTAAAGATTCTGCAGCATCTTGACGTCTCGCAGCCATTTCTGAAAACCCAATTTGAGCAACATTCTGTAGACGCGAACACGGCCACATTACAGAATATGCAATGTCCTTGTCATCATCGTATTTCTTGATTAAGGCTCGTTGCCCTTGTACCTGGACTTCCATTGCACCAGCCCACCATCCGTCCTGCAATCGAGACCGGCCGCGTAAGATAACCTCTGACTGGTGATATCGTCGAAACTAGTGTGGTATATGATGCATGAGCAAGCCAAAAAAAACGCAATGGAACTTATTGCTAACCCCATGGTCATCTTCTAGGGTCAATGATAACAGTTCCGCAGGGAGATAATGGTCTGTAAATCTGTTTTCGGATGGTGATAAGGGTTCCCCTCCTGCCGTCACCGGAATATCGGATTCAGCAACTATAGACTCAGCTGCATTGACGATCCCTGGGCTTCGTATCTCTATGACCGAGTCTGGTTTATTCAAAACCTCATGATAGGCAGGCGGAAGTGGAGCATCGATGACTCTTTCAGCTGTCGCGTTCGAAGCAGTACTTCCTCTCAGTGAGTTCACGGCGAGGTGTATATTGATAAGAGTAGCGAGCATCGTCGCAAGGGCTCTTCAGTAATTGGAAGCTGAATTCAACAACACGCACACCTGAAAAGCCTGCGCTGCCTCGTCAAGCATGTGCATGTACTCGACCAGAGCGTCGTCAATCGACGACTTACGCAGGAACCTATCACTCCACTTTGAATCGGCCAACTTTCTCATGAACTGATGGATAGAAATCAGGGTGCTGTCAGGAGTTGAAGTAACGATTGGTCAACAATCGTTTTAAGATAACGGCCAGGTGTACCTTTCAAACCTTTCCAAATTCCTAAGAAGTGACCCCGGAGCTTCATGGTATCGTCCACGCATTTGTTCATCGATGTCAATTAGTATTTGTACAGCACGACGCGCCAAGCGATCACAGGCGGACTTGTTAACTTGAATGTTCTACATGAAGGCGAACATAAGTCGAAGCACGCGAAGACATGCTATTTCAAGCATCCACTCACCTGGATAGTTTGCAAGATGAGTAGCAAGACTGAGACAGCGGCACTGGCTGGAGGAAACTGCATGGTTGCCATGAGATCCCTGGCGAAAGCCGTAGTAGTGATTGCTGCTTGCAAAGGGTCGATATCAATCCCTGGCTTTTTCATACGAATGAATCTAAGTGGCATAGTGAAGAACTTGAAGTTGATTGAGAGCAGTAGTTGGGTTGTTGTACCGAAGGGACAGCCCAGGGACGTGGTATACGAAAAAGCAAGTTGGGAAAACAGTAGTAGCTTAACTGAGACCTCGTGGTGTATCGTGTAGACTGATATCACAGAGTATCACAGACGAGAACGGTAGACTCATCCGTCATGCTGCTATGCATGAGAGTTCAGCGGAGATAACAAGGAGGTCGCCAGGTCAGACCGTCAGCACGAGCTCTGACAGTCAATGTACCTTAATTATACCTCCACAAAATTGCAGTTTATTACTCGAACGATGCATGGACAATGACAGAAAATTTTGGCTATTGTCATTGAAATTATAGTGATGCATCCATGTGAGTGTGTTTCTGAGTTGACCAGGGAGAGCGGAAGTCTAAGACAAGAAAAGCTATCGAAAATAACTCAGCCTTAATTATTAGATTTAGCTATTTATAGACGTTCATTCCCGTAGCACGAAATAATATCCCGTCATTGTAGGGTTAATCCAGAGGACTGCTCTTACTACGAACGTCAATTAGTGTAGCCACTAGGTGCTTGGTTTCTTGTTTCTTTCTCCCCTGATTTGATTGCCCATCTCAAGTGCTCGTTTCCCTTCTAACCAAAGCATCGCCTCTGCCATTCCACAATTTATCATTCAAGAATTCATTTGAAATGTGCTTGCCCATACCTTGATAAGTCTTCGGGACGACTTGTCTAACGACCGCTGCTCCATCATCCGGATACCAAGTGAAACGGAAATCGTTGGTGGTCTGCTCGTGCCCAGTCCGCACATCGACAACATTAGCTTGGACCCCGACATGCTGAAAGACAAACAAGAATTTAGAAGCGAACGAAAAGAAGATTTAGACTTGAAATGTACCACTACACCAGGCAGCTCCCCGGGAGGGGTAGTATGGAGAATTTGCGAGGTCAGCCGTAGAATGGATCCTATAGGAACGGGTTTGGCGAAAGAGATACTGTCCAGTGACATGAATGTTACGTGCGAACGTGTGAAGAGTGATGCATTCGCGAAACCCAGCTGAGAGCACTATATTAACGACGTGGCTAGCAGTATCAGTAGTCAACACACCTCATAAGCAAGTCGCATGAGATAGCCTTTGTGAGATCATCAGTTTTGTACAAGGCAGATTCAAAATAGTCACCTCCGAAGATTTTCTGGTGGACACTTCAAACATGTTATCAAGGCCGCATAAAGACAGAGCCGAATGAAAACTAACTTGCGTTCTTGAGGAAACATAAGCATAGTCTTCTCCAAATTTGTCTCGCCCATCCAAACGCGTTCATAACCGGACAGACCATTGTCTTGAGCGTATTGCAAGTACACTGAGTGCAATTCTTCCGCTTCAGTAGAACTGGGAGGCACCCTAGAAAGAGAGCGAAGGGCTAATGATTGTCTGCGCTTCTTTGCATCTAGTACTTGTCCTCAGTGGATCCAACAAATGTGTGAGACCGTGACGCACTTTCGCCTATCGAATACAGTGCAGTCTCTTCGCGCGAACCAAGTATGAGTGGGTTTACCGGCCGAGCTTTACGAGTTTGTGCGTCCCTGCATACCATAGAGAATCGACCTGGAGGAACAGCGCTTCTCAAGCTAAAGCTCTGACAAGCGGTGATTACTGACCGAGTAGCAGAGTATTCTCCACACCGCTTGCACCGAGTGCTTCCATCTTTACAGCCACCTCCATCGAACTAGTCCCAGTGTAGATGACCATGCCACTCAAACGGATATCCCTGACAGGCGAGAGAGGGGCGAGAACGTCCAGTCTGGATCAAGTTTTAAAAGCGCAGTTTAACTTGACCTTGATGTCCACTAACCTATCAACAGAAGCGGTGACCATGTAAAAGCCTCTTTCACGTATACGACCAAGGGTTTCCACATCTGGTCCCAGCATATGCCTGTAAGATATCGATCCAGCCAGTGAGTCAAGGTGCTCCATAAGCATGCCAGTCCGAAGTCCACCCCATGCGTTAGTATACCGCTCAAGCAACTCCGGAGACGACGCAAACGGAAGAAGGATTTCGGCGTATGTATCGTGCATGTACCGTGGAGGAAGCGGTTGTTCGGGTGCCGGAGCTTCTACAGGATGGTCCTCACTGGAAGATTTCGACGTCGAGGTGGCATTCAAGAGTGCCTCCGACCACAGCATTGGTGTCCTCAACATGATACTAGATCGTGATTAGCTCTGTTTTTTTTTGCCGTCTTTCAACATAATCCGTACTTGTGGTAAGCGGGATTGGCCTTCTCGCCTGCAAAGCCGCCAACTCGACATTAGCAACATCATCAAAACACTCGTTTTGATACTGACTGACGACTTTGAGAAGATCATCCAGCGCTTTGATATCCTGTGTTTCAGTTGCAGCTTTGAGTTCTGTTGAGGTAGTTGCTGCATCGATTGTCTTCCCTAATTGCGCTGGAGAAGACGATATTGACCGCTGAGAGGGGGCGAGGACATATTTGAATGATCTGGTGGGAAGATGCCGTCCTTTCAGCGAACGGAATGCAAACATACTTCCAAATGCTCGACCAGTGGATCAAAAGATTCTATACGGCCACCGCCTTTACAATGTCGGAAGGCATCCGTGGACCGTGGATCTAACACCTTCTCCAAGAGTACTAGTTAAGTACTAGGCTTGAGTTGGGCTGGAGTACATTTAAAATAGAGACATCTTCGGCTTAAGATAAGTTGCCGGGAACCGGAGCCTCAGATCTGTCACGTTATGAGTTGGAATGTAAATTCTAAGGCTCTAATCTAAGTACAACTGTAGTTCCACATATCCAGCGTATGATTCTAACGACAAAAACTGCGCCAGTCTACTGATTAATTCTTCCTGGCAAAAAGCTCACCAAAGCATACCTGCAGAACATAGTTCAGCGTTCAGCGTCCAGTCGGTGATTTAAAGTTGCGCGTAACTCACTTCCCGCTTGTTCTCCACTTGTCGCCTTTGTTATCAAGATTCTCCGCTACTTTCTCATCTATGCCCACCGCTACGTCAGCCTTATTCGTACGAAGACTGAGAAGCGGGAACGATCCTGCCAGTGGGCCTGCCAAATATCATTCTTAAGCAATGACGAAAAGTATTTGTGGGTTACTGACCGATCGCGGTTGGAAATGGAGTGGACACAGGCCACTTAACATCACCTGCAAGTCTGACGTCGGGTCGCAACGATGTTACAGATATTGGCAAAACCTAAAAGTACACTCACTTGCGGTAGCTTCAACGCAGCATTCAGAATTCAGGTTTAGAGATCAGTATGGCGACGAAATACACCCACTTGAGGTCCCCCTAAGGCATGCATATTTCGAATGCTAAGTCTTTGGAAGTTGGCAGATGCTACTCACTTTGAAAATGACCAACCCAGAACCACTCAGCCACTGCCCTAACTCCGGTGCTAGTTCGTTCATGTTCCAGTAAGGCCACGGACCATTCCAAAACTCCGTCATCTTCTGTCCATTGCTAATATCTGTGGCGAGAGTGAAAATACCCTTATCTATATAATCTTTCCATCGAGTGACCATATGCTGCAAGTGGGCAAGAGAATCTGGAGTAGTTGTGGGGTTTGGTGGAAAGAATGTGGGAGAAAGTAGAGACGAAATGGTGTTCGCAAAGTCGGTAGGGGTGACATCAGAAACGAACCATGGGAACAGTTTCGGGCTTGTGAATGTAGTCAGATATCATGATCGTTTCGAAGCCAGAATCTCACGACAACGTACTGGAACACGACTTGAGAGAAGTACGGAGTGTAAGTGACCAAAAAGTCTGCAAAAACGAAGTCTGTAAATAGCTGTATTTCGAGGTTAGCGATATTGCTTGCAGAAACGACAAATAACGAACCTCAAAACCAGCTGTTCATAACAAATGATCAGACACAAGAGCAGTGAAAAGTAGTGAAAAGTACCGTTATCTAGCACGAAGTCCAAACGCTTTCCTTGATTGGCCAGAGTTTTGATGTAACTCCAAACAGCACCTTGGTCGTCCTTGAGAATGAAGTCCGACCTCGCCTCCTGAGCCTCTTTACCGACCGTCTGCAGGTGCTCTATGTCCGACGGCGAGAGGTGCGTCAAGAGGGAAAGATCCTACATATATCGATGTCAACGATCTGCGAAAAGGAGCCTCACGGGAGACTTGCTGTTGCATTGCCCCTAGATCGAGCGTCTATTAAAAGGCACGAAAACAAAAATATAGACCAACCAAAGGCACATCTGAATCATCTCCTTGAACAATACTTCAAGTTTATCAGAATCCCCCTGAAGTTTGACCTTTTCGCTTTCTAATTCGTGCATAGTGGTTGCGATTTCTAACAAAACCGCATCATGTCAGTCATATCCGAGAAAACCAAGGCCTGGTCGAACTTACGATAGATAGCTGCCCCGCTGTTCTTGAACATTTCTTCCTTTTGTGTTGAAAACGGGTCATACCCGCGCCAGTATGTTCTCTGGTTAAAGTACGCGCGGATCAGACGGTATCTATACGTGTCTAAGCATGCAGTAGCTCCTGTTCGAGATGACATACAAGTAGCATCTGCACGTATAATTCAGAGATCTGAAGTTTATGGGGCAGATATGACCTACTCTGCATACAACCATGGTGCCCTGAACCAAGTGTCGCGGGACGTCTGTTTCAGACTCTCAAGTTCGGCATTATATTCTGCGACCAGAATGTCCCCATCCTGAGGTATGTTTCTGTATCATATGATTAGGATCTTGAGGGATCTAAATACGTTGAGGAAAGACGATAGTCATGTTCTACCCACTCGAGATCGTGGTCCCTTGCCATTCGATACTTCAAACGGCTTATTTCTGAGATAATTTCTTGCCCCTCTGTTATCTTCTTAGACAGTTCTTCTGTCTTGGAAACGTCCGAATCGCGGACTTGTTGAATTTCTAAAGTCATGTCATGGAGAAGACGATGCACATGATCGATGATGTTTGTCAAAATGATGGGCCACCTCTTCACCACTGTGTCATATCTTGATGGACAGCCAGTCAACTACAGACCTCTCGGAGTGCGAGGGAAAGGAGACTCACGAGAATCTGGATGATTAGACCCATCAGCCTTCTTCTCATGTCGTGTGCAAGGGTCAACTCACCCAGATGTATCAGTTGGATCATAAGGTGGGTATGGTGCTTGGAACATCTTGCAGTTCGTGGATTATGTTCTCTTCGACCTTGTAAGAAGAAAACCAAAGATCGACTGATCAATTCAATGATCGCAAACTGGAAAGACTAGCTCAAAACTGTGGGAAATAGTAGCAGACTTCTTTCTATAGCCGAGCCTCATGGGTATTTCTCTATCCACACGTACACCCAAATACACTTGATTATACACTCTCGAGGTCGGGCTAGGTTGTATAGAAGCACCTCAGGACAGGCTAGGCGATGACGTGCAATTGAGACACATGAAACATATCAACGATTTGACTACGCGTGACGTAATAGACCCGGGCACCGAGCGGATTTCTACGGAAGACTCAAGGAAGACTCCCATCAACGATGATAATAGGCTCAGTAGACTTGGGCTGGGGGAAGCAGATAGACACTATGTTGACGCTGGCCCTGCGTGGCAATCTAAAGTAGTTTCGAGTCTTGGTTCACTCACCTTCGAAGCGCACGTCGGGCCTTTCAGGAGCATATACCATGTACTACCAGTGTCACTTCACTGTTTTCTTCGGCTACGATGAATCATATGATCCATACATCCCACCGATCTCTCCTACCCGCATAACAGTTCAACGGCGGTTCTCTCACTTCATCGTGTCACCACTTCGCTAACTATTCCTGGTATTGCACTCCCACCACTCCTGGGAAACAGTATGCTGGGCGGTTCAGTGCTGATTTTGTTGAGGCTCGTAGAGGCGAACTCGAGAGATTGGGTGTATTGTGAGGCACCCTGTTGCACGATAGGCTGAAGTTGTCACGTCTTTTCTTGGTTGCGACAATGGTGCGGTGAGCGTGAATGATAGGTTTACTTTTGCTGTTTAACCCATGTTCAAGGATTGGAAACGGCTTATGCCCCAATTACTTTCAATGCCCGCTGCTGGGCCTTCATTCTTCGCACATGTTTTCATCCCGCATTCAACGTAGATGTGGACGATGCCACAGAAGTAATCGATCGCTTCAGTCGTCACACCCTTGCAGTGAGCAAGAGCACGCAGAGCTTGAGAAACCCATTCGTGAAGTGAGACTAGGTGAGTACGGGCGTCAGTTGTGCCAAATTATCATCATGACGTGCTTTCCAGAGATGTCGAAAGCCGAACGATTGTTGTCCTACTCATTATTGTCCTTGATTACGTCGACACCTTTGTCTTCTACTCCCCTGGGGATTAACGAAGATCCGGGGGATACCCCTCAACAGAGAAACGGGCTCTTGAACGAAGATGGTGTCGAGATGCGAGAGTTCCGAGATGTCGAATGCCGAAGAGTCCGAGACGTGAGGTACGAGCGCATGCTAAAGCGGAAACGGACGAGCGCGCATTGACAGCGGCTCGTGCCCTCCCTTATTTTTCGTGTCTTTGATTAATATATGTTCCTGCTCGATTTACCTTATAGCCAGGACCAGATAGTTAGACGCATCTCAGTCTTGTCCCAAGTACTGAGATGTGAGTACCATTAGTTACACGATGTACGAAATAACTAATGTCTTTCGTAGCGTTTTTCATTCTATTAGGTACATATACCGAATATACAGAGTCTTGTCCCAAGTACTGAGATCGTTTTTCATTCTATTAGCTCCCTCCGACGCGTCCGCTCGCCTTTAAAATCTACAGATGGAGCTTGGTGTTGGCGTGAAGGCTGTCAAGGTGCTCACGTGAATTTCCGGAGTTCATGACTAACTGAGACATGACGCGAAGATTGTCTGAAGCTCACAAAAGCGATGCAGAAAACATCAGATGGTCTGCAGATTGTTGCAGACCTGTATGACAATCATGTCTGTGTCATGTTCCTCATACAAGACTTGTACTAACCACAGACGAAGGCCCGGCGTACCCAGCTTGCAACTCACGACGCCTTCAAGAGCGTTGCTCATCCATACCAATTGTATGAGGTATCTTGGATTGTTCGATCACCGTTTTTGCCCTGAGTGTGATCGTTCCAGGGAATTGTTGAAACCCACCAATCTACTGTTTCACGATATAAAGATGCTCTCAAATTGGGAAAGGTCGGAACGTTCACAATTTTTGTGGAAGACAATGGCTTGATGCATTTGTCCAGTCAAACGATGAGATGGCCGCACGCTGCGAAACTGTCTTAAACATTACGATGGCTGAGATAGACACATACCACGACCAGAAAGTGGAAAACTTTGGCACAATAACGAGGGAGTATCTTGATGGAGAGATACACTTTTACAAACAGGTCCTGCACAAGCTGAAGGCAGCCCGGCGCACCTTCGACGCTCTGCGTTTTGACGAGCTGAGCAGGTCACCTCGTCAGCCTTCAGGATATGAGCGGGATTTAGAAGCCCCGAAGCAGCGAAGCAGAATCCTCCACCACTGCCACAGCCCTGTCCTCATGTCTATGACTCTGCGTCTATGAGGCCAGTGAATACGGCAATACACAAGGGGATCGGAGCACTACCAGGGAAGTCCCAGCCTGGTAGGAAGGGGAGTCTTTTGGGACTAATGTGGGTTGAATAAAGTACCTGATGCGGTATAAAAGCTGTTACTGTCACTTCATGTTGCGTGGCTGACTCCGTTGTATTTAGAATGTTATCAGCAGTTTCCGACACAAAAATCGGGTCGACTTACATGAAACTCTCTATGGACGTCTCTTTTTAATTATCTATAGCTACTGTCTCCAATTAATTTGGAGACGTTCCGTCTATACCACAAAATGTACGCCTTGGGTCGCGTCTTATTGTCCTTTAACTGATATTTGATCGTCCCTTAGGGGTTTTGTTTAAAAGGTGCCTTGTTGTTTGGCTCGCGTCCTCGAAGAAGATGATGCCTTCCTGGTGACGAGCTCCATGCCGTCCGAGACTATCTACATTACTATGATACTTTTTACTACCCTCAATGTCATCTTGTATGTTTAAAACGCTCGAAAACTTTGGCACGTGGCTCAAAGTCTCTCTTGCCTTGCATTTTCCTGTGTAACCTGTTGCTCTTCCACCTTTTAGCAGGGGCTCCAACAGAACATTTTGGTTATTAGTGGTTTGATAGGTATGCTTGAGGTCTTCTGACTTGCAAAACTCCAATTCTCTAATTCTCCGATCCCCTCTCAGCATACCTCATCTCCTTGCCATGCTCATTCGTGATAGAAGCATACATCGATCCAGGAGTCCGCGCGATTCATTCCTGGCCCAGATGGAGGAAAACGCATCTGAGCACCAATGAGTTATCAGCCACAGTGATTCACGCTTCACAGTAACTTCATTATCATCTGTGTGCTCAGATAGCGGAACTCCGAAAACGCGTAGAATTTGCTATCTCGGCAATTTATACTGATTCTCATTGTATTTTAGTATTAGGTGTCAAGGACTGGGTTGGCTGTTAGACATGCTGAATCATTTCGACTGGTCACATGGTGCAAGTATGGCTACTTCGTTCCCGTAGTAATATAACAAGAAATAGGTTTGCCTAGACCTTTCAAATATACCTTGAAACACTATATGCTAAATAAATACCTCGACGGATCCTCGACCCAGTTTCTCCTCCCTGCAGACTACTCGCCAAGCATTTCCCTACACAGTACTGCTAGTTGGTATAAGTACACGCTCCTGGAAGACAATCGAATTCATGCTAGCTTCTGCGTCCGAGTCGGAGTCGGCCACGAGTGTGGCGTGGTATTCTCGAACGCTAAGGATGAGGCGTGGTCCCAGCACAAACATCTGCATGGACAGTAGAATGTCAGAAGCACTATCAAGTATCTGAATTCCTATAGAATCTGTATTCTACAGAAATGATGAGCAGTGGTTACAAGCAGACGTCAGCGACAGGTCGGCGCACCATGAGCTCTGCAGAGTAAATAGCAAGCTCGAGGCAAGAGAGGCAAACAAAGCTAGCATGTGCGAAACTTGAGAAAAAGATAACCACATTCACATTACAAGCTCACCTTGCAAAATAAAGCATGTGAGATCTTATCAGCACTCTGAAAAAGTCCCCGGTTGTTGATCCTATCGATGGGCGGAGTCGTCGCGGGCCATGGAAGTGTTTTACGGTAATCCAGACTGAAAGACACAGTGCGAGGACCTCCCAAACAGTGTAGATCATCCAAAACATCAAATACAGAAGTTGGTTGTCCCCTTCATATTTGTAATCGCACATGTACCTGCCAGAGAGAATTAGCTCCTCTGGTGTTTGTCCAATGAGCTGTGTTCTTCAAGTCAACAAGTAAAGCTCACCCGCTACAGTGTCCTTGATTGCTATTGATCCAATTACTGCGCAAGCAATGATAACAGCCAAAGAGATAACAAGAAGAAAAATGAGCATCATTCTAGATCCCAAATACATGGCATATAAGCGAGCAATCATGATGACTTGCATTGTGTTTTAGTCGAGTCAATATCACAGGTATTACAACTGGGTAACTTACCATCCAACATGGCGTATATGACCCCAATTGCCCCATTCAGAGTGTAATTCATAGTATTACCTAAAATACTCAATTAGTGAACACCCTCGTGCTGGTATCAAAAGCTCCGACTTACACCTATTGAGATATTATGTTGGGCCAAGTTCAATGGTCAGAATCTCACTTACAACTAAATATGAGCGTAGGAATGAGATGGTTGTGTAATACTCACTGTATCCGTCAGCGAGACCAATGGCAAATCTTCTATGTGCCGTCAGCCTGAGTCAAAAGGATCGAACACAGCACATATGAGACATACCCAGAACATTGATACTAATTGTCAGAAATGAGTTATTAACACGGTGATAAGTTGTGGGTCTCGACACATACACAGCATATGGTATTCCAATATAACGTACCTAAAACATATTGGAGTTAGTATAACCTGCCGACCACGCTATATAGTATAACACGAACAACCAAATACAGCACAGTCATGAGAGACCAGCGTTGCCTCTGTCGCGAATTTATTGTGTTCTCCTGTTTTCTTCTGATACGGGAACTTGTCACTCACCCATATCAGTTCAATCTATGACACCGTTCTCAGCGAGTTGACTGCTCCGACGATAACATCGACCTACCTCTTGTTCCAGTGTTAGTACTAGAAATATTATGAGAATATCAGCAGTCGTCGAACACTATTCCGCTCACCCCAATCATATATTACCATGACGCCGGCAGCAACTGCGAAACTGCGAGTCAATGTTAGAACTAGACAACTTAATGTGACGAACCTGTCCAATAGCTGAAAATAGTACTTGAATTGATTGTTGGCCACCAACTGGGATCATTGGAAATTACAGTCATATTTGAGAGATGGGGTGAGTGAGTGGGAGATGTTAGTGGTATATAGCGCTACTTCCGTGCTGAATATATAATCAGTTTGCAAACCAGTGCTATTGCGCAGGCCATCACTTGAACACTAAGAAAGTTCCAGTCATCAATGATGCCGGCAACTTATTTCCAACGTGATTTTGTGCTGCGAGCTTGCAAAAATAGAGGAGTTCCTTGTGAAATCATGTAATCATCCAAGCGATGAATCGATGACCCTCGGTCGTTGGGTTTTGTGCTGTACAGCCTGTATTAACGAGTCCAAAAGTAAAAACGGCGACCGCTAAGTCGCTGTCAGGGAGAGCAACGTAGCCGTCGTATTTTTATTGTCGTATTGATATCTAGAAGCATTTTAAATGCCAACCAATTCGTAGCTGGTCGCCATAGTGGTGGAAAGCAAACCTGAGAGCGTGCATCAGTACTAGTACTACACAGCATGACGGGGTGGACACAATTGACACCGAGCCGGCGGCTATTCGTGCTTATGTTAGATTCGCCAACGATTTGACTACGCGTGACATAGACCCGGGCACTGAGTCAGGAATCACTTGGATACGCATAGGATATATATGAGTAGGTATGTCAGACTCCTGGTGGGTTGGAGATGCAGCCATGCTGCACTGATAAGCAGGGAATATTTGCACCAGTGGGCTCATACTGCACCGAATTAGTTCGTCTTTATCAAAACATCGTAGTGGCCAGGGCTACCAAATATCAGCTTGTGATGACCAAAAAATTATCATCGACATACCGATAGATGAGAGTCAACGATTTGTTATTTTCGCCGTCTGGCGGTGTGATATCTTGGAAGTGGGCTTGGCCATCCGGAGAGTGACCATCAAGATATGCAATCCTGATGTGCAGCTTTAGAGCCCGACACAAGGCCGCCACCTGAACATGATCTATCGAATGACATCAACGACTTGAATAGATCGATGTGACTATAACTCAGTATAGTGACCTGCTTCTTTCCCAAGGGGATCGACATATTGCCGACAGAATTCGGTAGGTTCCAATTGTTCTCCTGAATCGTCGAAGAGAAAGCCAGCATAATCATCGCTCGCGGATTGGATTTGAGCGGTAGTCAAAAGTCGCAAGTACGTGACAATACAGTTTGACGCTGCAGCGTGTCAGCTACAAGGAGGTTGGCCGTACACGAGAAACTTACTTTCGTCTTCAAGAAAAGCAGACAGTAGACGGCCATGCGTTAACACTTTATTAGGGTCGGGATTTCCAATGGCATCTACTAGATCCATAAGGGGTTCGCAGAAAGTCGAAATGATATCCGCGTCCATGAAATTACGTTCCATCATTCTGGAGCCCGATTCTATTACAGATTTTGCAGCATAGACGAGATTTGGCGAATCAACGAGGCTGCTAAGGTATGCATATGCCAGAGCTTATAATACAAAATCGTGAGTATGCAAAAGACGGAAGTTGTATATTAAACTTTACCTCGGTAGAAGCAATTTCCATCACCTAGTTTAAATGTTCGCATCAGGTTGTGCGGGTACCTGGCTTCATTGATATACTACCTTTAGTACGGATAATCTTTGTATAACCTCGATTCAGCAAGCTGTCGATCTGCGCCACAAACGATGGGGCGCCAGTGTACTCTGCCCGGAGCTCATGTATCGTCGTCGGTGGAGATATCAGAGGCCGATCTCGACCCATACTCTCCTCCAATAATTTCTAAGAAGGAAGCTGCATCAATCGTGTCCTCAGCGCAGACCATCGAATAGCAACCAACCTGGCCTAATTCATAGAATTGAGATCTGTGTGCCCCATCATAGGTATCTGCCAAAGGATGATTACATCGTGCTACTGGTAAGCAGCACTACATACCTAGCTCTTCTGATAATTTGGCAGTACCTGGGAAGTTTGATGACTTGAACTGGGCTCCTTCGGCTTCAGGTACATCAGCATCTCGTGGCCTCACTAGAGATGATAGTAGCACGTCGTGTGATGGGATAGTTAGACTGAAATGGCTAACTCACGAGGACTCCCAGGCGATGTAGAGCTTGAAGATTGGTTGTTCATAAGGATCTTCTGGATGTTAATTGGACGTGTGATACTACTTAAATGTCGTATGTGTGTGCTGTTCTCAGTTATCAAGTTGTTATGTAGTCGGCCACCGAGATGATCCAAGTCTTCTGTTTTCAATAACACCAAACATGGTCAAACATTTTTGAGCGGCCCGGCCGGGACTAACTACTCCGAGTCAGTACTTACTACTTATATAATTAGTACACATTGCAATTGAGTGCAAAAGTATGGGTTGACCGCTATTATTGCGCATGTATCCGACCACCATAGAACCTCCAAATAAAAGTCTATTGACATCAGACGACAATATTCAAAATCATTGGCCCCTTTTAGGTCGTTCAACTCGAAGACACGAATGTAAAGAAACAGGGCCGATTCAATACATTATACCAGTTCTAAATGACCAGCACAAACTCTTCAGCATCTTGATATATGCTACCCTGAGAATATTAAAGAAGAGTCTGAATATTTGTGATACTACAATATTTACAGATATACTATTTGCGTGATATGCTGAGACTATGCCGAGAAATAAAATGCGATACAAATACAACCTCAGTCCACTTGCATCTCTTCTTCTGCCACCGTCCCAAGCGCGACCAGCACGCGATCTGAAACTTGAGGAGAAAGCATCGCGGAAAGTGATCGCATGCGGGCAACAGAGGCACCTTGTTTAGGGAGACTCTTGATGGGGCATGAAGCTGTTGTAGATAGGGTAGATAGATGCCGAGACGCTCTCAGAAGACACGTCAACTCGGATACTCGCGGGTTTTCCATACTCATAGACGAGTTCCGTCCGAGTTGAGCGGCTTGGGGTGGAAAAGCCTCAGTAGAGGCGTATGAGGGGTCCAATGTTTTGAACTCAGGCCACATTTCCGCTAGATCGTGAATCCACTGCGTATCGGGAGCAAGCAAGGCAGCTTTTGCCTGATTCTCTCGCTCTTGAATATTCGATCTCAGAGCCAGGAGTTCAGCTGAAGTGAGCATCATGAGACATGCACGCATAATCGAGAATGAGCTGGATACGTACAGCGGATGTCACTGGAATCGTGTGGAGACGTGAGGCATTGGTTAATGATGTCAATCAAGCGTAATCGGGCGATTGAATGCGTTGGCACAAGGTACTGTGGGTCGAAGCCCTCCTGGAGTGTCAGAGAGACGCTCACAGAACGCTCGAACATCACGTCGGCAAGCTGGTGTGCTACGAAGTCAACATCTAACACATTATCAAGCTAAAATAAATCCAATACCTCCAAGATATCTAAAAGCTATAAATTCTGTAAGCCAGCGCGTCAAAATCACTTGAGACAGAACATACCAGCTGGCAATTTTTCGTAGTAAGTAGCGCCAGGCTAATCAAAGGCATTAGGTTATCGCAAGTGGAGCGATATGTTGTCATGTCTGGGGTAAAGAACTGGAACAAAAACGCAATGAAGATTTTGCCTAGCTGGTCGTTAACGAATGTTGTTCCAAGTTCAGTGTTCGCAAAGAATGCGTCTGCTTCGCCGAGTGGCAAATTCTGAAACTCTCGCAAAAAGGCGTCGACTTCAGTGTAAGTTTGTTCTGACATATTGAGAATGGTAGTTCGAAAGATACAGGGAAGAAGATGAGAGTGTGTTGGGTCTGCTGTCCATCTCGAGCACCTTTATATCTCTGGCTGCAGTGTTAGTGGCAGGGCGAAAGACCATTGTTTTGCTTGAAGCGTCCTGTGGATGATGTTTACCGAACCACAACGAAGCGGGAACGTACCACACTGACAGTGGTTTAAAGCACCGAACAAAGGGCCATTAGCATTGATCTACAACCGTAATATTTTCAAATCGGCAAAGTCTCCACACTGGCAAGGTCATGTGAGGGGACGTAGTTCAAGTGTAACTGTGGTCTTGACATGTGAACCATTTGAATAGCGTAGGATGATGTCGGTTGTCTGTGGGAACGACTGATCAAACTTGAATACCCACTGTGCTAGGACAGTGGAGAAGGTCTGAGCAGGAGTAACCGCTTCTATTGTCCACCTTGAAGACCACGTTCACATCACACTAGATCTAAAGGCCACGCTTGAAGCGTTGATTTCAGTATTACGAGCCACATTCCCCGCTTGAACTAAAAAAACATGCCAGTTGTCACCCGTCTAATAATTTCCGGCAAAACACCACTATTGTGCTGTTGCAAAAGAACTCCACAAGTCAACCACTTTTCGCTTGGTGCGCAGCGTATTGCGCTGGAGTGAAGGATTTCTGCAGTGATAGTCGTTCAACCAAAGTAGCGTTCCAATACGAATAAGCCTGCAAGCCTACCTGAGAAAATGCGTGCAGCTGCGATATTTCTTGCTTCAGTGCCTGGTTGACTATCAGACGATGAGCATCCCTGTATTATGATTAACGTCATGCTGAGACTCTCACTTAATCTATGTCTTGCAAGAGTAGTCTTTCCCTCAAAGGCCTGTGTGATAATTCCATTTCACGTTGACTATTAGCAGCTTCAGCTCGTTTCGAACACGTACCTCACTGACCAAGAGAATTGCATAGCTGGATCCACACCCACTCGACTGATCCTCGATGTCGAGATGGGACACAGGAAATGCAGCTCGAATTGCGCGTTCCAAATCCTCGATTGTCACAGGCATGCCAACAGTCAATGGTTGTGTGGAGGAAGAAAAGCGGAAGTAACTTTGTATTTGCTTGATCTGATTAGATATCAGTCGCTTATTAATATTCTATAGCGCATTCACGGATAAATAGATTCAGAACCCCTAGATAAGACGTTGCTTCCAAGCACGTCATATCATCACCATCTCATCCAACTCCCGTGGGACCAATGTACAGAGAACTAGCCAAAGCCGCCTTCGGGTACCCCATCGTCGATAACCACGCCCACCCATTCCTGAAATCAAAGCACCGCGACTCTATCCGATACGAAGTACTCATATCTGAGGCTCATGGCGATGCCTTAGATGATGCCGTTCACACCCTTCCTTGCTTGCGTGCAGCAGCTCAGTTATCCCAACTCTTTGGATTGACAGGTGACGATGCTACCTGGGAAGGCGTTAAGAAGAAGCGGCTTGAGTTCGATTATGCAGAGTTGTGTAAGCTCTGCATGGAGCCTACGGGAATTCAGTGTATATTATTCGACGATGGCTTGGGTGGAATCGCAGAAATGGCTGAAGACTTGAATTGGCACGACCAGTACACTGGAAATCCATCGAAGCGGATTGTGAGATTAGAAGTGGAAGGCCAGGTAAGGTATCGTCATTCCCATCTTGGAGAAACGCTCAATTCCGATGCTTAGAACATCTTACAAGACATCCTTGTTGCAAATGACGACTCGCCTCTTTCGATCGATAATCTCTGCGACGAGTTCCTGAAGGAGTTCACCACCTGCATGAATAATGCTGCTGTAGATGATCGTGTGGTAGGGTACAAGTCTGTCGCTTGCTACAGGCAAGTAGTTGCATCATGACTTGAATTAATGATCAGATCAACTCACTTATGCGACAGAACCGGCTTGGATGTCGACCCTGCACCCTGTAGCGCAGATGAACTCTTCAACTGCCTAACTTCTGCATCTCAGCAGTTCAAGGAAAAGGGTTCCATTCGGTTTGAGCACAAAGCTTTGAATGACCACCTAGTCAAGATAGTCCTCGATATTGCAGGCAAATGCAAGAAACCTAGTAAGCGTTCGCTCCATCCCGCGCGACGCCCTCCCTCTTACGTCGTCGAAAGTCCAGTTCCACACAGGTGCGTTGTACAACAGCGGCCCGGGTCGCATCATGTGATGCTTATCCGCCTGAAGGTCTCGGAGATAATGAAATCACGCTGACAAAGTCTTCTCCGGCGCATATGCAGCCTATCATCAAGGCGTTCCCAGAAACTATATTCGTTCTCCTGCATTCCAGCTATCCTTACACGAGAGACGCTGGCTACCTCACGTCCGTGTACAAGAACGTTTATCTCGACTTCGGAGAGATTTTCCCTTTTATTTCTGCTGATGCCCAACGCACTGTGGTGCGTCAAGTGCTTGAGTTGGCGCCTACCAATAAGATCTTGTGGTCTAGTTAGTCAGCAGTCCATCTGTCACCGCACACACTACTTACCGTCACACAGCTGATGCGGCATGGTGGCCAGAAAGGTTCTACCTTGCCACTGCCCAAGCTCGCGAGGTGATATACGAGGTGATCGGCAAATTTCTTTGGGGTGAATCCTTTAGATATGAACCTTAATTTTTCAGGTCCTAGCGGGCTTCGTCGGCAAACGAGACCTCACGGAAGACCAGGCGGTGTCTATCGTAAAGATGGCATTCTTTGAAAATGCGAATCGCATCTATATGCTAGGGCTTCAGCCGAATGTCAATATTTTGTCTCCCCAGTTATAGTCACCTTGAACACACGGACATGGGTCCAACACAGTTGGAACAGAGAAGGATTGGTGATACAACAGATTGTAATAGTCGTTCCATGGTTTAAGCAAGGTGTTTTCGTACCCATGCACTCGTTTTAGAGGCACTGAAGTATTCATCCATCGTCAAACACGACTTCTTGGCTGAGTCCTGAGACTTCCCTTGCAATCTTCTTCCTTCCTCCAAAAGTCGGAATCCAATGAAGTGAGGATGTCATAGACCGATACGACACGACCGTCGTATGGACTGAGCGCGATTGAAGAGGGTCCGAAAGTCGCCTGACATTGAGATTAAATGGTGGAAAACTATATGAAGTGCCTATGTCGAGCGCTTTTCTCTGGGCAGACCATACCAGACGGGAGACAGTCGTTCACAGCTTGTGGGTGAAAGAGAAAGTGAATGGATCACGGTGAACCTTTGTTTCAAGCGGTGCCGGGTCATTGTAATATAGGCCTTAGCGCTGACTTTGAATTAATCTTGGACATCTCAGCGCTCTGTCATTATCCGGGCCATGAGACTCTTTGGGTGGGGCATATTGCGACACATCAGGCTAAACTCGATCACTGTTTTCACAGAAATTGATTTGGTAGTATTCATTGTATGCACGCTGAGATGTTCTTAATACTCGAGTCATATCTCTGTCGCAGATGTCCACTCGAATATGATTTCTCGAGAAAAGTTCAGCAAACAATGTTTCAATGTCTCTCAGATAAGATTATCGCAGAGTCCATTCAGCGCCTCGATGATAGCATCGCAGTTCGGTCGGAAGAATATTATGGCTACAGTCGCCAGATCATGTAAGTATACGGGGGATGGCAGCCTGAGGTACTATAAGCGTGTCGGTCACAAGCAATGACGACGCAGTTGGAATCTCAAGATCTCAGCGCTGATCTCCTAGTATCCAGTTTAGTGTCAGTGTCCATGAGACTCCTGAGCCCACTCCCAGGGATTGTCGTGTCACCTGTCGCAGGCTGTATGCAACAATGGGTTGGAATTACATATCATCGGCATTTCCTAGTATTCTGCCGTCAATATATCGTCGAGGATAGAGCAAATCAAACCTGAGGTCTGCTGGCAATGCAAATGACATCTGTCTGAAGGGGTATTTCGGATGCGCAGAAGATTATCCACTGGCAGGATATAAAAGCAAGCTGTCTTCCTACCATCCCCTTCAGCTTTGTTTTTGAAGTCTCATATCAGATCTCACAGATAATGCGTCTCCCCTTCATCCTCGTCGTTGTTGCTGCTTTCAAGTTGTCAGTGTCCACACCAGTGGTCAGTGATGAAAGTAAATGTCCCGACTCCTGCAGCAACCGTGAAGTTTGCTGCCCTGGTACTACATGCCAGGAAATAATCACTGACTGGTGGGTGAGTATGAGTAGTTTTCATCTACCTCCGTCACGATGGCTTACCGGCGTGGTAGATCTACTTTGTGTGTCTCTGACGCTACAGTGAGTCGTGTTTCCGCTCTCGCCTTCTGGTCAAAAGCCATCAGAATCGTGTATTTTAAAAAGTCTTGAGGCACCTTACAATGTTGATCCAGCCTTGCCAGTTCCAAGCAGGCTGTTCATAGCTTACATGACTCATACTGGCAGACAGATAGCACATTGCAATGCAATAAATGGAATCCAGTGAATTTCATGATCGTATAATACAAAGCAGTGCAAGTAACAAAACTACACAGGTGTCTATGCGAGTCCGACACCATCCGAAAGCAGGATCAAGGGTGTGATGAGAGTATACGAGAGACATCAAGTGCAAGACATTGTAGGCGCAAATGGAGTCATGAGTGCAAGAGTAATATACAGCATGAGCACGAATTGAGTGTAATGCAGTGAGTGACAGCGTTGAAATCCGTGTGACTAAAACCAATAATCAGATTAGGCAAACAGACCAGGATTTAAAATAACTAGGCAGCCTTTTTACCCCGACGAGGCACAGGAGCATCCGCATCTGAGCGGTTTCATTCTCGGGAACTCTAGAATCACCCTACAGAACCTCCCTAGTTGAAATATCGTCAACCAGGGGGTATAGCTCCGAGTTAATATCAGCACTGGCAGTGGCTTGTACCACGAGCGACGCGAGAGCCAGAAACACCCAGCACCAGCGCGTATGGGTGTAGAATTCCTTGAGTGGGTTGCTCTGAGAAATGTGTTTCCCGTCTGACCAACCCTCTTCTTGCTCTTCGACGACAAGTCCTAGTCTGTAATTGGAATAACATTAGCGTTAGCACATGGAAAAGTCAAGAAACACACGGTGCAGCACCAAAGGCACTCTTCTGCGTATCTGCACGTATGGCAGAGAACGAGTTCGTAACAAATAGATTGATAAGCCAAATGTTCAACACGAGGATGCAGACAATAAAATAGAAGCAGCAGACAAAAATTCGGCATCGATGATCGAGCACATGATTGGGGATCACTGAGAGGAAATTAGCGCGACAGAAATATGAATAAAAAACACATACGCCATTGGCTGAAGTCACGACGACAACTTGAAGTGCTGCATAAAGCTCAACCAGAAGCTGAAAATGGCGATGAAGTGGATTCTTCCCCAACTTTGGCACAAGTATGGCATATCACGATACACCTTGTCGCGTGCATTATCGATGTTTAATCGGAATGGCAGTGTAAGGCTGAGTTCGAGTTGGAAGGGGAATGCTATTGACGAAGGGAGCTGTGAAATGCTGTAGCGAGAAATGAGTTTTCTTTCGAGCGAGTGCGTTCGAGTCTTGCGAAGTCTGGCAGAAAACGGATGGTCATTCGATGATGTCTTAGAAAAAGTACATGGCTATATGTGTGTGTGTGTGTGTGTGTGTGTGTGTGTGTGAGAGAGTGGCAAAACGTACGAGTGGCATGTAAGGGTGGTAAAGAATTGGTGAGCAAGACGGAGGTGTTGTCGAAACGAGGGCATAAAGAGAGAAAGGAGAACCGGTAGCAAAATAAGAACAAAGGCAGAAATAGAAATATGAAAGGGAAATATAACGGAAGGCAGTGCGTACTATGTCACAAAGGTTGAAGTGAAGGTCCGAGCGAGCGTCCACCACCAAAGCCATAGGCTTCCTTACAGCAGTGAGATCACGTCTGAAGGTGTTTGGTCTGACCGAAGGGCACGAGAGAAGAAGGTTGGCTGTGAGGGATTCCGGAGATGGGCGCGTGAAGAAGGCTCATCTACTATGATCTGTTTTTCTTGACGCGAAGCGTCATGAGGCAAACTGCTTGGACCAACTACTATGTCAGGCATCGAACATGACAAGGAACCGGATGCGGAAGGACCTGCCCTCGATGTCGACGTTATTGATAATGCAAAGAAAGCTGATATTGGGACTTCAGGATCTAGCAGAAATCCAGAAACGCATATTCGGCATAGACTGATCCGAGGGAAGAAGGATTGAGTGAGACGCCTGAGATATCAATACACAGGCGATCATTAAACAAAGTATCAGAGGTTCGGTCCATCTGCAAGGATGATTGATATTGTCGGGCGGGAGAAACCTAGAAGGGGCATACGGATGAGAAAGGAAGCCATAGAGGCGAAGGCGAAACGTGCTGGAGGACTCTAAGAAACCGAGAGTGCGCCCTCGTAAGGGAGTTAGCTTTCTGGTAAGGAACGCTTGTCGTTCGTTCAATTGTTCTTCGGAAGGCTCCTTGTTATCTTGTGTGGGAGAATACTCGCCATCGTCGAAGTCTTCATCCGGTATGCGAATTGAATTGTCCAAGGCGTGGCCCTGACAACGCAGAGAGATGCGCGTTGAAGGTGAAAGTTTGACATTACCATGAATGCTGAGCCCATTCGTTTGAGAGGGGAAGGTGAGGAACTGTAACGCAGCGTCCTCCGCCTGGTGGGGCCTGCAGCACCTCCCGTGCGCTCGGAGTCACTGATACGGTCAAATCATTAGACTTTAGTATTAGCCCTACGCCAGGCTTACGGTATTTGCCGAGGCCTTGTCAGCTTCTGCCACAGGTGTAATAATCAAATTCAAGTCCTTAGCGCTGACTTCGAACCAAGAGGTGTGTGAATTAATCCGGCCAAACTTGGACATCTCAGCGCTCTGTCATTATCCATGAGACTCTTTGGATGGGGCATATTGCGACAGCATCAGACTAAACTCGATCACTGTTTTCACAGAAATTAGTTTCATAGTATTCATTTAGTCGTCCGAGGTGCGTAATATTAATAGCGAAGCTGCCAGGATTACCCCTAAAGAGGGGGTCAGTAACTTTCCACTACAGGCGTACTTAGTAGGTAACAGATTCACGTGCACCCCGAAAGACACATTCAAGTTTGTATCTTCGTGTCTCACCACGGGTCCAGTTCTAGAGATATATCTCCGCTCATGGTTAGTGGGAGAAAGGTTTTGTCACACGCAAAGTTTGATTTTTGAGTCTACAGTTTCTACCGTCTATTATATTGTGAGCGGCCCCCGTATGCACGCTGAGATGTTCTTGATACTCGAGCAGGGCGAACTGTGACAACCGAGCACTCAGTGACGAACTACTTACATGTCTGAGTCGTCTTGTCAACCACAGTGCACGAAGGCGAGAGCGGAAACACGACTCACTGTAGCGTTACGAGTACTAGTTGACACATATAAAGAAGGTCTACCACGCCGGTAAGCCACCGTGATGGAGGTAGATGAAAACTACTCATACTCACCCAAAGGTCAGTGTATACTGCCTCGCATTTAACGCCAGCGCAGCACTCGTTAAAGTTGCAGAAGGTGGGACATTTATCTTCATCACTGACCACTGGTGTGGACACTGACAATTGGAAAGCAGTAGCAGCAACGACGAGGATGAAGGGGAGACGCATTATCTGTGAGATCTGATATGTGACTTCAAAAACAAAGCTGAAGGGGATGGTAGGAAGACAGCTTGCTTTTATATCCTGCCAGTGGATAATCTTTTGTGCATCCGAAATACTCCAGACAGATGTCATTTGCATTGCCAGCAGACCTCAGGTTTGATTTGCTCTATCCTCGACGATATATTGACGGCAGAATACTAGGAAATGTCGATGATATGTAATTCCAACCCATTGTTGCATACAGCCTTGCGACAGGTGACACGACAATCCCTGGGAGTGGGCTCAGGAGTCTCATGGATACTGACATTAAACTGGATACCAGGCGATCAATGCTGAGATCTTGAGATTCCAACTGCGTCGTCATTGCTTGTGACCGACACGCTTCTACCTGTCATCCACCCATATACTTACATGGTCTGGCGACTGTAGCCACAATATTTCTCCGAACTGCGATGCTATCATCGAGGCGCTGAATGGACTCTGCGATAATTTTATCTGAGAGACATTGAAACATTGTTTGCTGAACTTTTCTCGAGAATCATATTCGAGTGGACACCTGCGACAGAGATATGATATATGAGCGATTTAGGAACGAGACTCAAGATGAAGTCAAACACATGCTCGATGAGAATCGTCTTGGATCGCCTTTGCTAGATGATATTCACGGACGCATACACAGGCACTACTGACTCGAAGATGGTATTGCTGTTGCTCTGGCGCACCTATGTGGAGCAAGACTTTTCAAGCAGCGCAACCTCGTTGCCTATGAAGAGCACTCTCAGGCTTTTTGCGCCTCCAGACTTTAGTATACCAGTAGCACCTTGTCGATGTGAGAGCTCAAGATACTATGACATGGGTCTCTATGCAGAAGTACTTATAAGTTACAAGTGTGCGAACAAGCAAAGAAAAGGGTGTAAGCAAAGAAAGCGAGAATGTCCAGCGCGATTCAGGCGAACATCAGTCTCTATTCATTCGAGGTGGTAGGGAGGTATGTCGGAACGGCTCGGTATTGATATTCACAGTATTGATACCTTGGTTGTCAAGGTTTATGCCGTGGACTCGTGGAGAATAGAAAGAATATCTGTACTTGGTGATACGTGAATGATTGACAGCAAACAATAAGACAACAAAAATAGTCAGTAGCAGGGGTGAAATTTGATTACATCTCGTAGTCATCCTTAAATTTCATTAGCCTCCCAAAAATCAGAGTCATCCTCTTCCTCATCCTCTTCTTCTTCTAATCGAGAGAAAAGTACAGGATTCGTGAAACCGGGTGTTCCACTCTGCACGTTCTGAGACATTGATGGGGAAAACCTGGGATACGGGCAAGGATATGCATAGGCGAACGCCATGGTAGGTGCTGCCACAGGTGCGGGAGAAGCCGAACTCGTGGTAGCTGGGTACGACGGCAGAGCGCCCACAGCTGTCGAACGTTCACACGTGCCATTGTCGAGGTGCCTCTTGTAGGAATCACCTCTCGTATAGCTAATCACCACAACATGATGATGAGATACGTCAATCATAAGAGTTGGGATACGCACGACTTGGAGCAAACATAACATTTAAATCGATTTAGTTTGGGGCCTAGGTGTCTTGCGGATCTTGTGTGCTGACGATAACCGCTGGGTCCGATTATTCTGCCATCCATGGCACACACGAATTTCCCTTTGGGTTGACCATATTCATCAAGCACGGGTTTCTGTCCCAGGGTTTGGGAGTGCGACCTCAACAAGATGGAAAAAAAACTCACAAACAACGGGTCGTTCTCTATCCCACTAGAGCGTAATTCAGATTTCTTGACCTTGCGGCGTTGGCGGACTTGCTTTTGACAACCCGGTGCTTGAGGCAGAGACAAGGAAGTAGAGCCCACCGAGAGCCCAGGCCCGTGATGCTGGTTGAGGATTCCTTGGTGCGGGATGGGTGGAGCGTACGCGTGAGGGTTCGCACCTCCAGGGGGGTAATACCCATTTTGTCCCGCTTGGAACGCGTGGCGCGCAACTCCAGCACCCGCACCAGGCGAAGGCACGACAGGCGCATATGGGGGCGCAGGACCACATGTCCAATGAGGCGGCACACCGTACGGATGGTAGGTGACATAGCCTGGATGGTAGGTGGCGTAGCCTGGATGGGGAATACATGCGGGCTCGGGCCCGGGTAATTGACCCATATGCATGTCAGTGTTTGGCATGTGATGTGTTGCATCGGAAGAATCTGAACCGTGCGGTGAGGAGGCAGGGGGGGTGGATTGGGTCATCTGGAGGTGAAAAGTGGATATAGTTAGAAAGCACAGGTGTTGAAGCTGGAAAGGACAGTACCTGGGCTACCATATAGTGATTTAAAATGTTAAGGTTGTCTGTACGCGCTCGCAGTGATAGAAAGTCCAGTAGATGAGGGACAGCTGATGAAGGCCATCGTTTTGTATGCTCGTCCAGCGCTGGTATTCTCGAGATTTGTTGCCACTGCTGGGACCTTCCTTTCGGGGAAGATTGTCTTTGGAGCACCATTATTCACTAAATGGACGGTGGTCGTTTTGTTCGATGCGTCAGTTTTACTTCCACACTTGAGTTGTTCAGTCTTGTTTCAAGTGCGCGATGATAAAAAAAAAGAAGTGCGCTGTGGATGAACCGTGGAATGTTTGTGTTCCCCTGAGGTCAACAATCTGATTGGGCATCACAACTTACGTTTCTGGCTCCGCGAATAGTTGAATAATCGTAAGTCCATGGCCGATTCGCATGAGTGACAAGACTCATCAGGTCTCCACCAGCCATGTCGGTGCTCTGGGAGAAACAGTCTGGTGAACTGGTCAACAACAGTCACCAAGATCGAACCTACACGAGGTGCAATAGGCGATGCAAAATTCAATGTACACCTCTCGGCCCTCGCATCACGTTCTAAACCCGTGATTTTAGAGACAGCTCACCAGCATCCAACTCGAGGACACTCAATCGCGAAGCTTCACGGGAAAGATCACCACCCTTGCACAATGCGCGTACTCACCATTTCATCTGGTTTCCTTTATCACACCGTAACATGCCGTCGTAGATTCTGACCCAACTTGACTCCTCTGACCAAGCTAGAGAACCGACCAAAATTTTATTTTCCTATCTTCAAATCTACACAGTCGAGCTGAAGGAAATCGCCGCCTTGCGACATTAGTCGATTGACGTAAAGGTGTGTCGTTGCCACCCAACTGAGAGCCTACAACCGATCACTTTTTAGTGTTTGTACGAAGAGCAAGACAACATAATTTGCAAGGGATAATCTCCTGGCCCCGAAGGACGGGTGATACGAATGCCGTGAACGGTAAAGGAGCAAAAATTTGCTTACCCATGACATCGACTCAAGGGAGCACCAAAAACCGCCTTCACCGTTGAACAGTCATCTCTGGCATTGCTTTGAACCGCTACGGCTCATGAACACAGCACAGAAGCGACATCCGCATGTCCTGGTGCGGCCTGGATCCAGAAGTCTGGATCGGATTGAGCGACAGCATGTGCCTGAAATAACTGGTTATAAAAATGAAACTGTGTTATTTCTGGGCAGAAAGTCATACCTGAGGACACAGAGGTATCTTTGACCACTGAAATGTAGGACCAGCGCATTGGTTGTGAATCTTGTGATAGACTTTCGAAGTGCGACCAAACGTCGGCCAGGTAATATTTCCGGTCATGATCATTCATGGTTCAGAGGCTTTCAATACTGATATTTCAACCACAGTGAAAATCGATGTTGTCATACGAACTTGCTATTCTCCTCCTGCCAGTGCGCCTTACAGCTTGCGGTGCGTGTCAAAGATCCTCTGCGTCATTTTTGATGGGCCTACTCTCTGAGGCCGCACTCGCACCGACTTTGCAATGGTTTCGGATATAACGCCAGAAGTGCAGACACGCATTTGAATGAATTTTAGACGGCCGTCAACTTGGTGCAGCAGAATTCGCTGTGCGTGCATGAAGACTGTTGGTTGACCTCCAAGTCGGTCCTCGGATTCTAAGCGTCACATCCGAATCCCGAAACCTTTCTCCCTTTCTAGATATTAGAATAGAGCAAAGGACCCATCAATGACGCGATCTTTGAATTTGAGGACTTTATTCATTAAGTAGAATTTTTGCTGACCTGCCAGGGCATTTTGCTATGGTGATCGAGTGTAGGAGATGCATTGCGGTGGGTTAGTTTCATAGTATTCATTTAGTCGGTCCGAGGTGCGTAATAGCGAAGCTGCCAGGATAACCCCTGAAGAGGGGGTCAGTAACTTTCGAGCAGTTACTACACGTAGTAGTAGGTGATAGATTCACCCCGAAAAACACTTTCAAGTTTGTATCTTCATGTCTCACCACGGGTCCAGTTCTAGAGATATATCTCCGCTCATGGTTAGTGGGAGAAAGGTTTTGTCACACGCAAAGTTTGATTTTTGAGTCTACAGTTTCTACCGTCTATTATATTGTGAGCGGCCCCCGTATGCACGCTGAGATGTTCTTGATACTCGAGCAGGGTGAACTGTGACAACCGAGCACTCGGTGACGAACTACTTACATGTCCGAGTCATCTTGTCAACCACAGTGCACGAAGGCGAGAGCGGAAACACGACTCACTGTAGCGTCACGACTCCGAGTACGTGACACATATAAAGAAGGTCTACCACGCCGGTAAGCCACCGTGATGGAGGTAGATGAAAACTACTCATACTCACCCAAAGGTCAGTGTATATTGCCTCGCATTTAGCGCCAGCGCAGCACTCGTTATAGTTGCAGAAGGTGGGACATTTATCTTCATCACTGACCACTGGTGTGGACACTGACAATTGGAAAGCAGTAGCAGCAACGACGAGGATGAAGGGGAGACGCATTATCTGTGAGATCTGATATGAGACTTCAAAAACAAAGCTGAAGGGGACGGTAGGAAGACAGCTTGCTTTCATATCCTGCCAGTGGATAATCTTTTGTGCATCCGAAATACTCCTTCAGACAGATGTCATTTGCATTGCCAGCAGACCTCAGGTTTGATTTGCTCTATCCTCGACGATATCTTGACAGCAGAATACTAGGAAATACCGATGATATGTAATTCCAACCCATTGTTGCATACAGCTTGCGACAGGTGACACGACAATCCCTGGGAGTGGGCTCAGGAGTCTCATGGATACTGACATTAAGCTGGATACCAGGCGATCAATGCTGAGATCTTGAGATTCCAACTGCGTCGTCATTGCTTGTGACCGACACGCTTCTACCTGTCATCCACCCATATACTTACATGGTCTGGCGACTGTAGCCACAATATTTCTCCGAACTGCGATGCTATCATCGAGGCGCTGAATGGACTCTGCGATGATCTTATCTGAGAGACATTGAAACATTGTTTGCTGAACTTTTTTCGAGAGATCATATTCGAGTGGACACCTGCGACAGAGATATGATATATGAGCAATTCAGGAACGAGGCTTGAGATGAAGTCAAAAACATGCTCTTGGATCGCCTTTGCTGGGTGATATTCACGGACGTATACACAGGCACTACTGACTCGAAGATGGTATTGCTGTTGCTCTGGCGCACCTATGTGGAGCGAGACTTTTCGAGCAGCGCGACCTCGTTGCCTATGAAGAGCACTCTCAGGCTTCTTGCGCCTCCGGACTTTAGTATACCACTAGCACCTTGTAGATGTGAGATCCTGTGAGATAGTATGACATGAGTCTCTATACAGTAGTACTTATGAGTTACAAGTGTGCGAACGAGCAAAGAAAAGGGTATAAGCAAAGACAACGAGAATGTCCAGCGCGATCCACTATGCGAGTTTGCTCTCCCTCTTCGCTTGTTGCACCTGTGCCAAGCGGTGACTGCGTAAAGTCATGGATGTACCCTGGGTCGTTTTCTTTCCTGCCGCCGTAGCCCCAGAAGGTGCTACAGCAGCCTGGGATAAGGCTATTCGCGTGTCGTCCGATGCAAATCCAGGAATACGAATATTGTGGTTGCGTTCTAAGATAGAGCAATGGGTACAAGAACGAGGAAGAAGAATTAATCAGACTTACCAAGGTGAAGCTGGAGGTCTTTGACTTCAAGCGTGTCGTTGCCGCGATGCTTTGCTAGTCGACAACCAAAGTTCGTGACAGAGTCGATGAACTCGTCGGCGATTTGGAGAAGTAGCTGTAAATGATACAATGAGGGATATGCCAAGGCTTTTGAGTGCAGCGACTTACATCCTCCACCTCAGGTTCGATTCGAACGTTGGGATCAACACTTGAGACGAGGTCTTGTATCGTCCGTCTCATGCTCTGATCTCCTGGGGTATTCTTTCTCCGTGGTTGATTACTATCCTCTAAGCTGAGCATACCAGCGTCGTCCGTGGATCGTGCGACCTGAGCAGGGGTACCTGGTAACATGGATCAAAATCAGTACTCGGACGGGACCGCTGCTTTCCCGGTAAATGACTCACCAGACACTCTGCCACTAGTCATTCCACCTGTAAGTGTTGGTCTTCCTTGCTGCGCAGCCGCCCACTGAACGGGCCCCGGATTGGTGGTGTTGAGAGTTTGGCTGATAGGATACCCGTCACCAGGTGTAGATGTAAGAAGAGGTGCTGGTGACCCGCTTTTAAAAGCGGTAGCAGTCGTTGCAGGAGTCCCAGTCTACCACAAGCAGGATGAGACGAAGGAGGGTCCTACCCATCAAGTCATACCTTTGTACCGCCATTCGCGGTCGAAGCGCCAGCTCCGCTTCCCGAAGCAGCACTAGTTGTGGACTTGTGTTTTTCAGCGTAATCTTTCAGCTACAGACAAGACGCCCAAGTGAGATAAAACAAATCTCACTTGGTTTAAAAGCAGACGGACCTGCTGGATCTGTACGGCAGTAAGCTTGCCCTGCCGCATGAGCTCGCCAAGCTGGCCCATGTTCTGCTCGAGGAGCTGGGCTATGCGCGTGTTCGATGCTGCCTCGCCATTTTGGCTTTTAAAAGCACTAGTCAGGGCGGTGATGATGTTCGCGGGGTTTGGAGGAGCCGTCGTTGTTGCTGCTTCGTTCGTCGCCATTTAGTAATATTTAGTATTTACGATCTCTGTAAGACAGAGATTAGCCCGAACACCATTATGTCAGCATCCGCACATAACATCTGCTTCTGGAATTTCACCCCTATATACACTGGGGAAAAAAAGAGATTATACTGAGAATGACATTGGCGCGAACATCGAGATTCGAATGTTTAATCAGGTTACGAAGAAATGAAAATGTGAAGAGAATGATCACATTATTACTATATTTTTATTGTATTCTGATCATATTCTGGAGGACATTCTCATTTGTTATAATCTCGAAGGTCCGTTTGACCACAGCGGGTGCACGCGCATATACTAGCTGCACTAGCTGCGCACACTAACTCGCAAATTGATATATCTACTTATGTACACATGTCCGACACGCCATTACTGTATAGTTTCTAATTTGGCGTGACCGTCATGCAAATTTTTGGGAGGTGAAGCTAATTTGTGACATGTAGTAAAAACGGAAAAAAACATATATATTACTCTAAGGCTTGACCAAATTGATCAAGGACTAAAAAATAACTCTACAGTAGTATTTGAAATGAAGTGGACTAAGTAATTCTCATGAGCCACCTACCAAGCTTCCAGGAGTTGTGGCTTCGCTAGACGAGCGAGTTTTCCCAGTCGAATCCCTCGATGAGTTGGCTTCCTTCATTGTGCATTTCACTACAACTGGAGACATGGGGAATGTGTGATTGACGATATGCGCATAACGCGGAAGTAGTTGCCACATGACACATCCCAACTTGGTGTCAGGCACGTTTCACATGTATAGTACCCTTTTCCTGTGAACACCATCATGCCTTCATCCTCAGAACAAAGCTTCAGAGCCAACCTATCTCAGTTCCGCTGGGCCAGAGGAGTCACAGACGACTCCCAACAAACCCAGCAACCACTCCCATCATCAAACCCGTTCTCCCGCTTCTACAACGCCGTAGCAGGCGACTATATCCCTCTCAGATCTACTGAACGTTCCAACGAAGACGAAGCATGGTTTGCGCTATCACGTTGGGAAAGGTACGCGTTCAAAATTCACTCCTGTCTTCTCAGCACAGAATCCAATCTCCAGGCTGCTCGGGTTCGGTGCATGCTTGTTAGGCGCAGCAGTCTGCTTCTTCGTCGCTTTTATGACCCTCCCTTTCCTCGCCATCAATCCCGCAAAATTTGCTTTGGCATTTAGGTATGCATAGTTTCTTTCGCTCTTCATCTTTCGATCGATAACTCCCTCGCAGTCTGGGGAGCTTGCTCGTGATGTTCGGGTATGTCCTACCACTCCGTGTCAGTCCGAGCGATCATAACTGACTACCATATTCAAGTTTCTCGGTTCTCATAGGACCATTAAACCACGCAAAACATTTAATTTCAAAAGAGCGACTACCATTCACCCTCGTCTACTTCTCAAGTTTGGGCTTGACCCTCTATTTCTCCATCAGCGTGAGTCTATAGCCGTTCATCACCACAATGTTCCGTTTCAACAACTCCTATTAGGTCCACTCGTACTTGGGCTCGCTATTAGCAGGTGTCGTCCAGGTGGTATCTCTAGTAGCGTATGTCCTGGCATACTTCCCAGGAGGCACACAGACGTTGCGCTTTGGTGGACAAATCGCTCTGCGGGGAGCAGGAAGCCTGCTACCTTTCTAAGTAATAGTAATGACAAAAATCGAATCAACACAATTGTATCCTCACACACGATATCTAGATCTAGTGCTTGCTCATTGTTTATTCCAACAACGACGATCAATCTATCATGAGCGCAATGCGATACTTTTGAAAATAACAAACGACGACAGCAACGAACCATCTACTCCAGAGCTTCGTGCAACCCAACCGTATCCCTCAATCTCCGCGACATGATCTCAATATATCCCTGGTATGACTGCCACTCACTTCCCAGCGTATCCACCGTCTGACAAATACATCATCGCCGTCATCAGAAGTCAGACGAGCTCAAGCTAACGAACGTACCAGATCTAATGTTGATAACCTGGCGAGAGCACCAATCAATCTTTTGCCCGCGTTCGCCTTGAACGAATCAGAGTCTGGAGGAGGAAGAAGCCTGAGAGTGCTCTTCATATTTATGACTGGTGCAGAGGTTACGCTGCTCGACAAGTCGCGCTCCACATAGCTCACGAGATGGCGCCAAAGCAACAGCAATACCATTTCGGTAGTGCCTGTGCATGCACTCGTGAATATCATCCAGTAACATCAGCATTCCGAGACGATTCTCACCGAGCATATTTTTGACCTCATCTTGAGCCTCATTCCTGAACCGCTCGTACTCCCTGAATATCAGCGACCTCTTCTGCGCGATGTCTAGATCTTGGAGGAATGCAGGATCAGACACGCTGACGATCTACGCAAACGAAATGTTGAAATCTCGAACAATCCGTTGGCAGGATTAGCAGACGTACCTCTTGGATGTTGTCCACTCGAATATGGTCTCGTGAGGACAGTTCAGCAGACAAGTCAGCTATCTGTTTCAACGTCTCTGCAAGATCGTCGCAGAGTCCACTCAGCGCCTCGATAGCATCACCGACCGTCGGTATCGTGGCTACACCAAGACATAAGTAAATAATGGGTGACATAGGCAGCACGACTACACACCTACGAAACGAGACGACCTTTCATCATGTCGAGGGACTATGACCACAGGAGAAAGCACCAGTGTAATCTCAGGCTCTACAATAAATAAAAATAAAACAGGCGCTCAAACCAAACGTCAACCGACTTACCAGTGAATTCACTAGCAGTTCCCAGGTACTCCACGATAGCCTTCAGGAGCAAACGTTCTTGACGCCTCAAACTCAGATCAAATTGAGTAGTCGATCCATGCCCGGATGCAAAGACGCTAGCTCGCAAAACCTCTGCGTCCGTCTGAGGTTTGACCGCTTGACTCCAGCTTCTGTTTCCCAAGCACCGCGCGGCAAGGCCTAACACTGCGCCGTGAATACCACCAAACCCAGAATTCGTCGACATCTGCGACATAAATCATTAGTAGTAAAGCGTATGCATAAACGGTGGCTTACCAGCTCAGATTTTGGAACGAGCGTCAGGACGCTTCTGCTCAGCGATACTACGAGGTGAATTTCTTGAACGATCGACAAGCCAATTTCTTCAGAATCATTTTTGAGAAGAATGATAATCGTTTCTCGATGGCTTGATAGAAAGTCGAGTGCCTGGAGACAAGACAATGTCAATGTCAATGTCCATCCACCAGGCAAGATCCATAAATCAATCGTACCTGACTGCTTGCAGTAGCATGCTGAGCTCCTAACGTCGTCAACATCGCAGCAACGAGCTGAAGTGCCGGCATGAACAGCTGATGGTATCGCTGAATCGCCGAAGGTAAGAAAGAGTCCTGGTCTTAATAAAATAAACTCAGCACGTAAAGACCTTCTGAGTGAGATAACCCACGTACCCATAAACGACTGATCAGCTTCTGGTCTCGTATCCAAGAACTCGCATTGACTCAGGACCGGGAAAATTCGAGCTTCAAGTAACCGTTCCGCCCCCGGCCTCGTTTGTGCCATCCGTATCAAGAAGGACATCTTTGATTCGTAAACGTAAAGTGGATTTAGATCGTCTACGTTATCACTTCAGTGTCCCTCGCGATACAAGTCGACTGCGCACATACCTGGATCTGGTTTGAGCACGTACTGCATCTGCGACTCCGCTTCCTTCAGCCCTTGAACAAAGTTCGACAAAATCCCATAGCGAACTAGAGATGCGAGGAGCATGCGGGACTTGTCCGAGCGGCACAGCTGAGCGAGGGAGTCTAGCAGCATGAAAGCGACAGTCTTCCAAACTTCAGTGCCATCAATTGCGTCCCGGGATATGATCGTGACCAGTCTCTCGAGCACATTTTTCAACGCAGCCAGCGTGCCAAGCTCTAGCGCTGATGCATTCGTCACAGGCTTTGGCGTACCACGCATGGATTGAGAATCATTTAGGGACAAATCGTCGCGCGAGGAGAGCACGGATAGGGACATCGACATTGATATCGACATCGACAACGAGTGCTTCCCGAACGTTTCCAATGACGCCTCTCCCGAAGGCCTCTGGTCACTCCCTCCAATGAGATGGAAATAGTTAATCAAAGAAGCGTATAGGTTGCCACGGACCAACTCAGAACGGTTGTTGTCCAGGATGCAGTCAAGGATGCTGCGAAGAAGCGCATACAGTCTCTCTGCAGGCAAAGAGCCTGCGTCAGTGTCCCCGCCGGCAGATTGTAGCATAACTTGATGACGTCGATCTTCGCGTAGCTTCGTGATGCAAGATAATACTGCTTCCGAAAGTAGAACTGCGGTAGGCTCCTGGATGTCAGAGGAACGAATTGCAGTAGGTAGAACATGTAATAAGTCGAAAAGCATGTTTTCGCGCCTGTCGTGCGGCAGACGCTGGAAGCACTTGGTAAGGGTGATGTCCAATAGCCTCCACCACGCTTCGTATCCGGTAGCAACAGCAAAAGCGACCTCACGGCGATGGTTCTCGATCGCACAGCTCTCCAAGACGTACGAGGTCTCAGCGTTCAATTTGTCAGCCTGCGCACCATTGGTGATTCGGCCTTGGGCGTGGAGGGAACGTCGAGCGAGTGTCAACAAGGATAACAGCGCAGATCTATCAACGACTTCACACCCGGTGCCATCCACACGGATGCAGGACTGCAGGTTTAACTGACCAAGGAGCTCCAGGTCAACAGGGTGAACAGTTAAACTATCTGACCAATCAAAGCTGAGCGACTGCACGGATTCGATGATTCGAAGATGCGACTGGCCCATTTCCTGAAACGGCTGCAAAGCATCTACATCCCATTCAAGCACATCCTCGGAAGCCGTCGCCTCCGAGCCGAATATGATTTGCAAAACCTCTAAAACGCCCTTGTGGTGGCCTTTGCGGGTCAGGACGTGGAGATCAAGCGATACTAAATTCAGGATGCGAGAGCGTACGCCCATGAACGACCGCAAAGCTGATACGCTGGTGATAACGCGAGAACCGTCATGATACAGTACCTCGATGACAGGCTCCTCACGCGTTTCCGGGGCTTTGGAGGGTATAGCTGCGAGATGGCGGGCGAAGAAGTCGTCTCGTGTGCGGAGGTACCGCATGGTGGATTCTGATGTCCGTGGATGCACACAGAGCTGATGAATGACCTGGTAGCAGCGTTCTGCCAAAGCAGGGATAGAAATGAACAATGGATCGACCTGAAGCGCGAGTCGACGTTCACGTTCTTTGCCTTTGCCGTGCACTCTGGGTACGCCGGCGTTGACAAGGTCAAAGATGACGTGGGCACATGTTCTGTGCACACCCAACGCGTGTGGATCTTGGATTTGATGCTCGTTTTCTGGACCACCGAACAACAGGAAATGGCCGATGGTAGGATATGGTCGGTTTGGTCGCGTATTCTGGATCAGCAATTCAAGGATGGCAAGTCGTATCGCCTGATCGAGTGGTTCTTGCGTTTCTCTATCAGGAGCACCAGCACCGGTCACCTGTTCAGCCTGCGTTTCACTGGCATCCACATCGTTAAATGACTCGACACTGAGTAGCTGCTTGAAGCCATTGAGGATACGATCCGAGTCATTGCTGCGCTCGACGAGGGTAGTTAGGTTGCTGACCGACGACGACAGTTGCGTGACAATCTTGACGGCGAGAAGGACAAGCTCAGGGTATGAAGGGTACACCACATATGCAGCAATGGCAGGAATATGCTGTGTGCCATACGACAATGCTTGATCAAAACGCGTATAGTATGACCGGGCATGAGCGACGCCCACAAACTGCGAGCCATCAAACTCTGTGAGGAGCGGCACGAGGACGTCAAGGAAGATATCCTGAATGTCCAGAACGCGGTGAACGATGCGCAAAACGCGCACGATCGTATTCTTGAAATGCGGTTCTTCATCTGCAAAGCCTTTCTCGAAGCCTTCTACGCCATCAACGATGTACGTCAAGATACTGGTTTGCAACAGTGAGTTTGTCAGGAGACGCTGCATTATATCATATCCTGGATGGACAAGGAGGGGAACAATAGCCTCTCGCTTCAAGACGACATCTTCACTTGACGAGACCAACAATTCTAGGTCGTAGCTAGCGAGGACTCGCTCGACGAAGGATAAGCACAAGTCATTCATCTGCCACCTATCTGAAGGCCGCCTGTACTCTCTCCGGGGGATATTGGTGAAAACATTGTCAATGACGAAAGATATGTAAGGTGCAATTCCAGGAAGACGGTATGGTTGACCAAGGGCATCAGGAATGGTATTCAGTGGCTCCGAATCCGTGATGAGGTCCTTCAAAGAAATGCGTTTGGGAGTGTGGATGAGGGTGCTGAGGAGATTGAGGAATGGGATAGTGGCAGGATAAAGCTTATGGATAGCTTCAACCTCATCCAACTCCACCTCGACGCCCTTGACGGGATGCAACACTCCGCCAATGCGGGAGGAATTTGCACGGACATTGATGACCTCCAGCCGCTCCATCAGCGTCCATACCGATCTGCATATCTCCACTCCAGAAACACCCCCTCCAGGTTCACAAAAAGCTGCCAGGGCATCAAAAATTGCTCCCTTCAGCTCCAAGGGTATCCCAAGAGGTATCAGTGAGATCAGCGTGGGAATAGCCCTGAAGTGCGCGTTTCCAGAGACTGCGAGGCGGACAGCGACCGAGCACGAAACCACCGTAGCTAGAAGGCGGAGGAATGATTGGGCAAGCAAAACATCATTAGGTCCTATGACAACCTGTTTTTGCTGCTGCCGTTGTTGGGAGGCAGCTTGAGACTCGGCGAAATGAGATGACCTGAAGCCACTGAACGATGTCCCCAAGTTCTGTTGCGGAGGTGGGTGGGGCTTGGGGCTGGTAGAGGAAACTGCCCAGGATTCTAGCAGAGCGAATATGAGCGTCCAGGACACAGCCGAACCAGCACTATAGTGAGATGAGCTGGCAGCGAGGCTGCTTCCAGGTACAACTTCTACACCCCCTCTAGCAAGGAAATTATATGCGAGCTCGCTACATTGTTGGCCTTTTGCTAAACCAGACAACATGTCGTATAGCGCAGTGGACATAATGACATCACGAGTCTGTGTGGACCATACTGCCCACTGAAGGAAAGAAGGAAGCCTGCCTGCATTGGTTTCTGCGGTCTCCAGGTAGGTGAGACGATGGGTTTCGGTGAGTGGTGCAGCCCCCCAGAACTGCAGAGCCCGTTCGGGAGGAAGTATGGAGTATAGAAGACCTATGAACGAGTACAGCATGGCGATGTCGTTGCGTGGATTTGCCTGAGAATCCGAGTCTTGCCCGGAATGTGTCATTGACCGGAATAAACGTGCACTGGCGAGAACGATATCCTCTTGACGTTGTTTGATTTTGCGTAACTCTGAGGATGCGTATGTAATCACTGAGCGCACCAGAGCTTCACAAGCATTCAGAACGGCTAGTTTAAAGTCTTCGTGAGGCGGTTCTCTTAGTTGCTCCTGCTCGGGCGTAAGCTCAATGAAGGCAGCGAATGACGTCGCTGGTGAGCTTCTCGACAACTGGATGAGCGCTGCGGTGAGATACGTAAAGGCATCGCCCTGGACCGCATTCCAAATCTGAGTCTCCAGCTCTGTAGTCTTGAAACCCTCTCTGGCCTCCAAAGAGGGGTCGCGATGACGAGTCTCGGTCAATAGGAGAGTCCACTTTAGCAATACAGTTGCTTTTAAACCTGTATCCTTCCACTCCGTATTGCGGGAGAGCTTCTGCTTCATATATGTTATCATTGCGTCGTCTGTGGCCAGGTGTTGGCGATTCTTGCCACCGATAGACGAGGGGTCCATCAAATCAAAGGCAGCCAGAATAGCGGTCAAGACATAGAATGTCATGGCGTCGTTGGGATTCACAGATAACCAATCGAGGGAAGTGCGGATGTCAGAGACCGTGAGACATCCAAGACGGGCCATCTGGAAGTAGACAGTGGCAAGGTATCGTCTCTCGTATTTGAGTGAGTCACAGCGTGCACTGAGGATATCGTAGCCCAGAGTGGGTGAACCACCTTCAATAGTGGCCTATTAGATATTAACCTCACGACAAGGCAGAACTTACCGGAAGGGGCTACGGTATTGCTCACGGCACATTGTTTTGCTTGTTGCGCTCGTGCAACGGTGTTCCCCAACTTCTCCAACTTCTTGAATATTCGCAACGATATCTCTCCCCCTGGTCCCTTCGTAGGTGGAACGAGATCCTGCCTAGCGAAAGCATCCAGCCGTTTGTAAAGTCGCGGTGCATCTGGCAACTCAGCCAACTCTGCAGCTTCAAATATGTAACGCAGACAGTCGACCAGATGACGTCGTCTTTGATGCAATTCAACGACTGTAGCTTCCATGCAACCGACTGGGCCGATATTTGGGTTTTCGGTCATGACAGAATGCAGTATGCTCGCGATGTATTTCTCGGAGGACTTGAGCTGCTGAGCAAGGAATATTGCCTGCTGAGCAAAATCCGCATTGACAGCGAATGACCTGCCATTGATCGTGATCCTTCCTGTAGACTCATTATCGAATTTTACGCGTCGACACAGATGTAAGGCACTCACCACTTCGCAGCTCTTGTTGTTCCTGCTGACTGCTCTGTCCAACCTCAAACAGCTCAAGTAGCCTCTGCTTGTGCATCATGAGTTCATCAAAAAGTTCTTGTTCTCCATGTCCACGAGAGCCGAGACTTGTCAGAAGCACGCTTCTGAGTCGCGATATGGACTCCATAGCGTAGATCAAGTTGTTTTAGACAAGTGTTTCTTTTGCAATTTGGATGTTGCATAAGCGTGGGAATGTTAAAGGTCCACCGGGGACCGCGCCATGGACTTGGCAATTTCGGTCGCGTGCTCGCCTCGAGGATACGTCGTGTTTCCGCTCTTGCTCCTGACCATTATTGACGATGACTGAAATATTGTACAGACAGTATGTAGGCGAATCTGATTTACCACACATTATGGCGCTCGTACAGAGTGAGCTCAGTGAGCCATATGTTATATACACATATCGTTATTTCCTCCATCAATGGTAAGTCTCGTTATCATTTATTTCACTTGGCGAATTCGAATCACTAACTTATGCCGACTATGTACAGGCCACAACTTTCTTTTCTCGTGCGTGTTACGACCTCCTTCTATCACCTGAAATGAATCAGACGTGTCCCCTTTCAGGCAATACCTGCGGGATCGTCGGAGCCGATAGGTGTCATAGTCTGCAAGCAGAGTATGCACAAGCATGCCTCGAATAGAGGCTATATCGCCATGCTCAGCGTTAGCAAGAGCTGGCGCAAACGTGGTGTAGGTACGCGATAACCACGTGCGCTCCCACCCAATCATCTGTATTTACCCACCGATTCCAGCAAGCACGTTGGTCAGACAATCAGTGGAGGTCATGAGACGAAATGGAGTTGATGAAGTGCGTAATTCATATCTAGATTTCGGACTTCTGCTAACGCCCAACTAGGTCGTTCTTGAAACCGAATATGATAATGCGCCGGCTCTTTCCCTCTACGAGTCCTTGGGATTCATTCGCGAGAAACGGCTGTATCGATTCTACCTCAATGGAAAGGATGCGTTCCGTTTGGTTCTCGCCGTCCCTCCATCAGAATTGGATCAAGACTTTCCCCACTACATGAAGCTTTCCCCCACCAACAATATTTTCTCCTATCCAGTTTCTTCAGACGATGACGAGGTCTCATATCGTTGATGATTCCCAGTCACACGACCAATATCATTTCCCCTTGATGGTCACTGCTGACCCTAACATCCTAATCTGGCTTTCTATAGCCATAATGGCCCTTCAACTAGCTGTACAACAACAACAACAACAACAACAACGCCGTCTCAGTTGTATAACCCTGTTCGATCTAGGTTCAACCAACCATTCATTTCCTGTTTCTCATCGTGTCAAGGCACTAGTATACCCCACATACATGTGTAGTGATATTTGTAGTAATATTTTGATGTAGTCCATGATTCACAGGTGGAGCTCCTGGTTTCTGCTCGCTCGGTGCAAGATGGTGAGTGACCATCATGGCGTCAAAGTCGACCTTGCAGTGCAGGAAAGCGAAACTCCCAGCCACTCCACGATAAAGATATCCTACGATTATCGTACTATATATAACGGACGTCTATTAATGCTTCCGTTGGCCGCGGCCGTCACGGTTCCGCTCCGTTTCTAGGTCGCTTCCTGGGATCCGGGTACTCACAATTAGGTCACTTACTAGAAAGCTTGTCCTAAATCGTCGTGTTGTGTTCCGGAGGCAGATCTCACGCAATTGCTATCAACTGATATAAGTGCCCCAGTGCCCTTCGTTCACTGTGGTTCAACATTATGGTCTTCTCCCCAGCTGGTGTCGCCTCTGCGTTGCTATTTGTAGCCCCGTATACGCCAAACATTGCTACCATTGAAACCACACCAGGTTGTTTAACGGACAACTTCTATGGAACATACGGAGGACGGAGCATTTTTCATATTCCACCTACTTGCCTCGAAACCAGCTTTATCAAAGGCTTATCGACACAACCGGTCTCTCTGCTTCCGTATGTCGCCAACGGTGAACGTCAACTTGTATGGCTACAAGAGTCGGCTATCGACAGTTCCCTGGTAACTCCGGAGTACGAGGCGGAGGTTCAAGGTTTCTTTAGGTGGTTAGGAGAAGATGGTTACTCCATGGGGGGCGGACAACAGTTGTCTGGTCATCAGCATTTACTGTCTTCTGCAGATGAGCCTGGAGTAGAGCTGCACTTGGTGGATTTGCAGCCAGCGGGAGGATCTCATGGACTCATAGCCGTCGAACCGAGTCTAGTGCCCAGCATTGAGGCATTGCTCCCTCGCTACTGGAAGCCATACATTCTACCCAAGCAACCCACGTCGTATATCCCAGTCCCCAAACCTGCTATCGAACATGTCAAGAACCTCCTCGAGACCGTTCGCTTCGACCCAGTCGTATCGTCGCTCGTAAACAATATCTCATTGAGTCAGATGCGTGACGACATCAGATGGCTCACGGGTGAGGATGGAAAGTCCGGAATTGTCTCCCGCCACTCGTTTGCAGAGGGTTCTCGCGTCGCTGCTAATTGGCTCAAGGAACGTTTTGAGGAGACAGGCGCAAGTTGCGAACTGAAAACTTTCCTGACGGGATTCGCACCGAACGTGGCCTGGTAAGTAAGGTCTACTCGTTCTTGTAGTAATTGCTGAGCCAATCCATCAGCAAATACTCTTCGTCGGTAGACACAACGTCCACTGTCCTCATTTCTGGGCATTACGATTCACGTGGTTCCTTTGGTTCACAGAGGGTAATGTCTCTATCCGCTATCACTGTCTTGGTGTCCTGAATATTTACCAGGCTCCTGGAGGAAACGATGACGGCTCGGGCACCGTTGCCCTTCTCGGAATTGCACATGTTATTGCCCACTCCGGTCTCACTTTCCGCAGTAACGTAGAACTCGTTGCTTTTGCAGGTGAGGAGCAGGGCCTGTACGGTTCAAAGGCTTACGCCCGTGAGTCAATACATGTTAGCTTGCTCCAAATATCTGACCACTCCATGCAGGCGAGATGCGTGAGAAGGATGCAAATATCACATTAATGATCCAGGCTGATATGCTTGGGTACCACGCCCCTGGAGAACCTCCTCAACTTGGACTTCCGATGTAGTGCGTCTTTTTATACCTAATCTACCAAATCGGACATGAACGACCTCTTCTATTCCACAGCATCGGCACTCCAGAAGTAGCTCAACTTGTTTCAAAGATGTCAGCCATTTACAGCCCTGAGCTTACTGTGGGCTACACTGCTGCATGCTGCAGTGACCACCAGGTCAGTTATATCATTTAATGCATGCGCAAACACAAGCCAACCTGTATTGCTTTTCTCTAGTCCTTCCATGAGCAAGGATACGCCTCAACGCAAGTGTTCGAGCGTGCTGGTCCAAGTAAGCCCTAAACGAACATACTCTTCAACGTGCTAAGTTGCATTTACTTAGTTGCGGACCCCATGTATCACAACAGCGGTCAGTTCCTTGTGCCTTCCCCACCCTTGCCACCCCAGGGCTGACATTCCTGCAGGTGATCTCAGCGAACGTCCCGGCTATGACCTCAACCAAATTCGCTCGATTGCGAAAGTTCAGGTTTGTCTGTTTATTCAGCACGGTCTCGTTCTTATCTTGATGAATTCGCACAGTTTTCTACCCTGCTTCACGCCGCAGGATTCGATCTTCCCGACGATGAAGATTTGAATTGATGTACATCTCTGTTATGCATAACACAGAGAGTATGTAATGTCTTCATGTATATCCCTTCAGACGAGGAAAGCAAACATTTTTAAAAATGTCTAGTGGCGTTTGAACCAGGGTTGCTAAGCTCTGCGTGAAGTAAGTTGTCGGCTTGAAGATGACATCCTGGTGGAGGAGGGCCCTCTCGAGTCTCTACTTTTCTCTGTACACAGATTGATCTAATTACCTCCCGAATGTCTCCATGGCAGCGTGACTTCGCTTTTCGCCTCAAAGTTATCCTTATCAATGCCCCATCCCAATTCTCCTCCTAGTGCTTCAGAATCATGCATACCCTGCACTAATATTATAACCCCCCTTGTAGCGTGTCCGCATTCAACCGCCCAGTTTTTCACATGATAACCGTTGGTATCGTCGGCTCGTGTTATCTGTATGGGGCGGCTCCCCGTCGAATCTTACATGTATTCGATGCCTAAACTTCCCTCCTCGCCTGTGTTCCTTTCCCTTCCCTTTATCGACAGAGTGCGTTTTTCTTCGCTGTGCTGCATGCCTCATCGTTTACTGTAATCGCTTTTCTCAGATGGTCGATATTAGCGCTTTGATGACTATACGTTACCTTAGCGATAATCCTGCGTAGGTCTTCTTTCCCAAAGACCATTATTCCACATCCCTTCCTGCAATTTGCCCGCATCTGTCGTCAGAGGCTTGAAGCTCGGTTCTTGAAATACGAGAGGTGTTGAGATATGCATCCATTGAGTCGAGATGGATAGAAGTATTGTCAAAGGAGCAAACAAAGCCTTGTTAAATCATCCAACAAGGCCTTACTTGCTCCTTTATCAAATGTCTGTTGCCCTCTGTATCCTGTCTGTGCATCATCTCGATGGAAATGCTGTATGGAGAGGTTGTTGCGGCTGCTCTCTGCCGACTGTATAATACTAATTCAGACCCTATACCAAACCAAGACCCTGAACCACGAACCAGACCAGTCCGACCGCCTCTCGAGCGTACCAGATGGGCTTGAGGTCCATGACTCGGAGGCTGCTGCCACTGACCAGGGCCTCTTCACGAAACACGCCACCAAGGTGACGGTGACCAAAGGACCGGACCGGCAGGACATGCATCGCCTGCAAAAGTGGGCTTACTCCGAGTAAGGCCGCCTGAGGCAGTAAGTTTTTATGCCATGCTTGGAATTTTCGTGCGTTCTCTTCCATCTGGTCTATTTTTACGTGTGGCCTTTCTATCTAGTGATACACCTCTTGTTCATCTCCGCTCATTGCGTTTGGGTGCGCAAGGCCGACGATCCAGCAGGACAGGCTTCGCCTGCAAAGAGAGGCGCAGACCTGAGGTAGTAGATTTGATTCTTGTATTGGCTTTCTATCTGGTCAAACCTTCGTATCTGCCTTTTCTATCTATCTGGTGGTACACTTCTTCGTCTTCATTCGTTGCGTTTGCGAGTGCTGGAGTTGATCTTGATTTTTGAGGGTAGTTTGCCCTCCTTGTCTCAGTTCTTGCGCGTACAAGCAGCAGTTGCACTACAATAAGCTGCATTTAGTGAGGCCACATGATTCGTATGGCACTATACTTTAAGTATTGCTTGAACCTTCACAGCTTTTGCTTGCTTCAGAACATGTGTAATGAACGGCTAGATAACGGCTGTCCTGAAAGCAAATCGTTGTAGACGTGTAGTCGTCGGTACCCATCCGATAGTACATGCATGCATGTAAGTCCTGGTGTTGCTGTGATGTGAGTGCATGATCGGATGCGTCATTTTTCTGCAATTAATATGCTTATGTAATGAAGCTTTTGCTCAACAACCTCAAATACGGACTCGTCCTTTCAACTTAAAGCTTTAGCAAGAGAAAAGGTTCGTTTGTAAGTAACTATGAGCTTCCCACTGGTCGCTCCAATGTTTCCTGCAGGGAGGGAACCCCTTCCTCCGGGAATGACAGAGGAGGACCGTGCTCAGTTACTCGAGGCCAAAAAGTACCAAGGATGGATGGCCATGGGCATGGAGTCTTGTGCAGCAAAGACGGTCATTGCTGGTGTCGGCGGTAAGTACATCATATTCGAAGGCGCCCAAGTCATAACCCAAAATTCATGACCAGGATAATTCTGCAGGTCTCGGCATTGGTGCATTTTTCTCTCTTATGTCCTCATCGTTTGCGTACGAGGATCCTTTGCTACGGCAATCCACTCAAGCTGGCCTGAATAACACTCAGAAGGCCCGTGAAATTTTTAAGGAAATGGGTAGAGGGATGTGGAAAAGCGGAAAGGGCTTCGGAAAAGTTGGAGCATTGTTCGCCGGAATAGAATGTGTAATTGAAGGCGTAAGTTTCGTTTAGTTGTTTCCCTTGCCCTAATCTCACACCTTCACCAGTACCGAGCGAAGAATGACATGGTAAATCCGATTGCTGCAGGCTTCGTTGCTGGAGGTGTCCTTGCGCGAAATTCAGGACCTAAAGCTGCTCTTGGTGGTGGATTGGCATTTGCTGCATTTTCCGCAGCCATAGATTTGTTTTTACGGAGGGAACCGGCAGAGTAAGTGTGCACTGTTATACATGTGTCTTCAATAAAAATATTGACATTCTTCTAGCGACGACTGAGTCGTCATACATATTATGACATTAGATCATTTATTCCTTACTTCTGGAATTAATATTAATATGCGATTCCTGTCTTTGCCATTGCGTCATCTTTCATAGCAAGATCCTCAAGAGCGCATTGTCCGGTCATGAGCACAACACTCGCGACAAATGCGACCACAAGTTCAACACATACTGCCACATCATCAACATGTCCATCAAGCACACCCTCAAGGGAGCGTTTCTGACGGTGTCCAACATGCATGCCTATTCCCACTGCTTCTAGACTTCGAAGTAATTCTCGTATCGGCCTTACCCACCTCAGCAACCCTTCTATGTTGCGCTCCCACAACTGGCATCCGCACCCCCAATGTGTAGAGCTAGGTTGCGCACAAATTTATGCACACGCCTTCTATTTCAGCCCCAGTCAATCCCAATTGCCCTCAGCAACCGCATTTCATCCACCCGCATACGCTTACGTCGTAAACTGTCTATCGAACTAGATTACCGCCACTCGTGCCTTTCAATGTTCACCCCAAGTCACACACCGCGACATCACGTCCTACTCTATCTGCAGATCTGACTGTTGCGGAGACGAACGAAGGACCAGGTTACGTTAATATTGTATTTCACAAGTTGCTAACAATATATTGCCGAAGAGCCGACTGAAGGAATATCCTTGTATGTCATATAAAGAGTACACCCCGGACTTGCGTAAACACAGGTCCATGCGCTGACTGGACCTAACTGGACAGTCGTCGTAGAATTTCACCCATGGTGCACTCCATTGCATGTTTGGTCTCTTGTGATTTTTAGACACTGTACGTGACGCACCACAAGATCTACCGATGAGTCTGATTGTTGAAAAGTAATAGCAGTTGCAGGTGGACTGTGTTCCTCTCAAAAATTGAAGGATGGACGTTCTCCTGTGTCAAGAGTCAAGACAGTAGGAAGAATTATTAAAGCGTGTGTAAATGTCGAACTTTCCTGATTCGTAAATGCTTCTCTGATTTTCATGTGCAGGGGACTCTGTTTAGTATGAGGTCTCAGCGCTATCTCCCAGTATCCAGTTTAGTGTCATCATACATGAGACTCCTGAATCCACTTCCAGGGATCGCCGATCTTGTGACCCGTCACAGGCTGTATGCAACAGTGGGTTATCATCAGCATTTCCTATCTTCTGCCTCGAGAGATCGTCGAGGATAGAGAAAATAAAACCCGAGGTCTGCTGGCAATACAAATGACATCTGTCTGAAGGAGTATTTCGGGTACACAGAAGATTATCCAGGATATAAAAGCAAGCTGTCTTCCCACCGTCCCCTTCAGCTTTGTTTTTGAAGTCTCATAACAGATAATGCGTCTCCCCTTCATCCTCGCCGTTGCTGCTGTTTTCACATTGTCAGTGTCCACGCCAGTGGCCGGTGATGAAAGTGACTGTCCTATCTACTGCACCTTTAATGATTGCTGCCCTGACTCTACATGCCAGCCAATATGGACTGTCTTTTGGGTGAGTATGAGTAGTTTCAATCTACCTCAATGGCTTACCGGCGTGGTAGCTCTTATGGATGTGTGTCCCGCCTGACTCACTGAGCTACAGTGAGTTGTGTTTCCGTTCTCGCCTTTGTGCAGTGTGGTTGACAAGTCACAAGACGACTCGGGTAGTTCGTCGCTGAGCGCTCGGTTGTCACGGTGAACGAATTTCACCCTGTTGGAGCATTAAGTCAAAAGAACATCTCGTGCATACTATATGTAGACGGCAGAAACTTTTCCCACAGACAGACTCGTCACTCGAAGGACGAAAATCAAACTTTGCGTGTGACAAAACCCTTCTCCCACTAATTAAGGGGATATATGGGTGCTTTTGACGGTGACACGCAAAGACTTTGAAAATACAAATCTACATGAAAGTGTCTTTCGATCGGGGTGAATCTACCACACGCCCAAAGTCACTGACCCCCTCTTCAGGCCATTACTACGTCAGAAATACATGTGTGCGCGCTGATATGAATGACTAATATTCACCTGTATAGGCTGACTCTTCAACGTCTTCGTGGCCTGTGGCTGTAGCGATGGTTAGAAAATCTAGGTCGTCTACAATGTCACCTCGAGCACGACCTTCGCGTCGCTGAATGAGAACCTTAAGTACACGATAACGCGACTTAAAGTAAGAAATCTTTCATCTCGTCTTTGAGGCGCCTGTGGGGTTCAAGCTGATCTTTCAGTGCAAGATCTAGCAAAGAATTGAGGGCAGCTTGATCCACGATGAGCTGAAGGTTAGAGAAGTAATCTGCCTTTTCAGCTTTCTTGTGAGTAGAACCGAGGGTATCCGTTAGAAATGGGAACACTGTGCCACGTCGCTGACGAGCAGCGCTGCTGTCTATCACACCTCTTTTGGTGGTACTACGTCTGTGGCGACGTGTTGGGGCCCTCGCTCTAGTTCATGCGAATGGGACCATAATTCTGATGCCATAACCAAGCTGACAAATGGAATTTGCTCTGTAGTAGCTAGATCATCATGCATATGAATTATACAACCGTTTTCTTCATTTACAAATATTTCTCGTACCGGACACATGTACACATGGTGTATCTCCGGGAAATGAACATGATCCACTTTATTTTTGATGTTCGATATGTCGAAATAAGAAAGTTTGCCTCTGTGTTTATGTTCTACGAGCATTGTGCAATGTGGTGGTCCCAGTGCCATGTTCTTGATCGCGTATCATGCCCAAAGCACACCGGTGGCTGTACGTGACCCCATCGTGGGAATGAAATTCGTCCTGGCAGGATTGCCCCGGGCCAAGCCTCCGCCACTCAGGTCCTCCAACTGACAACTTGAATATTTTGTGACACCGATACTTACCAAGCTTTGCGTGGGTGCACCCAATATCCACTTTTCACTGGGGTTAATCCTCCGGGACTCGTACTGTGCGGACACAGATTTGTTCTTATCGCTAACAGTCGTGTGACCTGTCGCAAGCTGTATGCAACAATGGGTTAGAATTATATATCATCAACATTTCCTAGCATTCTGCCGCCAATAGATCGTCGAGGATAGAGCAAATCAAGCCTGAGCTCTGCTGGCAATACAAATGGCATCCGTCTGAAGGAGTATTTCGGGTGTACAGGACATTATCCAGAACATAAAAGCAAGCTGTCTTCCTACCGTCTCTTCAGCTTTGTTTTTGGAGTCTCATATCACATCTCACAGATAATGCGTCTCCCCTTCATCCTCGTCGTTGCTGCTGCTTTCGAGTTGTCAGCATCCATGCCAGTGGTCAGTGATGAAAGCCGCTGTCCCATCTACTGCGACTTTGTTGCTTGCTGCTCTGGCTCTACATGCAAGGAAATATCAACCGACTTTTCGGTGGTTAATCTACCTCCGTGGCTTACCGGCGCGGCAGTACTACTTTGAGTGTGTGACCCACTGAGCTACAGTGAGTCGTGTTTCCGCTCTCGCCTTCGTGCAGTGTGGTTGACAAGACCACTCTGACATGTAACTAGTTCGTCGCCGAGTGCTCGGTTGTCACGGTGAACGAATTCCACCCTGTTCGAGCATTAAGAAGCCATTAAATTAGAGAACATCCTAGAACATCTCGCGCATACTTATGTAGACGGAAGAAACTTTTAGACTCGAAGGATGAAAATCAAACTTTGCGTGTGACAAAACCTTTCTCCCACTAAGGGGATATATCTTTAGAACTGGGTGCTTTTGACGGCGGCACGCAAAGACTTTGAAAATACAAATCTACATGGAAGTGTTCTTTCGATCGGGGCGAATCCACCACACGCTCGACCCCCTCTTCAGGGGTTAGCTGAGATCTGGGCAACGTGCACATGCATCTTAACCAGCGCATAGCTGCAGTGTTTCATCGTGATTTTGATATATATGAGCGCTGAGCGCTGAGCCTTCAAGGCAATATCTGGAACTCTACTCTATACACCATCTTCCTACCCGCAATATTCACTGCTGCTCTCTCGGAGACGTCGGCCGGGCCGCCCGCCCGGCCCCTCAGCACAGCCGCTCTCCATACCGAAGCACGTTTTGTTATACCAAGCGCAGGTCAGTGTTCGATATGCATAGTAAGTGTTGTATGTAGCAAAGCTTTCCAACCTTGACGGTGAAGTAGATGCCAGGTTGAGCCAGGTTCAGTACTTGCCTTGCACCATGATACCATGATGCCATGACCTTACTGATTATTTGATTGGCTTGTGTTAGATATATGAATTTATCAGGATGGCAACAAGCTTGTCTTACTTGATGTACGTGATACGTACACAATCATCTCAGTATGATTAGGATCAACTTGCAGGAACACCCAATCATGATGGTAATCGACGTTCCGTATGCACAGGGAAAATACGCATGTTTTTTCATGCTTCTCCGATTATTGATTCCACCTGATTCCATACTGAATAATACTTCAGCGAGAGAAAAACGAAAGAAGAATCTGCTGACTTCGACGACTCGGGACTACTAGTACCATAGGCAGCTCACGGCCTGCCAAGTCCAGTGTCACCCAGCAATCCATCGGTGCGGCCCAGGCCCACTCTTTTTCGCACCCACATATCACTGCTTTCACACCATCCACCAGTGCACCACCTCCCGTTGCTGCTACTTCCGCAGCTACAACGTTGCGTCTACATGTAACAATCATAGGTGCTGGAATCGTTTCTGGCTCTTCACTTGATAGCAATCATCAATCTACACTGCTAGCACTACCATTGTCCAATTGTTCATGAATATGAAGCTCGTACAGTAATTATAATATACAAAGTCTTATTCGAGTCATGTATTAATGATTCTTCTTCGTTATCACGCACCTCGGACCGACCAAATGCTATCGTCCAATACTATCAAACTAATTTCTGTGGAACAGTGATTGAGTTCAGCCTGATAATGTATCGCCATATCCCCCATCCAAAGACTCCTTGCGTGTGGGTAGTTTGCTCTGGTCCAAAATTCCGTACACCGGGGAACCTTCGATATGCGTGGAGTGGGATACCTGGACCTGCAGAGGCTTCATAGAATATCGTGAGAAGCTCCCTCGTTCCGTGTCACTGGTCATTCCCGCACGGACAGTCAAGATCCGACTCTGAGTGCCTTTACCAATTGCGATTCGGATGATTACCATGTAAAAGGTAATCGAGATGATTGGCGTGAGCTAGATGAATGAAAATCAGTTATTTTCTATAACATATGTCGTCAGTGTAATCACCACGTCTATCAGAACAAACGGTCCACTGCCCGAGCAGAGGGATCCAATCACTGTAGAGAGGAGCGCTACGCAGTACAACATAGCAGCATCCATTATTACGCGCGTTATACTTGTGGTCATGACCTTTGCAGTGCGCGAGGTAGAGACATTGCGCTCGATTTTCCAGATGCGATACGCGAGTAATCCTAAAAAAAATTCAAGCTAGCATGAGAATATAACACCGCGGTCGGGCAGAAGCGAGCTTACCCGAACTCGACAAAGTTGCTGCAAGTGTCAAGGCACAGAATGCTCCCATACACTCCATATCCACTGTGGCGGAGATGACTCCAGTGGTTTGTGAATCACCGTAGACCGAAAGAGCACCAGTGACTTCAAGGCAATGTTAGAGCATGCGGTTCCCTGAATCAATGTAACCCAACCTGCGATACCACACCACAGCATGATTGGTAGGATGATGACCCAGGGATTTTGCCAAACGACGTAACAACGATAAATCTGTCACCAAGAAGACATCTCTATAGGGATTTTAAACTCGCAAATAAAAAGTTGAACTTACCGCCACCGCGTCGCCCAGCAGAGTTTGCAGAATGTATATTGAATTCTTGATCAAATACGTTTCTTGAGAAACATCTGCAAAGTACCCCGCTGGCCCACCTGGGAACGTATCGCGATAGGTCACCAGTCCGTATTCCATCCGAATAATGCCCAAAATTATGTGCTTAAAGAAATGGTTCAGTGAGTGACATTTAATGACAGAGGCGAGGGGCTCACTGCGGTACTCAATATCAACAGTAGGACGGATGCAGCAGCGACTGGGCGATTGAGATCTCGCATGGAATGTTTGTAGGTCATCGCCCACATGGTGCCAATAAACATAAGGACCGAAAAGCCTGAAGATTCCGAGCTTTGTGGTCACCAGATGGACGAACTGATTGAGATACTCACCATATAGAATGCCTTCCAGTGATGTCGATATTATAGCAGCGGTATCGAGGGACACAAAGGCCATGGCAAGAATGACGCCCGGGAATATTAATGGCTTGGGGTAGTGCGAGGGCCTCGAGCTTGCACTCTCGTCAATTCCATGTATATTATAGTTCTACTAGTAGTAGAACTCAATACAAAGACCCCAGACCGATATCCATCATGTGGATACTTCTTTATTCAGCGTTCTAAGGCCTAACTTATCAATTGCGGCAGCGATGAAGCTGTATCTGCACACGTCCGGGCTAGACTTATCGGGTTGTCATATGGTCCATATGCGCTCGGAATCGATGAACTAAGCTGCTTACAAAAGAAGGCCGTGTTGATACCAGTGTAATGCCGCTAACCTTTCGATGTATGAGGTGACAGGGCCTGATACCTGCGCCCCGAGGGCAGTGTTTTGCATCGAACCATTGATAGCTGGCAGATGACGTATGTACAACCCCCTGGCACCATCGGATCCCATGATCATGGCGGATGATGCCAATACCGCCTGAGATTTGGATCCCTATGACTCTTCTCCCTGATGGGATCAGCAGGTGATGATAAAATTTCACTATGCGAGTTCTTTCTTACTTGTCCAGAAGTCGCATTTTCTGTTATATGGCGGCCGAGCTGAGAACACCAACCGTTTGGGGGTTTCTAGACTTATACGAAGTTGCTTCTTGCAGAAAAAAAAACTCGGTAAAGTCGGCGAGACGTCGTGCGCGATAGTGAAGTTCTTCATAACATAATAAGTTCGGACTTTAAAACAGTATATGTAAACTCGAATTATTTGATATTTAAATATGTCAGGTTTAACTCACCGCAATATGCACCTCCTACCATAGCAACACGCCAGGTCAAATCGCAAAACCTCTACTTTATGTATATGAACGTTTGAACAAAGTCCTCAAATTCAAAGATCGCGTCATTGATGGTACCTTTGCTCTATTATTATATAATACAAAAATATCATTATCAGCTGCAAGCACAATTAATACCAAGAGTCTAATAAGACCAACACTGAGTAGCCGGACAGTGAAAGAGGGGATCATATGATACGCATGATCTAGCCCAGGAGACTCCTATCACGTATGGAATCAAGGTAGACGGACTTCACGCGACCTGCTGATCACCAATCGGAAGAGACCCAGATGGACGACACTGACAAGTTACCCGGCGGTTCGATGCCTATAGAAGAGGAGCCTTACTCACGAGTGTTGCGGTTGATGTATGTGGTACTACCTTCGCCCTGGACAATATTTCGGTCCATGTTAGCTAGTGCAGCAGTATGCCGGAGACTATAATATTGGATCGCGTCGAGCCATGGCGACATAACTTCCGTCGATACATGGATGTCGGTGCCGTAGAAATACTATAGGTCCGTGTCATCTCCGTTGCACAAAATGAGCCAGTTTATTCGAATTCTCACTCGTGAGCATTACGTTTGATAGTTCGAATTGGACAGCCTTTTGGTGCATTTTTGCTATCGCGGCAACGCGATGGAGGATCGCGCCGGATCACAACATCACTGTACAGTTTAAAGATGACTTTTATTAGCTACACATATGATGGACATAGTGTGATCAGGATACTAGAGATGCTGACATGCTGTAGCTGTATATATGGATCCTTTCAAAAATCTCACCTGTTCCTCGAGAGCGTTTATCATCACGCCACCTTCCAAGATATTGATAGCCCGGTTGGACTGATTTACAAATTTATTCAGCTGCAGTTACGGTTGATGAAATCGAGCATGCACTGCCTGCATGATACTGCTCAGACTAAAATCTTTGAAACGCTGTTCTGTTGTTTTGGTCACCGAAGTTGTTCACAAAAAGACTCACCCTGAAAATACGACAGACATACCATGTAGTCGGAGAGATGATATTAGATATGTTGAGAGGCCATATTTTGTAAAATGCTGGCACATGCTCTGACTACGGTGCAGCCAAGTTATACGAAAGACACAGCACCAATGACATTATTTGACACACTAGTATAGCCCAGAGGTGGATCAGGCATAGCTACCATCACTATTTCATTAGGCCAGGGTCGGCCTATGTTACTCGAATCCCGGTCTGCAAGCAAGGGAATGTGTTGAGGTGCGCTAGAGCAATGGATCGGACTTCCAAACAGGTCGCGGCAAATCGAGGCTTCAAACACCGTTGCATGTATGAAGTGCTGATTCCAAAACAACCTGATATATACGTCTGGGCAATGGTACATTGACGGTACACATCCAATTTGTTTGAAGGTGCTATAAATCTTGACAACCAAGGTATCAATACTGTAATGCCGAGCCGTTCCGACATACCTCCCTACACGCCTGATCGCCATCTCTCACATAACACCGTTGCTCGCATCATTTTTTCCATGTCCCCATGTGCCGTCGACCAAGTTGACAGGATCGTAACGGAGTAGCATGAAGTCAACTCACATCTTTAAAAGCTTCTGCGCTTCTTGGTCGCTATGCATGTCACAAGACCCACCTCGAATGAATAGACTGATGTTCGTGTTTGCCCTGTCGTTGTCGCCGTGATTGCCGTCGACTATAGCTTCAGCTGTCATTAATCATTTCTCGTCTGTCCGTTAACTTGCTGTATCAGACCAAGTCTCCTCGCACATTGATGTGGAGTATTTGTATCGGTCTCCGCCCACTGAAAAGAATCTCCTCGATTCGTTCGTCCCTTCGTAAAACAAATGCAATTCCACATTCCTTGTACGGGTTAAGCAAATAAACTTTATAATGGACTCACTATCGGAATCCTCTAGTATCAAACCCCAACAGGCACCGCCGTAACATCCTCACGTATATTCTTCTCTACTGACTCCCGAATACTCGACGCGTTCTCCTCAGTTACCTTCCCAATGTTTGACACTGGGCCCGTGAACCAATGCACACCACCATACACGGGGAAGTAGTACCACACGATAGACAAAAAGAGTATACCACCTAGCACGACCACGGTGTAGTTCATGTTCGCAACATCAGTTTGTGGCGTCGTCGGGAAGAAAAATGCGATGTCCATAATGCACATGTACGACACGGCAATGACAGCAACTGGAACGCTCTTCAAATCACAACTCAATAGTCAACAAGCATCCTTAAGCACCAAGCTGTACGACTCACAAAGATGCCTAAATTGAAGGGACCAGGCTTGAAGTCGTTTGTGAACACGAAACGCGCGATGATTGGGATCGAATATGCGATGTATAACGCTGTCACGGATAGAGAAAAGATGGCGTTGATAGCTTGCGGGCCCGCGAACGACAACATGCCGAGGATGATCGAGATGACCGCGACGAACCAAACAGTGTTGACGGGCGTCTTGGTGAAGCTGTTCATGCGATAGAGGACGGATGAAAACGGAAGTGCGCCATCACGGGAAAATGCGAATGTTTGGCGGGATGATGCAAGGACCATGCTCGAGCCCATCATATATCTGCACTTAATCAATCATGGTTCAAAGGGCACAACTGTCCGCTTACTGAACAAGCACGACGAAGGACCACAGTGCAAGCGTTCCCTTTTGGCCGAAGCTGTTGAAGAAAATTTGGGCCATGGGTTGTCCAACCGGGCTGTTGAGAAGGGACTCCAGATCGCTGCCCATACAGAATGTAAGAGAGACGTTGATTGCTGCAAGACGATAGGCAGTGTTAGAGAAGTTAGCATGAATGAATACTACGTACCCCAACCAAGGATGCCTGCGATACCGATGGCGCTGACCTGGAATGCACTCAGTAATTGAACAAATACCGGGTTCGAGGCTTACAATGGCCCATGGAACAGCAGTGGCAGCATTCGACGATTCCTCGCTGATATGCACACTTGAGTCAAAGGAACCTTCAACATGACATCAGTACCCATGACACGTGCAACGCCCTATGAGAACATACCAATGGTCCATGCCGGTGCAAGGAAACTTAGAATGAATGCGTAGCCATCTGTCCAGCCGTTCACTGTAAATACCATTCTGATATCAGTCGAGTTCACCACCAGAACGTATTCACTGACAATTTGTGAAATTACCAAGCGCATAACTTGCGCTGTTCATGTTCGCCTTTGGGGTTGCAGCAGGAAGGCCAATAATAACGGCAAGACACAAACTACTCGCAGTAATTCAGTAACTCGAATGCACCTGTACGACTTCACCACAAACCAGACGTTAAGCACAACATAAACTGTTTGCAGTCTTGCAAGAACCGCAGTTCCCAAGCAGCATATCACTGCGTGCGACAGGACTATTGCGACGTAGACTCCACTAGATATTCGACATCATGAGCAAGTTCATTAATTGGACCAGTGTCTTAAATGGCGCACAAAGTTTGGGCACTTGTTGCGGTAAAAGCTTGGTCTGAGCCAATGGATACTGCAGCCATGACTTGCACTGCACATCCCCAGTCGATAGATGCTATGCGGGAAGTCATAGTAAGTAAAATTTGGCATCACAAGGCAGCCATGAGCGTCTTACCGACCGACGCTATGGTCCCGATGGTATTTGAGTCTGTCATCGCGTCAATATACCTCTGCTGGTTAAAATTACCATAACAGACTTACACCCAACAATCCAGGCAAGTAAATTTCTGCACCGCGGAGATGACAACGAATGTGTCCAGAAGTACAACTGTGTTTCATCCACATCACTTCAGAATACTACGTTAACAAAGACAAAAACGGACTCACCCCTCCGGATGTTGGTGCTGCGGAACCCAATTCGGCCATTGACATCCCTACGCAGAGGATAAAAAAACTTGCGGCTGCCCACTATGGGATATCGACAAGTAACCATGTCACCCATCAGCATAATTCGCGCAAGGAGATACCCGGCGGAGCAAGCACGTACACCCCACACCATCGAAGCTGGTCCTCCATTAGGCACAGCGTAAAACAGAACAGAGCTATTCAAATGAATTGGACCCTTGGAAGGCAAAGAGAAGGACGACGTACGCAATGGAGGGGAGTAGGCCAATAATACTGAAAGCTATACCAAAGACCTGTGATCGTCTTCGCTATCAGTTCTGCGATCGCTGAACATGGCAGCATTGATAATACCTCTAAGGGTGTAAATGCACGCTTGAACTCCTGCTTGTACCCGAGCTCAGCGAGCAAGGCCTCGTCTGCCCTTGCAACAGCGTGCTGCTGTGATTCCATGTCGCGAGCAGCTAGTGGGATGAAAAGAAGAAGCAATGGAGCGCGGAAGAAAGTCGGCCTCGCACGAATCTCATTTGGTTATCTAAAGCATTAAGCGCCTATTACGAAGTCAGCCATGTCATAATGGAACACGGCCTTGATAAGCAACCCACCGGTGTCGCTCCTTAATAAGATAGGCACTAGTACTCAGTGCTGTAACAATTGGAGATTAGGCTGTGTGATAAGTACCCACTTGGAGTTGGTACATGTGCATGAGATGCCAGTGAGAGCGTTCTGTCCAACCGTGTGGCAGCGTGGCAATCGGACATCCGAGTCTCTCGCTGCAATGATAGGAACAGGTTGGACCTGGTTGGTATTATCGTTTTTAAAGCACTAACACCACCTGATTGGACTCGTCGCTTCATCATCACGGATTTCAACACAAAGTTAGGAGACCAAATCTACACAAATACTGTCCGCGACACTGAAACACAAGGCATCACGGTCAAGCGGACGACAATGCGCCAGGCTCTCAACTCCTCTTTTCAAGTTGCACGCGTCCCTGCAGTTACTCCAAGTACCTTTTACAACCCTCATCGACATTTTTGGAATCTCGAGATAGCTTGGCATTCGTCCATGTGGATGCAATTGTATTTGCAGTTTACCGTGGGTTCGGGTCGGTACCGACAACCGCTCTCTGCCCCGACGCGACCGCCATCTTTCAGTGCTATCAATCGCCCTTTCTTCCATCTACCACCTGTTGACCTTTCTTTTCCTTCACCTAAGGTGACATCTCCAGGGCTGGAACTTACGCCAGCTGATGAGTCGGGTCCTCGGCGCTCGAAACGCTCCCTTGACTTACCAAAGCAGCAATACTTGTCCGCAAACGAGCCAATCACATCGGAGTTTTACAAGGGGATGGAAAGGCTGAATAGTTATATTTGTATGCTTCCTGAGGCAGGTTACATGATCCTTTTAACACGCTAAAAACATGTTTTTGAGAAATTTTCATCGCCTCACCTTACAACGTCAAAATGGCTGGAAGTTGTGCGGAAAACGAGAGTGCCTGGTTTTAGCAGTCAATGCATGGCATCTTTGTTAGGTCCAAGATCCCGCCCGGAGAGGAATTCCTCCATCCAATAAATCCACGGAACTTCGCGAACATCGAGCGGCACCATATCATCACGATGGTGGACCACGATGTACCAAGCATCAAAAAGTGTCTTATTCACCGACGCTTTGCTGCTATAACTGGTGAATGATAAGCGCAAGGTGTATGTTGATCGTGTTGCCGGAGAAGTATATTGAAAAGCTCTGGCGATGTCTGATTCGACGGTGAGATTGCTTTGTGCACACCCGGCTCTCAACAGCAGACTTGTAACTCTTCAATCAGTCAGTTGAAGGTAGGAAATGCCCTCCATGTGAATGTTAAAGCTGCTGGAGAAGTCGACCTTATGGTATCTTCGCAGAACAACTGACATCAGCACTAAAAACAGACATGCTGCCTCAGTAAAGTATATCCGTCAGCAAAACAGCGTTCTCTCTTGGCAGGTCCAACAATGTGTAAATCAAGCGGACAGTGTGAGAGCCTTCACACGTCTTGGAGGAGTCCTACGATACGTATTCCCCGACTCCCGCGTTACCCTGTGTGGGAAGAGGGTCTGTTTCGCTGGAGCCAAATGTGGTAGCGAGTCGGTCATCTCTACAGCCAAGAAACATGTGTACGCCTTCTCGGTACCCTTATTTGATTGGCGAACTTCATATGTAGAAGGTTTGTCTTTTGCTTCAAAACACCCAACATGTCTCCTCAAGCTTTTGACTCTACAGATTGCCCGCCTCTACGATATACAGACATTTCCCTATTCTATAACATTATGTTCTGTACTACCCTCACGGACTTCGGAGGCTCCCGACAGCGTTTAGGTGCCCGGCCCTTCTCTGCCCCGGCTCCTCAGACTCCATCCGTACTCCACAAAACCACCCCACAAATCTCTGTGTGGAAGGTGCCATTGTGGTGATACAGGGGGAGTTCACTGCATGTGCTCAACCGTTACCAATGGCAAGATTGTGATTGTCGCACCATTTTATTTGCGCGGCTGATAATCGACCACGCAGTCATAGAGGACCTTAAAGTGATATCGAAGTCAGCCTATGTACTAGTCTAGTAGCAATCCGCATCCATGATTCTGTAGAAAGCAGTGGAACAGTCAATATATATATCATGCGCACGTGCAAGCTGAATGGGCAACTCTGATGAATGACTGGTTGAATGGTGTCAGTCGAGATTTGCCTGGGTTGGCAAACGTTGCATAGGGGCTGAGCTTGTTTTACGGAAAGCACCGGCGGAATTCCGGAGATAACCGTCTGGGTCCAGGCGGCGCAACGCACCAAACTGCACTGGTGTAACATGTTACCTTGTCTGCGCATCGCCGGATTTTGACAAAGGGCTTGTCATATCCACCGGTAGTAGCTATACTTGCAAGAAGTCGGGATACAACAATCACGACATGGGTTGTGTCTGAAGAGTAGACGGCTGTGACCACGTGTCTGTTTCAGGTCTCGATTGGTCCAAGGATCGTCTGACTCTCTACTCTCTACTGTATCCAATTGCCATCGTCATATTCACTCAAAACTCGCCGGCCATCCCAACTCTAGCAGACAGTCCGCACCGGTCATATGTACCCCATCCATTTAGCGACGTCCTTGTGGCCAAGTTCCACGATCTTACTCTACTGTTGCCACTCTCAACCATGCATAACAATCTAAAGTCACCACTTATGAGATATCTCTTTGCATAACTCGATGCGCGCGCACATGGGACTATGAACTGTCACGTCAATCCGCAGTCCAGTCCCTTGAAGGTAAGAAAAGTTCACTCACACCCGGATGTGTTCGGTATCCCTTGTCTACATGGTTATGTTGAATATTGTGCATAATTATCCTTACCCCTTTACACTCACAGCGACATGGGCTGTGCAATTGAAGCGCCCGCCGAGCCCCGTTAAGAAATTATCACTTACACGCCGCTCCAATAGCCGTCTGTATTGGATCGCAGATGAATGAATATTTTATTTGGTCATCTACATGTAAGCTCAGGTATCCCATGGTTTCTCTTATTGTATCACATGTTCACCTGAAGTAACTCGTACAGTCCCACAGGGTTACACATGCATGTATGTTGGCAATCTAGTCTCCTTGGTCATTTCCGCGGCATTTTCTCCGTCTCGATGTATATTCGTCAGGTCAGGGCGCCGTTATGTGTTATCTCGCTATATGCCTATTACCCTGTTTGCTAAGTTGCTCGTACTGTCATCGAGCTACACTAAGGACGTAAGTGTGTTCCCATTTTCTCGGTAAGTTTTAATGTGGATTTATATGTCACTGGTTAAAGTCTTGAAGCTCGAATCCTGAAATGAGTCACTGGTTCTTCTACTCCTATTACTTATCTCTAACATACTGTCTACGTACGACAACTAGTCCTGAAATGTCCTCATCACTGATTGCGGTGCGCCTCACTACCATAGACATGGAAGTCATTAGTCCACGAACGGAGTGTAAACCTGTTGGTACCGTAATAGGACTGATCGATTGCTATGTATACGCTGGTAATGTTTGGGTCAAGAGTCAAGACCTGCCAAGACGTCCAAGGTCTCAACTCGAGCTAATATCAGTGCGGGAAATGTTACTTTTGGATCGTGGGCAAGCAGTATTCAAGAACAACCGCGGACATGTTCGTCCAGTCTTGCAAGTATCTCGTTCTGGTCTTCGCTAGACTTACGAGCACTAGTTATTGATTAGCCGAAGTTATCTGCAGCAACGCTCAGCTTACTCACAAGGACTGTGCGAAAACAGGTAGATCGGCTGGGCTATTAATCATGCCCAGTTCGATCAACGCCATTTGTCGTGAGGCCAATCTACATTGGACGATCAGTAGGAGTATCAACACCTCAAACCTTGTATGGGAACTCACTTTGATTGCGGAGACAGAGGTGCTTTATGGTGCTTCCGTCGAGGCGGCCATTCTGGTTCAGGGGTTTTCGATTGCTGAGGAGTGCTTTGGTTTCGTCCAGATTTCAGTTTCTTGGCAGCCACTCTTTTTCTCTTCGCCTCCTGCCATCGCATTGCTCAACAAGCCTGTGAGAGAATATCACGAACACTGACCTTAAGTGCGGTCCGAGAACGTTCTTCTTCTATACGACTTGGTAATAGAACGTCGTCATTGCGGTGGCTGTACTTCACGCCTATTGCGCTGAGTGTCTTGTGGATGTCATTATCATCTGTAACCTCCGGAGGTTCTTTGAAAATATAAAGATGAGTCTTTTCACATGCTGGTTCCAGCCGAATCTCACCATCGTCGAAGAGAAGAGCACTCAGCCCCCGTAGGTCGGCCTGACACATGATTACATGGCATGAAATAAGTAAACAGGGGACTTACTTCCTCCTTTCCGCTCTTAGAATCGGCTTCATATACCCAGTCATCGGCCTTAGATTTTGTTGATTTCTTCGACTTTGTGGAGCTGAGATGAGCAAGTGCCCAGTCTAGCTCCATGATCGTTGCTTTCTCGATCTGCGGCAGGTTCACCTCAATATTTCCTGCGCAAAAGATATGAACTTACAGCCATCTTAGTCGCCAGAGTATCCTCATGCAACTTGAAAATGTTCTTGATTCCAAACAATTCTCCTTGTCTGGAAGTGTCCCCTTGAACGCCGGAGAAATACCTAAGAGGAAAATCTGAAATCATGCACTCGAATCTTGGTTCTTATTAAATACCTCGTTTGCACGCTGGCCTGATACCCAATGGCCATCTGTTGTTGTTTGTATAACTGCCTTGCATAAATTAACTCTTCGATTGAGCCGGCTCCAAGGAGGCGGTAAACGAAAACGTCGCGTGTCTGCCCAAAACGATATGCTCTGTCCATAGCTTGCAGGTCGTGGGCAGGATCTACGTGGACATGAGTAGGTGTCAAGTAGAATTCAGCCAAATACATACTCCAGTTTGGATCTGCATAATATCCGGGTTTAAGTCTCAACATTCAAAGCAGGATATTTAAACTCACCGAAAATGACCACTTTGTTCGCTCCAGTCAAGTTAAGACCAGTTCCGCCAGCAAGAGTAGAGATGAGAAATATGAAAATGTCGGAGTCCTGGTGAAATCTATCTATCATAGGCATCCCTGAAGCTGATATTAACAGCCGCGGCAAATAGAGAGACCGTCTCTTACTATCACCCTGTTTCGTGGATCCATCCAGTTTGAGGAAGCCATAACCTTGCAATCAATCAGTACTCAATCGATACCGAAAAAATCTTCTTCATACTATTGGTATTGAGATGAAACTCCAACATATCGAGAAGCTTGACGGATTTAGTGAATATGAGGACCTTGTTCGTGCGGTCTTTTCTCCATTCTTTAAGTAGGGTATCGAGTACCTTCCAGGGCAGTGTAAAGTGTAGGAGATAAACTCCACAAAACAATGACTTACAACCCACTTTCCGCAGTACTGCGGCAGTAGCATGGCTGTCCCATACTTTGGTATAGGCTGTCCCGGGAAGGCTACTTCCGCGAGCTCCCGATTCCGTAGGGTCTAGTACAACTATCAATGCACCAAAAGATCAATAGAAACTTCCACACGCACTTGTTCCGGGCTATCGTTTGGGGCTTGCGTATATGAGCATTTATATGGTAGCAAGCAACTGAGCCATCAACGATACCTGGAAGTATTAACGCTAAATGATTTGAGATCTTGATGAGTATTGACATATACTTGAGAACGCCTCCCTTCTCAATATGGTAGCAGCAGTCTTTGCGCCTGTACAAAACACGATTCTCAGCATGCTCGGGGTATGTAATGCAAACCGACTTTTTCCCTGATCTGCAGTCACAATTTTCGTCTTTTCTGACGAGATTCTGTACGTGATTCATATTTAGGATGCGTTTGTAAACGGCAACCTGTATGGGCGTAAGCGGACAAAAAACTACTTCATCGGTTTTCGTGGGTAACTGATGGTTGTATTCAGCACAAAATGGTATAACAGGTAGAAGCTTCGCACTTGGTCCTTAATAATGTCCTTTGTTCTGTAAAAAGAAATATTTTAGGCAATATCTGCAGAAAAAAATGTTGGCTATACCTCCTTTTGAAGAACTGGGGTAATACTTTGTCTCTAACTATAATGGCGACCGTCTACTAGACATCAGAATGAGCCGCGAGTTGCAAAATACGCACTCACCAAAGCCTTTGTGCTCTCCTCTTCAGTCGCACTAGCAGATTGACCTATTGTCAATGGCTTCACAACGTAGCCTTTCCACTGCTTGCTTGTTCCCAGCCGGCCAGGGTTGGTCCAGTCAAGTATCGTCCATGCTTCCATATAGCTATTTTGAATGGTTGTGCCTAAATATCCCGCTGCATCAAATCATCTTCTAGAAGCAGTAGTCTTACCTGTCAGACCAAAGCGGCAAAGACATGCAAATTGATTATATGCTAAAGTGATTTTTGACTTTGGATTCTTTACTCTATGCGCTTCGTCGACGAAGACAGCAGACCAAGCGAGGTCATCCAATAGCGCAATATCTCGACGGGCAAGGTCAAACGTGGTAAGCACTGTTTCTCGAAGTTATCAGGCGGACAGAGGAGATGGAGTCATGGACATACCGACATCGAGCCTGCCCATTTTGAAGTCGGTAAGAACATCATCCCGTTCTTTCTTCGAACCTGTATAAGATCCGACTTCAAAATAGCCCCACTGAGCAGGCAGTGAGACATTGTGGCGTTACTTGTTGCTTATGTGCACTCACCGTCTGAAACTCGCGCTCCCAGTTTGGTACAACAGATGTAGGGGCGATAATGAGACATGTGGGCCAAGTCTTGTTCGCCGGTGGTAAAGCGCGACGTTTTTTCCATTCCAATCCGTCCTGGATATTAGACACATGATCTCGACGCCTGTTGATATCGCGTTCGTCCCCGTGCTTCTTCATGATTGCTGAGAGAAACGATATCACTTGAATAGTTTTACCCTAAGAAGGTAGAAGGTTGAGTCAAGAAAAGAAGAACACGTCTGGACTGACGAGACCCATATCATCACCTAGCAAACCACCACGACCTTGTTTATATAAATCCCAGAAAAAACCAACGCCCTCCCTCTGGTATTCTCTCAGATACGTATTGATCGACGCGGGCACCATGATACCCTCGGCTTTGTCCAATATCATAGGTCCGAGAGGACTCTGACCGGGAGCAAGCAGGAAGCCAGGCTTTGCATGGAGATTCTATATCTGTATCAGTAGATGATGATCAGAGAATTACATTAGGCTTTACGGGGTTGGGGTATGTTTCGTCATCGTCTTCAGGCTCCGTTTCGGAGTCGGATTCTGGAAGCTTCGTGGTGTTGGGCGCTAGCACTTTTGAGACTGTAGGTAAATCTATATCGGACTCTGGTTCAGTTTCAGACTCGTCTATAGCGGGCGTCAACATAGTTGTCTTGGATGGCCATAAGGTTAAATGTACCATCTAGGCAAGGCGTTTTTCTCCGCTTAGAAGCTGGCATGATCTGATTTGACGCAGGTGACTTCCGCTTCATCGAAAACTGATCAATTTCTGGCTCAGACTCGGGTTCTGAAACAAAACGTACGCATTCACAGGTGTGACATGTGAACAAGATGAACTTACCAGTGACAGAATCATCATCAACTGGAATTTGTGAATGACTTTTTTGTGTAACGATGGGAGTGCTCTCTTTCGAAGCTTTAATAAATGCAGCTATGGTCCTAAGCATTACTGGCTGATCAGGTTCAGACTCGGGCTCTTCTGCCGAGTCGCCGTCTTCAGGATCATCTTCATCCACTTCGCCGTCATCAGACGCAGACTGAAGTCCAAGGTCATCATCTATTGGAAGTAAGCTTAGGCACTACTTGGAACATTTTTCAGCGAACCAAAGTACTCCTTAAGTGGGTTATGGCATCGAGATGCCTCTGGATCCATTGGCCGGCGCTTCCCTAATATAATCATCACAAACACGTATTGTTTTCTTATAACAATGACTCACGATTTCTGGATGATAGCTCAAAATTGCCAAGAACCTCACTTCTTCTTTTCCGTGACTTGCCACGGGGGGCAGATGGAGATGCGTCCTCAGCAGCCGTTGCTTTGCGGTTTCCGCGTTTCTTAGTCTCATAAATGAAAATTCCAGGGTTAAATTCAGGATCTGAATCAGGATCTGTACGAGAGGGAGGAAATTATTTGTGAGATTGTCAGTATTGTTTCGTGTGAATCATGCAGACCTAGGGGTGCAGGGACAGATTCGAGAATCCCTGCTTATAGTCCCAGGTCAGCCCACGAGCTAATCTCGAAGAAAAAAACCAACCTTTCCCGTAAGTAGGATTTTTCACTTTGGCAGCTCGCGGTGGCATCTTGAGACCAATGTCAAGTTGCTGAATGTCACGATGGTGGATGGGAGAAAAGGAGAACACCGATTTTGGCTCTTGGGCGCGTTCCATATTATGATCACGTGATTGTTTGCATCACAATCATGTGACTATAGTCACGAAAAGTTAAAACCTGTCCTTTCTGTGGTCCTGATGGAAGTCTGCATCATTATTAATTTATTGTTCAAACAACTGCACCAACTTGCGAAAGGTTGATCATACAAAAGTACAATCTTTTCTGAGGTAACAAGACAACATGCAGAACATAAATGTGTAACAAAACACACGACATGAATAGCAACACGAATGAAAAGGCAAACTGTACGAAGGCTCGTCGGGGGTGCATTACGAGTGTCGCGTGTTTCGCATAGGAAGTTAATATACTCAACTGACATCAAAACGACTTATGACAATTATGTTAGAAGAAAGCGAACAGTGCCTTCATATGTACAAGGAAACAGGTGATGCGGCATTAATCTTCCTCTTCATCGGCTGGTTCTTCCCCATCACTTTTCTCTTTTGCTGAAGATTTGGTCTACGAAAAGATGTTCAATACGTGCCATGATGTGGACAAATGACATATACATACGGCAGCCATGGATGCCTTCTCCTCCTCCGCCCTTGTCTTGTCCTTGGCTGCCAATTCGATATAAGGCTGTTAGTTGTGTCAGCACCAACAGCATTTTGTCTGACACCTTAAACGAACCTGCTTGTCCTCCTCGTCAAGCTCCTTCCACTTGGCGCCTAGTAGTTTGCCAACCTCACCTACGATAGGGATCAGAAAACAAAATGGGAAGAAACGCCATAGGTATACCGAAACCAGCATCTGGGTTCTCAGTCTTGATTCTTTCCCTCCAATCCTGACTGAAGAACATGTACGCGGAGAGCGCCCGTTTAGGAGCACCCTTGGCCTTGGCAGCCTTAGCCTTGGTTGCCTTTCCCTCTGATTTACCTGCAGCCTTGCGCTGTTGAATCAATCAGCATTGTGACTGATGAGCACGACCAAGTGACGTAATGAAAGTTGAACAAGGCAAAAATAATGGAAAGTGTATGATGCATATGGGGAAAAGCGGCATAAGGCTAAGACAAATGCATAGGAGACTAACCTTGGTTTTGGTGGTGTCCTTGGGCATCTAGAGCATGGAAAACGCATGAGAGATCGATTCAACACGTCGTTGGCATGAGAGATATCAAAGAAAACGAGTGCGACGCGGAGAGACGCGGTACGCGTCAACGCGTCGGTGGCCAAACAAATACGGCCGGCGCCCGTCTTCACTTTCTATACAAGCTCGACGACGGTAAACGACGTAGAAAGTGATAGTGAACAGCGCAGGACATCCGTAAAGCAGATAGAACATAATAAAAAATAAAAAAGATGACTGACTGTTGTTGTGTACTACGGTGAGTATTAAGCACGGTTTTGATTTAGGCGGGTGAGGACCACAGTACAGCTATACAGGCAAGGTTGGCTGAGGGGATGTTTGGCGGGTGGGAGCCTTGTATAAGGCCAGCCACCTAACAACCGTGAGAATAGGGCACGGACTCTTGCTGACATAACCACCACCTCAACAAACCCACGATGCAACGGCCCGTCTTATACACAACAAACATACAGTCTTTTTTGGGTCTCTTTAGCGATGGTTCATCCAGGGCCAGCATTAACCCAACTAATTTAATGATGATAGAGTCTTGACACACATAAATAGTACACAGACCCGTGATCCAGATGGTATGAATGATGTGAATATGCAGCAGAACAGTAGATCTAGAGGCAATGAATAATACTTAGAAGTTAGCATACTTCAAGGCTTTCCCATGAGCTCTTCACTCACCTTCTAAGAAAATTTGTCCCGTTCATAATTTTCCTTGCAGTGAATTTGATCCTCAGGTTCAGCATCGAAGTCGATGTCAGGTAGACAGAGCTGCCCCAAGCCAAGGTCAGGCAATCGCGCCATTTTGAGTAAGAGACTGAGCCCCTTGTCGCCCTGTCCATCTCCAGGACCATTGAGAAGGTCCCATGTAAAGTCATCTATTTCATCTGCGGTTCGACCCCAAGTCGTTTTAATTGCACTTGGATACTCGAATGACGCAACGATGAAGCAGACAGGAGAACCTATACCATTCAGGGCCGTTTTCATTGTATTTTTAAATGGAAGTACGTACAAAGACCCGATATCTCCTGTTCCCGGGCGAGTAGAGGTGAACGGGTTTCGTTGATACGGTTTTCGCCATCGTCAGTGAGGTCTGGCAAGATATCACCGAGGCGATAAAGCCGCCTGCATGATGGACAAATGCGACTAGTAGCACGGCTTTTATTGTACCATAGGACCTTGAGGGATCAATTTGTGAGCTCACTAGCTACTCCACATAGCACTCACTCACTATGGCGGTTTCCTCCGGCAGCGTGGTACAAAGCATCTGAAGGACTTCCTCCTGTGAGAATTCCGCACATAGAGGGTCTTCCAGTGAAGGAGGCTGGGCAAAAAATGAAGTTAGGAAACCCCGGACGTCGCGAACTCGCGGACCGTTTCCGGGATCGTGGATGATTGGTAGTACTTCTTCATGGAATTCCTGGACATGCGGAGCAGGTGGTTTAGGTGGAGGCTCATGGGCAACACAGACAATGTCGCTTGGAGGTGGCTCAACTTCGTGAACGAGAGGAGGTTCCGGAGGAGCCGTAGCTTGAATAGCTGATGTCTTCTTCTTGTTCTTTTTCGCAATTGCCTTTTTCTTCTTTTTCGAGTTGCATGGACCTGGCATTAAGAAAAGGCTCCCGAAACTCTGATTGAGAGGAATCCGTGATGAGTGGCACGGAAACAAAATCACGAAACGAGTTTTGATGGAAAGGGAGAGCGTTTACAATTTACATTAGCGCTGGATCGCGTGTCACACGTTACATGACGCGTTCGTGACTTGTTAACCTCTTGTCGTTGATTACATTTGCAATACAATATTTCATACACCACGTACGTGACAACGATCTCTATATGGAACCGGTCCCGGCTTCTCTTGAGCCAGAAAAAATCCGAAGAGAAAGCAGCTCGGTAAAGGGTCCAATTTGAAACCAAGGAACGCGGCATGGAGAGAGAAAGACGCGTAGGAGTGAATATTCAATTCAATACTGATCTCACTTTTAATTGTAACATATACACGCCTTCATTGTCAAACACATACTCCCGAGTCCCGACTAATGGACTTAACCAGCACCCATCTATTTCTTTCCCCCGCCCTCGGTGTGCACCCATCGCTTTGGTACACCTTGCGAAGTAAGGAATTCTGTGACCTCCTTGACCTGTTTTCCTTGCACGAGTACTAACATGCCTGACGACTTCCCTGGTGCCGGAGAAACTGACGGGCTCGTATCAGCTACAACATACGTCACTATAATATTAGTTATCCTCACCTGAAGTTGAGGAGGCGCATCTCATCTTCAGCTCCTCTGCAAGAGCAGTCGCCTCCAACAAAAATGGCTCAAAACCTGTAATTAGCGTTGTCGCTTTACGACCTTGCCTGACTTTAACTACCACCGATATTGGTTTGATCTGCCCCTTCCTGTACCCGATGGTTGACGACCGATGACCAACGCAATGATAGGAGATCGGACGCACTTGAGCACAGGATCCTTACCCTCGGCGCATATCTTGTACCAACTCTGCATCTTGTCTGACAGGCGCTCGATCAGTTGCTCGCGTTTGAAAAACTCCATGTTCGTTGGATTGTCAGACTTGCAGAGGGTCGTCTGTAGAAGCTCGTCCGCCCCAACATTGATATATGATTGGTCATGCGCGTTCACCAATTGTCGATCGGCAACGTACTTATCGAGTACGGTCTTGATATCCGCATATGTGTATCGAGTAGATGTACTGCAAGGAACGTCATCAGCGTTCTATCATGAAGCAGGAAATGGCGTTGATCCATACTCAAATCCGGCCTCAGCAAAGAATTTTAGCGATTGAAGATGTGGTTTCCAAAGCTCTGTTACTTCAAGCTCCTTGACCCGTGTCCGCTCCTCTTCTTCTCGTTGTCCACGCTTCTCATTCCTGAGAGCGACATCTTTTAAAGATAAATATGGCCTGTGTGCGACCACATCTGCATGTGATGTGGCTACAGAAAATACCATCAGCTCAGATTTGATCTCTTTAAGCTTCAAGAGGCCTTGTTTCTCTGCTGATTTGAGAAAATACGCAAGCGACTTGTGGGTGGAGTGCTTTATATCAATAGGTGTAGATACGGATGGCTGAGATGGTGATTGGGCAGGTCGCGAGGGTAGGATATAAGCCGAGTAAAACGTACTAGCGGGCATCGGAAGCGCGGAGGCCTGGGAGCCAGATAGGGTCGTTCTCATTGCCTGGAGAAGGGCGTCATGAAGAATACTCGAAACATCTGTCAGGAGTGAGGGATCAAAGACATAACTAATGAGGTTTAACGCACCTTCTTTCGTCAGTTCTATTTTAGGAGCAGGATCATCCAACTGCGTCTGCTCCAGGTGAGAGCTCAGTGCATCGACTAATGGCTCTTTCAACACATCATTATCTGTGACGTCCTCGTCTTCTGTGGAATGCTGATCATTTGTCGTTGAATGGCTCATCTCCCATGGATCCGGCGGGTTTCCCTTGTGTCCCATATCGAATAAATGGTCATTCCAAGCATGCAGGACAAACACTGCCTTTCCCTTTGAACCAGCCTCGGATAAGACGTCACTATCCACTGCCATATGCCCCACAGCAAGTGGGGGGCCAATATGCGTTGAATGGTGAATATATTCCGTAATGCTGACAAGTTGTCCAGCTTGGAGTGATGGTGGATGCTGAACGACTTGCAGGGTCTACTGAGTGAGGGCCTATCTAAACTGGCAAGTAGCACGTACCTCCAGGAATCATAAGATCCGCACCACCAATCAGGACTGGAATCACCGCAGATGGTGTAGACAGAAATGGAATGAGATCTGGCTTCTTCCACAAGGTGTATACTATTGTAACTGAGCCACGGATGATTGACTCGCAGCAAGGCACAACTCACCAGTCGGAATTATGTCCTCGCTGCCTATACCAAGCGTGAACCACAAAGGGTCTCCACCAGGTCCCAAATAAGCCACCTGAGTGCGGCGACATCGTGAAGCATTTTGCAGGTCTCATCGATATGTGATCAATAACAAAGAGCTGTAACGAGATTCGCTTACACCTGGCTCATCGGTGTATGTGTTGAACTTTACTGACAGCAGACCTTCGGGTACAAGTTCCTCGCCGACATCTGGAACGAGAGAGAAGGCTTGGATGATGTGTTGTTTCAGCTTGCGCCTATCAGAGTTACGCAGGGGTGCTTGTGAGCATGACAATGATTAGGCACAACGTTGGTGAACAATAACAATCGCGCACCTGAAGTCTTTAAATTCCCTAAAGGTTTCTTGAACATGATGTTCTAAGTATTCGATTGTGGATCCTGGTGGTAACCTCAGCAACTTGTTGACTTCCAATATTGCCCTCTCGAAGGGCATGAGGTCACGTGCTTTGACTTCTACTTGTTACATTTTTCGCCCACAGTATCAACTCCACCGTGACAATCCAAGAATGCCTCGTGCAACTTCAGGGCGTTTCTCGCGTACCCACCAGCCGTCAATAAAATCGGCCGCTGCATCATCATCATCTAAAAACCATAGTGCAAATGAAGGGACTTCAGCCGGCGTCCGTAACCCAATATTCAATACAGAAAGATTCGGACAACATATCTTGAAGAATCCGCAGATTGCTCAAACGTACGCTCACAATTCCCATATAAGATAACTCGGGCTGATTCTACATCAGTATCGTAGACAAGGTTCGGTTCAGCTCGTATCTGCGCTGAGTCGATCTCATAGATACTAATCGTGACATATAGGCAAACCTTCGTCCTACGGATAAAGTCCTCGAAGTTGGACCTGGTACAGGTAACCTTACTGTCAAGATTCTTGAAAAAGCCAAAAATGTCACCGCTGTTGAGATGGACCCACGGATGGCAGCTGAGTTGACGAAGCGAGTTCAGGGGAAGTGCGTGTACCTCTCCGTCTTAATATCATCAACTGACAGGCTACTCCTCGAAAGACCAGAACAACGAAAATTAGACATAATCATTGGAGACTTTGTAAAAACCGATCTCCCATATTTCGATGTATGCATATCCAACACACCCTATCAAATATCATCACCCCTTGTCTTTCGCCTACTCTCTCATCGACCAATCTTTCGTGTAGCGATCCTCATGTTCCAGAGAGAATTTGCCATGAGGCTTGTCGCTCAACCCGGAACAGAACTTTGGTCGCGGCTATCTGCCAATGTACAGCTTTATTCGAAGGTGGACCTGGTGATGCACGTGGGAAAAAACAACTTCCGACCAGCACCACAAGTTGAATCGTCAGTGGTCCGACTGGTGCCTCTTAATCCTCCTCCCCCCATCAAGTTCGAGGAATTTGATGGGCTGGGTAGAATTATCTTTTCGAGGCGAAATAAAATGGTACATGCCACATTCATGGCAAAAGGCGTCATGGAGATGCTGGAAAAAAACTGGAGAACGTGGTGCTCGACACAAAATAAGGTGATTTTAGTTTTTGTGCATTGACACGAGGACTTGATGACCATAAATCAGATGATCGATGAACACACAAACATGAAGACTAAAGTAGAAGAAGTTCTCGGCTCATCGGGATACTCGCAACAGCGGGCAGCCAAGATGACCCTTGACGATCTCCTAAAGTGAGTCCTCTTCGTTTTGTCTTCTATGTTTTCTCATCAGCTCAACAGACTACTATCCGCATTTCACGACGAGGGTATACATTTTGCTTGATAGGACTTTCATCTGATGCAGTGTATTGTGCTGGTGAATACACGTCCTGTTGCTACACATGTGCCAATCTATATGGTAATTAATTATTTCACTGTCGATGCACAACCCAGAATGCGACTATCATCATAGCATTAGGTGCACATTGTAGAGCGAGAGCAAATTGGATATCAACAACTCTCGGTGCTTGCAAGCTGTAAGGCACAGATACAACAAGGTTGCATTGACACATCGTTTCTTCTAGTCAAGTGACAGTCTTGCATTGATCAATCGATCAACCACTACGAATATGCTCGACCACTTCCCACAAAACAACCCAACTCAAATACTAAACTTCAATCGCTATCCAGCGCATGGATACACTGCATGAATTCCAGCGTAAAATGGGAAAGACTTCTCAATGGAAACGAACTAGAAGATGCCGGATATGTTTCGTGTACCTCCTCTGTTGGGCGGTCAAGTGATTTGTACTTACTGGTCGATGCGTGAAACCAAGCTTATTTTTTGGGAATCGTGTTCCACAATCGCCAAGCCGCATACAACACAGCTGAAAAAGAAGAACGAAATGCATGTTTATTCGTTTGTTGTTAAACTGTCGCTGATGCCCTCGTCCTCTACAATGATTTCTTGCGTACCTCTAGAATATTATACCTCTCGTTATACACCTTCATACCGGTATCCTTATCCTTATCTCAACCTCCCGTTACTTGAGTCTCACATCTCGCCTCTGCTTGCTGTAATAAACGCAGGGCCTAAGTTGAGCAGAGATTAGATCGATCAATTTGTTCTTGGTCTTTATCCGGGAAAGACAAAAGAGTCTGAGGAACTGAAACGGCGACTCACCTTCTTGTGTAATAATTAGGGTTTTTTCATCGGTGCCAATGACGCTGCGATGGCTTGAGGGAATCCAGAAGGGGGTAAGTCAGAAGTAGTGGGAGAGAGGAAGAGAAAACAGTGACTCAGTTCAGAGACGTAGCACACGGTCAAAAACGCGCTCGGCACAAGGCGGTACGCTATAGCTTAATCTACCCTGGATACATATCCCAGGTTGACGCTCAATACCGTCAGGCGATCGCAAACGCGAAAGGTCACCCGATTTAAGCGGGGCCACTCTCGCTGAGCATGCAGTCTCACATCTTGACAAACAACAGAAGACAGGCCACCCATTGCACATCCAGGGGACAGGTCATATTGAACTCTTTTTGACGGCAAGTGCATTGCTGCCGCCACAGGAGGGTAACATTAGATCCTGTGCCTGAGAGTGTGGAAACACTCGACTTCTGCGCGAGTGGCAGTAGTATTGAAAACGTATGTCAATGTACATCGGTGCAGTCACTGCAGTGGGTGAGTAGATACTAATTATAAGATTAGTGGAGCGTGGCTGTGGATCTGCAATGGAAACCTTAACATGCTGTATGCATCTCGTCATCGTTGCTGTTTTTTTTTGAATCCTTGTTCACTGTCTGTTGGGGCAGGACCCTATGGTAGAGAAGTCATTGTTATATGCATCTCGTTGTCGTTAGGTACCGCTTCGCTACATGATGCAAGGACACAGCCAACGCTGTCATAGTATAGGCTGTGAACCGAACACGAGGATAAAGCATGAAAGCATGTACGAAGGAAAGACTTCAACTCTGATTTGCCCAGAGCAATCATTATTATTTGCTGTCCGCCCGTCGCTGCTATCTTCGTAAGTGACGATTTTGGGATTTGATCGTTGAAAGCTGATACAGTGCTGCACTCGGCAGTAGGAATCCTGGAGCATGTCTTCAACAACTACTCAAAGGAACGAAATATCAGAGATAACCCCCTGCCAGAAATTTGAAGGACACAAAGATTGGGTCAATAGCGTCATACACCTCCCAGGTGGACAGAAGACAATGACTTGTTCAGACGACGGCTCGCTGCGGGTATGGAACTTGAAGAGCGGGAAACAGATAGGGGAAGACTGGCGGGATGGAAAAACTATAGGCAAGTGTATAGCATTGTCTCCGGACGGGAAGACGGTAGTTAGCGGGAGTGTGGATGGTGCAGTGAGGTTGTGGGACACTGAAACATGCAAGGTCATCGCGAAGTGGATAGGGCACACACAACCAGTGCGGTCTGTCTGCTGGAGTCGGAACGGTCGGAGAGTGTTGAGCGGATCTTCAGACTGTACTGCAAGGCAATGGGACGTGGAAAGCGGAGAGACCATCCTCAAGCCAATCGAGACCGGGCACAGTGACGTGTGGGCAGTCGTCTATTCACCGGACATGACCTTGATTGCGACTGGTGGTCGTGATGGGACCATGTCTGAACCCGTTGACTCTCCAGTCAAAATCTGGGATGTAAAGACAGGCAAGCTTGTCGCGACTCTCAAAGGGCATGTATGGTCCGTGCGCTGCCTGGCTTGGAAGGACGAAAATGTGCTTGTCTCTGGGTCATATGATTGCTCAATTAGGATATGGAATGCAGCCAAGTGGGAGCAAACCACAGTACTAAATGAGCACGCTGACGGTATCACTGCCATTGCAATATTTCCGAATAGCCGCATCCTCGCAAGTGCATCGTTCGACTATACAGCACGATTGTGGAACCTCGACAATGGACAACTCATTAGTTCACCACTCCAGCATGCAAATCATGTGTATTGCTTGTCATTTTCCGCGGGTGGAAAACTGCTAGCCACTGGTGGCCGCGAAAAACACGTCAACATATGGGATGTTGCGATTGTGAAGGAAGCTGGCTTCGATGATCTTCTTTCAGATTCAAAGGCGAGTTGACTGGTATATTGCATTCTCACACCTGAACGCGCTCTGCCAGGGCGACAAGTCGGTACTCCATGTACGTGACACCCTCATAAAAAGATATCATTGTGTTCAAACACACTCTAGGCTAACGCTACACGAAGTCCAGTCCAGCGACGTCCGCCTGCTCCTCAGGTACCCCAAGGTTTTTTCGATGGTGTCACTGTCTCACCAGATCGTTCTCATGTACGTCATCACTATCACTTCGACTCTATTTCCTTACCCTCGTGTTATCAGTTTTCTACACAAGGCCGTCCTCACTCCTCAGCACAGCCAAGTAGGACGTTTCTTGACCGCTTGTTCCACCGCAGCTCCTCAGATACTCATGATACTTCACCGTCCTCTCCTCTCAACTGGGCTCAAAATCTTTTGAAACGGCGTAAACGTAGTGGTGAAGAAATTGAGTTGCAAGTGCGCAACTCTGCAGTTGTTGAAGTTCCGTATGCAAAAGGCAAACGTGTATGTTTTCTCTCCCCCATCGTTCGATTTTGTCTAATATCACGTAGAGAAACGCTTCAGCGAGGGAGGTTGCGTTCGCGAAACAGAAACAGAAACAAAAAAAGAGACAGAGACAGAACACGAAACCATCGGACTCGAAGAACTCTACTACGGGCAGCTCAATGTCTGTCAATCCCAATGTCGCTAAGTCATCACAAGCTGCTGACTCCTCGTCTGCCACACCTGCCATTGGCGATGCTACCACAACTACTGGTACAACTTCAACGCCATCACGCCCTGACGTAATACTCAGACAGGCTGGACTCTGGACTCGCATCTGGCTCTTCATTGGTTGTATTCCTCATGAACATACAGATGATCGTCATTAGCTCACGATTTTCTCATTCTTCACGAGTCACATACCTTTACATCTCTCGACGGACTCTCATTGATATGCTCTGCCTACTCGTCCACTCCCTCTGATGCATTTCGAACCATCCTTTATGTAGGATACTGAGACCAGACTGCACTAATTTTTATCTGCGCCACGAGGTGACCTCCAACCTCTTATATTCCTTTCTCGTCGCTGGTGCGCAATGTACGACAATTGTAACACCATATCAACCTTTTCCTGCTTGAACGAGATAGACGGCTCGCTTAATGGAGTCATTCCCAGGGAACCTGGCGTGCACTCATATACCAATTTAGAATCCAGATCCTCAGTCTATCGCCATCGTAGAATACCCCGCAAATCATGGCGGGAGGGCAAGTAAGCATGATGTTGAAAGTTCTCCAACAAAATTGTCCAGCCGGTTGCTCGATGTCGAAAGGTCAATCCAAGCTCGCAGGATGTAAAGGGCGGGAATATGACACATTCACTGACCTTGAGTTGGGGACATGGGTTGCAGGGGTTGCCTTTACAGTGAACTCCGACGTCTCATATTTACTTCTCGTCAGATGCACAACGTACGAAAGTGGTAAAATGAACTAAGAAATATATATTTTGTTGTTAATGGAATCGTTCCTGAGTAACACTGTGCTCTCATTCAGTTTCATATTCCCAATCTGTGTCGCGACTCGTCGTGGAACAACCCGCAGTTCATGATAAGGGCAAGTAAGCATGGTGCTTCCACAACGAGTCAATGTCATCTAGCCGGCTGCGCGGTGCTCGTTGTCGAAAAAATCCATCGTTCAGCGTAAGGCGTCAATGGATCTCGCGCTGCAAGAGTTCAATTCTTCCTTTGGTGATGCAAATAGCAGCCAGGGAGGAGGCTGGACTTGCATCAGAGGAATAAGGTGCGTGTGCTATCGAGGTGGGTAAGTATATGGAGTGCAGTATGCCCTCACAAGCTTCACGTCATCGTGAGCTCTCATACGGAATTTGTGTAGCACGCACCAATATTTGTAGAACGAAGCATTGACCATCCGAAGTTCTGTAAAGAGCCAACGGAATGTCTTTATTTGATGCTCCGTCTGTCCCTCGTCGATCCCATCTGATTGTAGGAATAAAGTTATTGTACATTGGCGTGATCTGCAATTATAGATAGGGATGAATGAACTCACCTGAGAGCCTAGCTGATTCGGGATGTTCAGCAGAAAAGAGGTCCCAGTATGATACAGCGTTATCCTTGTGGCATTATGTTGCATGAATTGGCACATAACGCTGGGTCGAAAAACAGGGGTTTGGAGGTGAAGAAGGTCGCAACGGACCCGCCCGGACCGGTTCAACAATACCTCGTCACTGGCGCTTAGCGCTTAACGTTAACGTTGGACTGATGGTACCTCACGACTTGAAAAAAGACATCAAGGACGTCCAGCTGGCAGCTGCCCTTCTAATCGATCACATATGTGGCACAAGAAACAAGACATGCGACTTGCGACATTTGGAATGGTTCAGGTCGGATTTGCGGTGGCTCGATGTCACTTGTTCCGACCTGCTTTTCGCTGTTACCGTCACTAGTACTTTACTGGACTATGGAACCCACATTCACCATGCAACCTTGCAGAAATAGTGTCTCTTGCAACCCCCCCCTTCCCGAGTCAGCACACAGCCATAAATCACCTCCCTCTCTTTCTCAACTACGAAATCTGTTGCCATGGAGGAAAGGCCTCCTAGACACGATAATGTTGTTAGAAGAGTTGTATCGAAGATCTCCATGAACTTGAATGCCAGTGTCATCAAAAGCACGCTCAAAAGAAAAACCCATACCAGACGGTACGTGTCATCCCATCTTCTACTAAACAACGAAGCAGTCGCCGAGAAGGGGACATCTCTGAGGCCGATTCACCCATCGCATCTTCTAACCTCCGGCGGGGGGATGCCAGTCTATGATATTGGGGAAGCGAACTACCATAGGTGTCACCATCACGTAAAGACCAATGTGCTTAAATTTGCGTGTCACGTTCTCAACGTGCCCTTCTACATTAAGTCGTTCCGAATTGCCCACGTAGTCAGGTTCTGCACGTATCTCACTCTCCATTATGTCTGCCAATAGTGCCAATAGTGTTGATCCTTCAGCAGCTAAAACCAAATTACAAGGACTTGAACTGGCGGAACACCACTTTGGTCCCTTACTTCGCCCAACTCACGCCACGCAGAGCGCGTGGACCAATTATTCCATCAACCGCCTCCAAACTAATAAAAAGTACCGCAGCATTGTATCAGTATCGCGCAAGGGCTCTGAGGGTGGCCCAGAAGAAAACTCTATGGAGGTTGAGGATGACTCCGAGGAAGATTCAGGGGACGATGACGATGGCTCAGAGGAAGATTCAGGGGACGATGACGATGAGTACGACGAGTACTCCGATGAAGCTTGGCTTTTCGACAGCATCAAGGCTTATGTTTCCCAGATTGAGGAGGAAATGAACTTTGAGAACGGCATCCTCCAGAAATGCATCACCATTTTATGGAATGAAACGGTACTTGACGACGAGGACGTGCGTACAACTTGTCGACACTGTATTCTATTGCTCAAATCCATTTTGATCGACAGCCACGGTCCACTGATCATATAGTCAGGATCTACTCACCCACTGCGCCAGTGTACATTGACGTCCATTTTCAATACTACTGTCGCTCGCGTTGGTCAGAGGTCGAATGGTTCTACTCTGTTGGGTACAAGATCCAACGTCGCCCTTCTGCGACGGCAGGCAATGCATTTACCATCAAGAATGAGCTCAAGACAGGCTCTCCTCCGGATGTGCACACGCGCAATGGGTGGCAGACCTTGTGCTGGGGTTACTATGATGACTCTGATGGAAACTATGGCAAAAATTGGCGTCGCATCGAATGTGGACAAGTGGAATTACACGAGGAAGGAGCTGTGGACGTTCATGAGGTGTTATTCGGAGAATTGAAGAAACCTGCTGAAAGCGACTCAGAGGCCATGCTCGCATATCATCAATCACTCGTAAGGGGCATACGGATGCTTCTCGCTGCTGTTGGTATTTCGTATCAGGTTGCGTGTACTGATGATGAAAGGGACAAGGGGCCGCATGACTTGATGCTTGAGGGGCTGGGCGACAAATGGGTCGGGCGGGGGATACGGAACGCATGTGGCCTCCGACTCGCCAGAGATGCAGAAGAAGAGCAGAAAGGTGCCCAGGGACGACAAGAAGGGTTAAAGGGTTACGGTGAGGACGATGACGATGACGAAGGGAGTTACGACGATGATTACAGCTTTTGAGGGTCATGGACAAATAAGTGAGATCGAGGATGATGATTTTTGAAGTCTACTGGCTCAGTGTTGGAAAGCAGTTATATTCCAAATAATAACGAGTGTACAAATAATTAATCCTTGTGATGATACGTTTACAATCTTCTTATGAGCCTTGAAATATTTTTCATGTTCATCAACGTTCAGTACTCAGTAGCAGTGAGATGAACACTATCGCCATTGTATACGGTACGGCACTATCACTCACACAAGCAGCTCCAGATTCCGAAGTTAACTGCAGTCAAGTTCGTATGTGCATTGTGCAATGCGATGAACGTGCCAATTGAATCATTGATACTCAAGAGTAATCATTTTGGTGGGAAATTGCTGTTCCTGTGTGAGATAGTAAAAATAGAAACTTGAGTTAATCGAGTTTAATCTTGTTTATACCAGGGTAATTGGGTGAACGTGCTCAATAGCAGATTTGCCCAACGGGTTTCCCCGAAACTCGTTTCCTTTCGGTTCCAGACCATAACTCCCTTTAGCTGATGCCCTGCGCATCTTTGACTTAATTATTAAGCTTTCGGCAATCCTCATTGCCACCTTGACAGTCCTCATTGTCAAGTCGGCGATCCTCATCGTCACCCCGGCAGTCCTTACTGTTGTAGCGGCAGTCCTTATTGCCAATTCGGCAGCCCTTGCTGCCACCTCCTTTGGCGGAGTTTGGCGTGCTATACCTAGTGGCCCGTGGGACGAATTGTAAAGGGGCTCTTCGCCTCTTCTCACTCGAGCCATTCGTCTCACTAGGTGCGTTGTTTCGTCTAAGTCCTTTTTCTCTTCTCACTTGAGCCATTCGTTACACTAGGGACTCATTTGCGCACCCACCCTTTTATTCTCTCCCATCATCTTTTGTATGGCGTTATTTTTTAGGTTACCGTCTGTTTGTACCTGAATTCACTCTGGGGGCCCCTTGCTCGCGCAACGGGGTCCTTGTTTTGCTGGCTAATACCTCACCGTCTGCGTTCGAACGAGACCCGAGTGAGGCCAATTAGACAGGGCGTATATGTATTTCTCGTTGAACATCTCGGCAACGTCTTTGCCATCCGCATTTCCAGCTCCTATACCCTTGGTACTGTCCAGCGGATGAATTCACCGTGACCTATGCGTTCGTGCCTGTATAATATATTGCAATGAACTAACAATCGCGTGAAAATGTGAATTAGATCAGTGCGTATCTGTGGTCCAATCTCGCCCTATCGCTCACACAGCCAACCTCAAAAAGTGAGAATTAATCAAGTCCATATTTGCAATAACTAGAAAGAAAGTAGGAGACGATATCAGATCAGGAACGTTAATTCACCCACAAACGTCCAATCCAATCCAGATTATCCAAAGGTGCAAACAATACTCTATAGGCTGACAGCGGTCGTCTGCACGTCTGGAGGTATACTTGCCCAGTGTCTAAGACTAAGACTAAGACTAAGACTAAGACTCAGAGCGCGGACTGTTGCCGAGGTAAACATATCCATCCTCTGTTGGGGGGTTTGCTTTGAACAGCTTGCCTAGACGTTCGTCTTCAAAGGGCGTTAGCATTAATATCTAGACAAACCATGAACAGGAGAGAGAGGAGGTCCACTCACAGACAGGATCATATTCTATATGTTTGAAATGCTTCAACTCCCACGTCGTACCATTAGCAGATTCGTCCCGTCTTCTCTGCCTTTGCTCGTTCTGTGCCAAATACAAATTCCAACACAGTCGTATCAGCAAACCTCTAGAAAGAAAGAAAACGAGAACAATGAACGCACCTCAATCTTCCCCTTAAACGTCGCAGCGCTCTCAAAATCACCCTCCCTGATACCCGTCGCAACACCGTGCCACAGCTTCCTGCTCTCCCACTCCCCCTGCTGCTCAACAGGCGCAACCGTGATCTCCTCCTTCGGCGAGGTGACATCATGGAACGTAACACCACTATGCAACTCTTTAGACGTCGTATGCCACGTCCCTTCGATAACGTGGGGAGACGTGTGGACGTGTGAAGGCGGGGTGAGCGTTGCTTTAAACGTGTGTGATTTGCCGGAGAAATAGCCTTTGCCTTTGTATTCAATCTATTTCGTTTGGCAGATTCAGTTTGGTTCGTTAATCCGGATTCAATTAGGATTCAGATAGCATGGACGATGAGAAGTGAGAAGTGAGCACGCACCGTAGAAAGCCACCCGGTAGAGCTTTGAATGTAACTCGTTTCTGCAAGCTCGATATATGGGGATCCGTACCACAGCCCGTCAATACGGAGTCGAGGAAGTGTGATCAGGTATTCCTCGGTCTCACCGGATGGAAGGGATACAGTCAGAGTTGCGTGTCCAACTTGCTTCACGATGATGCTTCCCCCTAAAATGAAACACAAGTCAGAACACGGGACTTGATGTGCGGTACCTGAAACAAAGACAACGTACCACTAAAACTTGTCTTTTGGGCACTGTGTCCAGTCAAGATCACACCTTTTTCGAGGTTCTCTATGCGGTAAGCTGTGATGGGTGGGTGGTGGGAAACTTGCTCTACGACTAGGGTGGTTTTGCCTCCGCGAGCTGCATTCGCAGGCCAATACCCGTAGAAGAGTCTAGTAGAGATCAGATCAGCACAAGATACGTGTGTCGGCAACAAAGAAGCTTACTCTCCAAGAACAGGATTCAACGGCCTGCATTTTAGATTAGCTTCATATCAGGGATACATACAAGCATATCACCTACTTCTTCTCAGATCCCATTGATTCGTTCCGCGATGTGTATTGCCCTTTAAGCGTACTCTGACAACCATACAAATAAACGGAACAATAAACAATCGCGATGTTTCTCGACTCACGATGAACCATTTTAACACAGCAAATGCTCGGGCTTGCTCCGTCTTCCCATCTGCAATCGCAGCGAACAATTCAGGTCGCTCACACCAGTAAGCTGAACAACGCAACATAGTCAGATCGATATATATCGCTCAAAACCGATAGTACCTGGGAACTCAGTAAGGGACGTAGGTGACAATATAAACGGAGGAGCAGTCATAGCTGACAGATCGCCCGTGAAGCCAGCCAGCCTAAGGGGCGTTAGTTTACTGATTAGAGCATCTCACAAGATGAAGAATAATGGATACTCACGACTTCAAAAAGCTCGTCCAGCTACTCTTCTGAGCTGCAGGTACAGCCTGGGTAGATTACAGCGCACAAGAAACGAGAACATATAACATACAACATTTGGAATGTTTTAGGTTAGATTTACGGAGACTCTTTGATGGACTTGCCTCGCCAGCTTGTTCCGACATGCTTAGTGTTGATCGGTGATTTGGTAGTGGGCGATATGATGGTGGTGGGGTGAGGAGAAAGATGGAGACGGTCACAGCTTAAAGGAGCTCCACCAAGTGTAACTGCGCGTGTCACGTGATCAGGTATCAGACTGGGTGTCCGTTTCAGACATTGACAAGGTCTTGAAAGACTCGTTGGTACTTATACGATGACAAAAATGAAGCAACTAGTAACACAAAAGACTACGAAACAGGAGTATAACGGATGGGTGAAGATGTATGGAGGATGAAGATGAATTAATCAAAAGCCTCCTCCGCACTCTTACGTACCAGACGTCGTACCTTCTTCTTGTAAGCTACAATGAAATAGTTAGTTAGCATCAAGTGATTCAGCCAACTAGAGGTCAACCGGTCACGCACCAGCATGGTCCGTGCGAATTTCTTTAGCCGCATCCACGTTAGCTGGGCTGTCCGTGTTTGGGGTCTCGGAGGACAGTAGCGATATGACGCTCACGAGCTACAACAGAGAGTCAAATCGGGCCAAAGGAAGCGTTTTGACGAAGGTCATACAATTGTTTCCACCGTGTGGACAGGCATCCATCGTTCACCGGCATCTTCATAGCCGTACTGATCGTCACCTGGAGCATGCTGGAATTATGGATGAGCTTTGATTGAGAGAGACGACAAGGAATACACACCAAGATAGAGATGCAAACTACACCGTCGGCGTAAACTGTACGATAGGGTTAGATCACGCGGTAATTAAAAAGCACCCGTTGCTTACTGTTTGGGTGCCACATGGGCGTGATAAACCGCATCTTTGGCGGTTGGAGAGGGTACTCTGCAGGGAAAGAAAGTCGAGCCTTGAAGAACCCTCCTTCACTAGATTAGGTATGAATAAGAGTTGTAGATGAAGAGGGGTGTAAGGGCGTACTACAGGGTGTCCGGAGGCCTGTCAAATCTGGTGAGTGTGATGGATGGTTTTGAAGGGATTTGCACCAACCCGATTATCATGACCTCCCATTCATAAAGATTGTTGTCATCGACAAGTCCTTTGCCCGGAAGTCTATCAGGAATCGGTTGAAGATCAAAGTTAGGGAGAAAGGCTGCCCGCACCTGCAGAGAACCCTTCAACCGGGTGTTTCGTGAGCTCAGTGAGCTGCCTACGAAGTAGAAGTGTGTTTGACGGTTGTGGTGTGGATGGTTTCGACATCAGATCAATTGAAGCTTTAACAAAATTACAGAGAGTGAAAGATTGAAAGATGAGTGAGTTGTCACCGATTCGAGAAATGCGGATAATGGCGTGGGAATAGAACAGAGTCATTTGACACGCAACAATATTTCTTTTTATTTCTTTGCAGAGTCGCGGTAGCTACTTCACAGTACTATGTAGCACTGAAGACTAAGCACTGGGTAGATACTCGCCATCTACACGCCAAAACAAACATTTCTTATTTGAAATTCCCCTAATTATTAAATAACCTAGGGTCGTCGTCTTCCTTCATCTGATAGAATAACCAAAAGTTCCCTCCGCGTTCACTGGCTCCAGAACTCATTAGGTGGAAGGTCAATCGACATCCTCCCTCTTCGAGCAAAATATTGGATTTTAAATAAAGCTATATCCGCGGTCGAAAAGTCGACACAGTAGCTTCCCCCAGGCAGACAAAGCAAGATAGACTTAGATAGTGTATATGCCACTATTCCGCTGACAACGGATTTCCCGCATTGCCAAATTTGTTCCATGGTGGATCATTCGATTTACCGTTATGTCATGTCCATTTTTCACAGTCCGCTATATTTATCGTTGTGTATCATAAGACTACTATCCCTTCCACTGCAATTGGCACCCCACAGAAGTCAGCAGTCATGCAAATGTCACTAGGTGTGCTCAATTACCTTGCAGAGCAAGTATGGCAGATAATCTGTCAGTCACCTGATGTGAACATCATGCTGTGCAATCATTGAAAATGATAGAACTTTGTCAATATGAATACACAATTGTAACAGTGTAAATGCCAGTCCCTTTGGATTGTGTGTCATCTTGTGTGCTGATCTATTATAATTAGTCAGTGAAAACATCATTTGTTTCTCAAGCAAATCTTGTTGTTGAAAACTCTACTCGATTGAATCCAACATGATGTGCATGTGCTAATCCTTTACAGCAGTCAGTCAAAGCAACATTCATTTCTCAATTATGCAGTTATTCTTGTTGAATGCAAATGTATGAAGGACTCTGCCTGTCCAAGCAAACACCCATGTACATGATCCTTCATTAGTTGGATTTGGACACTATGACCAACTACCTCACCACACTGTTACGACAAACGGTCGTGTGCGACTAGGATGATCTAAACAGCGACAACCACGACAGTGGTACCAAGTGCTGAGAGTCGTCGGCCTTTACAGACAAGCAAAGGTTGCATACTCGAACGTAGCTCGTGGTGGTTAACGAGGGGTTACGCTGAGATGATAGCAGGGTTTACAGACAGTGAGAGGCGTCACTGAAGGTACGAGTCGATGTCGAGCAGGTAGCTTTAGCGGGACAAGGAGTTCAAGGGTAAACCTAGTAAGATTAAAGTAAGGAACATCTACTGTTAATCTTCGACCTTATATAAGGCTACTCTTCGTATCTAAGCTCAGCCTAAAGCTGGGTTCTAATCTGCTTATCTACATGAGTCAGAGATAGCGTCCATGAGGCGGGCTTCTATCGTAGATAGGGTCCATGCGGTACCCTTCTATCAGTACATGAGGCAGCACGAGGCTTGCCTTCTATCTTGATAACATAAATAGGTCTTCTAGACCTATGTCGTCATGTGTCGTCACATGCGGTCCAGACCGCTTATCTAAGCCGGCAGTTGCCGCTTATCGTCTATCATCATCTATCGTTATCTGTCGTCATCTATCATCATAGAGCTGGTGAGACTCCGGTATCGTCTATAGCCGTGCAGTGGCAGAGGGCTGTCTGCTGGCAGGGGACTCATGCCATGTTACTGTAACACACACACTCTGCAATCATGGTTGGCTCACCACAAATTCTAATTTCTGTGAACTAGCAGTATTCTATATGGATAGCAGCTTATGATTTCAATCACTCTTGAACAGGCACCTGCTGTTACGGTATACTTATTCCCCTACCTTTTCCTTCATTACCGGACAGTGGTCCTTTGTCGCATCTGTTGCTGAACGTCCAATCACATTCCAGACCCTTACTCACATAATCGCCAAGCTCACCTTCCGTTCCAGTAACCATCACCATGCATAGCCCTTATCTCTTATCAAGCGGGCTGTCCGCACTATCTCTTATCTCTTATCTCTTACCAAGCGGGCTGTCCGCCTTCTATCTTGATACGCCATTTACAAGCTCCGCTTGAACACTCGCTATATAGACACCTAGTGTACCACTTGTATTTGGCACTTTAATCTACTGGGTTTTACCTGGAACATAGTCCTTTAGCAAGGCCTCCAACCTTGCTATCTAAGAACCATTATTCTAAGGGAGTCGCCGATACTCGCCTTAGCCAGAAACCTTTGACCTCTCAGTTGAGAGAAGAACCACGTCTGTCTCACTGAATCTTAGTCCACTTGGACTTAGACAGCTCAACATACCCCAGTCGTAACACCTGCCACTAGAATACCTCCTCCCTGTCTACATACTTGACCAAAGCCAGTCCTTGGTCTTTGTTGTCAATGAAGATGTGTCGATGACTGTGATACATGATAATGTTGACAAACACTGAGGGACATTGAGTTAATGGGAACACCCATGATTGAGAAGCACATGCTCTTAATAACAGAGTCTTTAACAAAGGAGGGTTGAGGAGAAGGAAAAAGATCATGCAAACTATGATCTCATTATAATGGGACTCAAAGTAAGATTCTAGACTCACTAAAGCGCTCGGTACAAGATCAGCTAAATGTTCTAACAGGATGGAGACAGCTGGCATTAGTATTGGAGCTCAAATACCAATGCCTGCCGTTTGCCAACGTGTCTGCCGTTCTGTAAGACTGAAAGCAGACACTCAAACTCGCCCAAAGGCGATGGACTTACCCCCCCATCCATCTGGATCCTGTGGAAAAGGGAGATCTCAAGGACATGGTATTGAAGATATGAACTCAGTTGACTATACAAGCAACTGAGGTGTGTTGAGTAGAAAGACTGCAAATACACTAACATGATTATGTAAGTAAATAAGTCACATGTGATGATAATCGTTATCATCGTTTGTAACTTCCAACACTCCTTCTCAAACGATGACTCTAACTCCTAGCTCATGTGTGAAATGCTTCGCCTTAACACTCGGAAGGGCCTTCGTTAGCATATTGGTGACCATATTCTCCGTGGGACAGTACAATAATTCGATCAAGCCATCCTCAATGCAGAAGTGGATGTCGATATGTTTGGTGCATGCATGATAACTTCCATCTTTCATTAGTGCGATGGCTGACTGATTGTCACTATATAGCGTCATAGGGTGCTGTAACAGCCGGAAGACCTCTCCAATGAAACGATGGAGCCATTGGACCTCTTTTGCTGCATGAGTGGCCGCTATGAACTCTGACTCTGCCATTGAGAGCGTCACTAACTCCTGCTTTCTCGAACCCCACAGTATCGCGCTGCCATCAACCAAAAACACGAATCCCATTATTGCATGCCTATGGTGTTGACTAGCGCCGTCAGCGTCTGTGTATCCCACCAAGCCGGTGCTGCTTGTGCCGAAGGTAAGTCCCAATTTCCTTGTTCCCAACAGATAGCGGTACACTCTTTTAACTCCTTCCCAGTGAGTCCATCCTGGACTATCAGTGAACTGCGTGAGTGTCGACACTGCAAATGCGATGTCTGGCCGAGTTCCAATGGCAAGGTACATCAGTGATCTGAGCACTGAACGGAATGGGACTCGTTTCATTTCGGTGATCTGTGCTGTTGTGGTAGGGGATTGGTCCTTTGTGTACTGAATGCTTGGATCCATAGGTACTGCTGCAGGTTTTGCATCTACGAAATTGTATTTCGTGATGATAGCATCTACCAAGGACTCTTGGGACAACGAAATGGTATGTGCTTCACAATTTTGAGTGACTTTCATGCCAAGTAACCAGCTGATAGGTCCTAGGTCTGTTATTTTGAATCGTGATGTGATTTCAACCTTGAACGCTTTGATTAGCTCTTTCGAGCTGCCAGTTATTGTGCAGTCATCGACGTGCGCTGCGAGGATGAGTAGGTCTTCTCCTATGTGCACTGTGAACACTCCCAAGTCGCTTTCCATCTGGTCAAAGCCTAGCTCGGTGAGTTCTGCACATAGACACTTGTACCATTTTAATGCTCCTTGTTTAGATCCATACAATGCAACTCGGAGCCTCGCGACTTTGTCCTTGTCTCCCAAGTCTGCTCCTGGGGGCAGCTCCATGTAGATCTCTTCATCATTGTTGAGCTTTCCATTCAAGAATGCACTGTGGAAATCAGATACATCAATGTCCCAGTCTTGGCATGCGGCGATCGCGAGAATCAGTCTCAGCGATGCGAGACAAGCTACAGGTGCATAGGTTTCATAATAATTGATGCTGTATACTTGTGTGAAGCCTCGTGCTACCAGCCGGGCCTTATACTTATTGATTTCTCCTTCTGCATTTCTTTTAATCTTGAAAACCCACTTGCTGCTGACAATGTCCCAGGTGCATGCTTCGTCGAGACTCTTTAGCTCCGCGTTGATGGCTTCTTTCCATCTTGACCAATCAGCTCATGTCTTCGCATCTTCTATGGTGCTTGGTTCCAGGCCCTCGACTTCGCTCATTCCTGCAAACATCGTGTATGCAGTAAGTTCTTCTTCGAATTCCAATCCTCTTTCTAACCTTTCTCCAGATGCTCCCATGCTCCCGCTGCTTTCCTCTCTCTCTTCGTCTACCTTCTGCATCCCTCTAGGAATGACTGGATCCCCTCCTCTACCATCGTGAGTACCTTCACCGCTGCGCAACATGCACATATATGCTGACTCAGTCCACTGATGAGTAGACCTTCTAGGACCAGTTGATTGTTGTTTGAAATTTGGACCTAATGGATCGTTTGGAGGTGGATTTGTGGTCTGGTGAGTGTTTCCTTGAGTTGGTTGATTGGTCACTTGCTGATTGGTGTTATGCACTCAAATAGATCTGTTAGGCGGAGCCCTAAGAGGGGCGTCGTCCGCTAATGTTCGTGACGTAACCGGAAGGATCCGGTATAGCAAGTGAGACTGGCGATGATGAGTCGGCAGTGATCACAGTACGCGCGTGTCACGTGACTTCTGAGACAGATGTCTTAGAAGTCGCTCAAGGTCAGGACTGTCTTGTCCGGACGATGAGGTTGATCGAGGTAGACTTAGTCGCGATGAGCAACTAAGAAAAGATACTAGAGACTGAAGCCAAAGGGGTGTTCAGAGGGAAGTATGTTCCAGGGAAGATTGAGTAGATTCAAGTTAGAGAATCTAGTACAGGGTGACCGACTACTTATACTAAGTGGAGAGGGCTAAGGGCAAGGCTACCGCACAGTAGGTAAGGGTAGAGGGGAAACGAGAATGGTATAGGTGCGTTGGCAACATAGCCGGATTAGTGATGGGTGGTCGAATGTGGAATGAGACCGAGAAACGTTGGAATGAACCAACGGTAAGAATACAACGTGCGGGAATCTGCAGTCAGAAGGAACAGAAAGAGGAAAGCCACATTGGTGGCACGAGTCAGACCGAGTCATAGGTGCGGGACCACATTGGTGGTCGAGTCAGGGGAAGAACGTGCATGCACGCGCATAGAGGCGGGCGATGCAAGGGACGGGAACGGTCCCGAGGATCTGGTCAACGGAAAGTCGGTAAAGGAGGACAAGCCGGTAGATGGTGAGGGTGAGGATGAAGGGACAATGATAGGGGGGCCATGTGACCAATGTTACTTGTAACATTACCCCCGTTTCAAGGCTCAAGCTCAACGAGCTTTAATCATCCTGGTTGTCATACCAGCTGGGGTCGAAGTCGAGGTCGGCAAGCCATTTGGCGGCCTCGAGTGCGTTTTCCTCGCGTTCTTGTTCAACGTGGGCGGCTTCATGATCATATGCTGCTTCGAGCTTGCGCATATCAGAATAGAATCTGTCCGAGGAGGGTCCCCGGCGCAGTAGTTTCCGTCCATCGAGTTGTGGACAGAAGGGAGTGAGGTGTTTTGGGGCAAATTTCCCACAGATGCGGCAGAAGTACTGAGCGCAGTGCTTCTGTTTATGACCGTATACATGGCATTGGCGACAGATCACGTTGGAACGGTAGATCTGGGTGGTCTCGGTGGCCTCGATGCAGGCACGGTTCAGGGCGTCTTCACGGGTGTAGTGCCTTGTAAAGTTCTGGGTGCGTGGGCGGTGTGCATGGGAGAGGGGGAGTCCGAGGGCGAGCATGGATTGTGCACGTGCACGTCGTCCACGACGTCGTGGGGCGGGAAGGGGGTTTGGGTTCTCGACCGGAGAACCAATGGTCAAAGGGGGTACGTCCCTAGTGGGCACGAAGTCGTTGGGGGTGATGGTGGGGGCAGAGTGAGATTCATCTGCCAAGGGGATGGTGAGAGGGGAATCGTGTACTTCGAGGAAGACGATAGTGTCTGCCTCAGGGGTGGGGTTACGTGGCGCATAGCATTCACGTTCGTATTCCTCATAGAGGCGGTCGATTTCTGGGTTTGTCAGCTGGGTGACATTGGGGACGTGTTCATCGTCAGATTCGACATCTGGTCACAGGTGGAAGGGGGTCGGAGCTCTGTCACTGACAGCGCACTCGACGACGGTGAGAAGGTCGGGAGGGGGATTAAATGCCCGCTCCTCCTCGATGGCCAGTACAACAGACTGGAAGTTCCTAAGTTCGAGCAGGTTTAGTAACGCCTGCTTGATTTTACCCTGGTTGTAGCGGGTAGAGATGGTGGAGAGGGTGGTATCCCTCTGGAGGTCGATCCTGGCGATATCGCCAGTGAGTGCATCTGCACTTCGAAAGGCGTTGGTTGATGATATTGTAGGTGACATCATCGTTGGTGCGCGCGAGGTAGTTGTCGATGCGCAGGGCAAACTGAGGGTCGCAGATCACTGCTTCCCAGTAGGCACACGTCCTGTCTTCTCGGACAGAGCGTAAGGAGGGTCGTCGGTACGGGGTGAAGGCTGGCCTCTCAAGGCCAGGCGGTTGTCGGGGTGTCTGGGTCGGGCCGTATACAGATGCAGGAGAGGAAGCGGAAAGGGGAGAGGAAAGCGACGATGCTGAAGCCGACATATTTGAGGGGCTTTCCTTGGGTGTTGGCGTAGGTGAATTCTTGGGTGACTGGTCGGTGCTTGTCGAGGGGTTTGGTGGAACGGTGTCGGTTCCGGATCTGTTGTCGATGGAAATATTCGGGGGTCTGAGGCAAGGGTTTGTCGCGAGGGGAGGTAGAATAGTGAGCTCTGGTGTGGAACCGTTTGGTTCTATGGTTGCAGGTGTCGTTCTTGAGAGGAGCTATGGTGGTAGCAGATCAACAGTTGATGGCGATTGAAGCGATCTTGAGTCGCTTCTTATACGCCTTCAGCAGCTCCGCTGCGGACTTCAACTCCTTTTCGGGGAGCCACGTTCGTTCGGAGGGTGGGTAGCCTACCCATGACACGAGGTATCGGCGGCGCGCACCGGTACCCTTGTGTTGGAGGATAGCTTCCACTTCGTAGTGTTCCTCCCCAGTCGATCAGGTCAGGGGGAGGTTCGGTGAAATTCGGGCCATGCACGTCCGTCTCCTGATAGGAGGAAAGTTCCGAGGCATGGAACGTGGGGTGGATACGCCAGCTGTCAGGCAACTTGAGCTGGAACGTGATGGGGGAGAGGACCTTCTGGATTGGGAAGGGTCCATAGCGTTTCGGGGCGAGTTTCCGAGAAGGGAACCCGGTGATCAGATTCGTGGCAGATAGCCAAACTTTATCACCAACGTTCCATGGCTTGTAACGCTGGCCAAAGGAACGATCAGCCATGCGCTGCTGTGCAAGGCTGTGGCATGCGAGGGCTTCCTCGCGGATCTTGGCAAGGGATTTGACACGTTCTTCGGCGGTCGGTAGGGTAGAGTCGGGGAAGAGATGGGGAATGCCTCGTGGCTCGTATCCCATCATCAGGAAGAAGGGGGAGGCGTTCCTGGCAGAGTGTCTTCGGGAGTTGTGGACAAACTCGGCCATAGGGCAAGTGCTTTCGCCCATTCGGAGGGGGTCGTCCGGCAGTAGATCCGGAGGTAGGTTTCTAGCTCTTGGTTGAGCCGTTCAGTCTGGCCATCCGTCTGAGGGTGATAGGCGGTGGAAAGTGCGACTTGGTAGTCGAGGAGTCGTCCTAGCTCTCTTGCTAGCTTCGAGGCGAATTGGGGGCCTCGGTCCGAGATGATCTTGTCGTAGAGTCCGAAGCGCATGAACACTTTCTTGAAGAAAAGTTCAGCTACGCCTTCAGCAGTGATGGTTTTTCTGCAAGGGCAGAGAATTACCCCCTTCGTAAGCCCATGGTCTACCACGACCATGACGGAATCGTAGCCGGCGCTCTCCGGGAGGTCAGTGATCAGGTCGACAGAGACCTGAGAGAAGGGCCGGAGGGAAGTCGAAGGTATGGGGGTCAGGGGGGGAGTCGTCGGGTGGGTGTTAACCTTCATTTGCTGGCACATGGCGCAGCCATCCACGTATTTTCGAATAAAGGAGCCCATTCCGGGCCACCAGTAAGCTTTCTTGACGTTCCATTCGGTAACAGAACGGCCGGGGTGACCCGACGGTGGGATGATCGTGGTGCAGCGCGAGCACCCGATGCCGGAGGTCGGGGGGGACGTAAGCACGGTCCTTGTAGAAGAGGACACCAGTCGGTGAACCTCCAGTCAGAGAGTGCAGATTTCATGGGGGGTGCGCACACCCCGGAGAGAGCATCCAGAGCTGTTTTCACAGTCTGGTCGGAGGGGTCGTCGAGAGCCGCTGGAATTCGTCAGCGAGCTCGGTGTCGATGAGACGGGTAAAGAGGGTGTCCGGGAGGAGGACACGGTCTTCGTTATCATGGCCAGACTGGTCATGGTCCGGCCGCGGGACAAGGCGTCTGGTGCAGCGAGCTTCGTACCGGGAACATGATGAAGTTCCAGGTCGAAGTTGGTGAGCGTAGGTGCCACCGGGCCTGTCGTCGGGTGAGTCGCTTGAGCAGAGCGGAAGTAGATCAGGTTCTTGTGATCCGTGAACACAATGACCGGGTGGGCGTTCCCTTCCAGGAAGTGCCTCCAGGCTTGGAGGGCACGAATGATGGCGAGGAGTTCCCGATCATAGATCTCGTAGTTGCGTTCCGCCGCATTCAGAGACTGGGAGAGGTAGCCACAGGGGTGATAATCCCCGTTGCTATCCGTCTGGAGCAGTACTGCTCCGGTCGCGAAGAGGGACGCATCAGTTGCAAGTGCAAACTGACGCGAAGAGTCGGGGTTCCGCAGAACCGGTTCCGTGGTGAAGAGCGTCTTCAGATGCTGGAAGGACGCTTCGGTTGATTCTGACCATGCGAAGGGACTTCCTTCTTGGTGAGGTCCAGAAGAGGTCGTGCGATGTCAGAGTAGTGGGGGATGAAGTGCCGGTAGAAATTGCAGAACCCGAGGAAGGATCGTACGTCCTTGACAGACGAGGGTTGCTGCCATTCGCTGATACCTTTCAGCTTGGCGGGGTCCATGGCGACCTGTCCTGGTCGGATGATCATACCGAGATATTCGACTTCTTGGGAGTCGAAGGTGCATTTCTCGGGTTTGAGGAAGAGGGACTCCTTACGGAGTTTGTCCAACACACGACGTGTCCGTTGTCGGTGTTCGTCCAGGTTATCTGAAAAGATTAGGATGTCGTCCATATAGACGATTAGCCATCCTTCAGTTCAGTTCTTCTGCAAACGTCTGGTTCATGTAAGCTTGGAAAGTCGCAGGAGAGTTGCACAGTCCAAAGAACATTACCTTGGGCTCGAAGAGCCCATATGAGGTGGAGAACGCGGCTTTCCACCTGTCGTCAGGGTGTATCAGGATATTGTTGTATCCTGAGCGTACGTCGACCTTTGTGAACCACTGAGCCTTGTTGAGTTTCGCAAGCAAGGGTGGGATCAAAGGGAGTGGGTACGCGTTCTTGATCGTCCATTCGTTGATGTACCGATAGTCTTGACAAGGTCGCAGGGATCCGTCTTTCTTGCCGACAAAGAAGAATCCA